ATAAATAAAACAGTATTAAAAATAGTACCTTTGTAATATAATATGAATTGTAAAAAGAGTGATAATTAATATTAAAGAATAAAAATAAAATATTTTGCTTATAATAATTTTAAATTTGATCATATAATTAAAATATGAGAAAATATTGAAATGTTCAAGATATTGTATGAAAGTAGTTGATTTTTTGTCAATTGATTTGTGGTCGATACACCATAAGTTCCATAGTTTTTTTATCAATTTTAATGATTAGTATATCATTTTAAATGCCTTACCGAAAAATGAAGAAGTAGAAAAAAGCTATAATACAAACTAATGTTCATAATACAAACTCGTTTAAAATGTCTTATAGGGAGTTTATGATAGCACCATCTATTGACAATTCATTTAATTAGAATTACGGGAAGTAAACTAAAAACGTTATTCTTTACAATAAGATATTTTTATTTGTTAAATATTTAATTAAATACAATTAAATAACCATACGGTGACTGATCACGGTACTGTGCGATATTTGGATATGAGTTACCTAGTTTATTATTAACGGTGTTAAGTGTTAATATTTTTAGGGTAAGATACATTTTTACAAAAATCCCCATTTTGCGATAGATGGCACTGTTTTAAAAGATTTTGTATCGCCTGTTAAGGAACTAACTTCTTATAAGTAATTTTTATTAGTCCACTTGTTATTTATTTACATATAAAAAAACAACTGAAATTATAGTATTTCTTAAAGGTAAACTCTCATTTTTTAAATAGCCGCTTTTAAAAATATTAGTATAATGCATACTATAAATTTTGCTCGTTTTTTCCGACAGGCGTTTGTAGTTTCCTAGCTTATTTTGACAGAATATTCTGAAATTTATTAAATTAAATCATTTAAAACAAAAATTAATAATGACTGCAATATTAAATACTTTATCTATATCCGTAGTATCTTTCTAAGAAGCGGGAAACAGCTTACATCATTTCAGGAACGGATTATTTTTCTTTTCATCTTACTTTAAAATTAAAAGTAAATAAATGTTAACTGCTTACGTAGCTGATTTCATGTGCAAAACACAAAGGTCTAATATTTACAAGATTAAATCTATCTAAAATTACATGTTATCTAATAAACCTAATCCACGCGGCATGGTGCCAAGAACGCTAGCTGCATTTCCTCGCTGAATAGTTATGCTTAACCTTTGAGCGAGAAAAGAACCAGCTCTCTTGTTACCAGCCGCGGCGTTAAGCCTAGGACATAAAATTTTAAAAAAATTTGATGTGCGGGGACCCCACGGACCTAAAGTTTCAATAGCAAATGGCAGAAATACATAATCTAAACATAAAGACTCATATTTGCGCCATTTACTGAACACAAAACAAAATGTTTATTTAGTTATCGTTGAATTTAGAACCCCAGCTACTATATCCTGGTCAACAAAGGACAATTACGTTCCCGTAATTTGAGCAGTAGGTATCTATGTAAACACAAGTTGTGCGCATGATCGAGTCCTGTGGAGGTCTGGCACGCTCTGTTGAACGCGTGTACGACAAATTGTGTTAAACGATATCATGTATTTATACGTGGAAGCCACCGTGTCTTTTTCTGGGGTAGACAGAGATACCACCGACCCCTCATCACGCTTATTAGGGTTCCGTACCCAAAGGGTAAAACGGGACCCTATTACTAAGACTCCGCCGTCTGTCTGTCTGTTTGTCACCAGGCCGTATCTCAAGAACCGTGATAATTAGTTAGAATTTTCACTGACGATGTATTTCTGTTGCCGCTATAACAAGAAATAATAAAAGATAGAATAAAGAAATATTTAAGTTGGTCTCCCATACAACAGACTTGACTCGTTTTTGCTGTTTTATAGATAAAAATAGTACGGAAAGCTTCGCGCGCGAGTCCATCTCTCATTTGGCCGGTTTTTTTATTAACCTTTATTTTAATGTCAAGCGTAATAATCGCTTCACTGTCGTTAGGCCACGCATCGGCTCCTGTTGCTGGAATGCCTAACTGGGGACCAGCGTGAAATGGAAGTATTATACTTTCGCGTTCGAATGAGTGAGGTAACCGGGGTCCACTTTTTCCACCATTGCGGTTCCAACCCGTCATTATCGTCATTTTGACCTCCCAACCAATTGGCGTTCACTGACTCGATGAGAATTGTTAAATCGATCTTGAAGATATAAAATACGGAAGCAAATATCACATACGCGTTCGGTGTCCGTCGACGTAACTGGCGCTGGTTTTTTTATTATATAAAACATTTTTTTTTTATAATTTATTAAAAAACATTGGATAACATTATCCTGTGTTGTAAGGACGTTTTACAAACATAGATTTCACGCGGACAAACACCCAGATGCGAAACAACTATCTGTGGGTCACACAAATTGTTGTCTCGTGTGGAAATCGAACCCACGACCGCCGACGCCGAAGCCAATACATTGGCCACTGCGCCACGGAGTCCTTTTTTTTGTTTTAATCTACAAAAATGCGACGCGATTCGAACCTGTCTTCCGGTTGACGGAAGAATGTTAAAGCGAGGCTCTAACCGTTGGTTAGCAGACACCGGTAGAGCCGTAATAAGCGTCCACAATTGATTGCAATTCTCCCCCATTAATCATTGCGGGACGCGGAACAATCTGCTGGCTGACGTCACGTGGACGATTGTACTCACGAGTACTTAAGGTAGAAACACTTTTTGTCATCGGCAAATGAGCAGACGGTTCGCCTGATGTTAAGGGATAACCTCCGCCCGTGGGTGTTTGCAGCATCCGTAGCGTTGCATATGTTGCTACCATTTAATAAAGTGTGCTCCGGATACCTCACTCGCTAGACGAAACGCAGAAGTATAACACTTCCACCGAACCCGCGAGGACCTGCCGATCCGTGCAACAGCGAAGACTGTCCTATTTGCTAATATAAAAGCAATATCTTGCACTTGCAATATATTTGTTACAACGGCTAAGGATCCGCAGTATAGTAAACTTGTTTTTAGCAAAAGGAAGGCGAGCGACCCAGTTAAATACTATATATAATAGATTACGCGTATTGGGGATAGCATAGAGAGCAGAGTTCGGAGTTCTCTTACCCGAATTTTAACCGGAACTATTCTGAAAACGAAAACTGATGAACATTTCCGCCTTTCGTCCGAAAGATTTTACACACATTTCGAATCCGATCTGTTACATATTGTTTCGCTATAGCATAATGCAAGGATATATGCATATTAAACACAAATGAGGAAGATAACTTTAATACTTTACTCTATGTTATTACATTTTATTTTATTTTTTATTTTATTTTATTTTTTATTTTTATTTATTTTATTATAATGTTATTATATGTAGTAGTGTAATGATATTATATGATAGTAGTCAATGGGGGGCCTATCTTCAGCAATGGACGTCCTACGGCTAATATGGTGATGATGATGATGATAATCATAATAATGACACAAAGGTACTATTAAGGCATCCCTTATTAATAATGCCAATCGAATAACATCGACACGGTGATCAGGTTTGAAGTATTTCGGCGAAGCACCTGTGGTTGTTTGATTGTTTTTCGTTTTTCAGAATAGACCTTGATCAATTGATGCATGTGATGACTTGATCTATAAAAGGGCAGCTCTTGTTTAAGGGCCATAGCATTATGATAGTTTCTTTGCTATATGGTTCTAATAATAACCCCTTACCGCTGGTCTAAATGCAGATGGAATGCTTGTTTATGACTGGAAATGCGCGTATTTGATTCTAATTCGAAAAAATCCTGAGAGACTTCAAACTTTAGTTTTTACGATGCTCGCGCGTGCCGATCCCCTAAAAGCGTCATGATGAATTTGGTTGCAAAGCAGCCAACTTCCCTGCATTACCATAGGAACCAATACCAACTTTTTGACATTAATTTTTAAAAATATATTTTTTTTTTAATTTAACGTCTTAAAATCATTGGTAGGTGGGATAAAATTACTTTTTGTAACAAAGAAAAGTAACTTCTTACGTAAATACCTAAGTACAGTACACTTTTCTTTTACTTTATCTGTATATTTGTCATTATTCGCGGTAAGATAGGTTATGAAGAAAATGTATTCGTTCCAATATTACTTTATTTAAAAATATTACTTTACTTACTTTATCAGCCATTAGTGTCCCACTGTTACGCAAAAGCCTCCTTCAATTTCTTCCACTCCTCCCTGTCGTGGGCTATACCGGACCAAACCCCCGCAAATGCGTCCAGTTCGTCGCACCATTCCAATATACAATTCTTAATTTAAAATTATATCCTGTTTAGGATTACCGGAACGGGAATAGAACCGGCGATGATTACTAAATATTGTTATTGGAAGTACGATGGAAAAGCAAAGGGTTTCGCTCTTTGCTTTTGTACGGATAACATCAGTTTGTTAGCGCCTCGGCGGTGGGTAGACGTCTGCCGTACATTTGAATGTATTGTCTATATTAGAAATCAAAACGTGAAATGTCGCACATAACTTTGTTTTCAATATCTCAAATAGTTTCGGGTGCAAACCGGTCAACAATCGGAACTTTGTAGTATCGCCAATATTTTAAAGTTGATTTTTTAAGTAGGATTAATTCCGTTTGTTATTCGTATTGTAGTGCACATTTATTTATTTAAAAAGCATCAAAAACGTAGGCGGCAGTTCTGTAATTTGTATAAAAATATATTCAGCCAGTGTGATATTTTTAATATCTTTATTTAAATGTCTGAAAAAAAATTAAACCTTTTTTAATAAAAAAATAATTGAATTTTAGTCGTATTAAGTGTTGAAGAAATATGTTCATTTACATTTTAGTAGAGGTTTAGGAATTCGAAACAGTGCGGAAGTTAATAGAGTGTGAAATGATCTCATGGACATGAGAACTTCTGTAATTTAAAAAAAAAACTCTATATTCGGCCAGTGTAATATTTATTAACCTTCCAAAAAAAATAGAATTAAAGTCATATTAAGTGTTGAAGAAAGTGACGCAAGTGAAAAGTGTTTCAAATGATGTCGTGGACGAGAGAACTTGACGAGGCAGCGGTGCTGGTCACCAGTAAAGGCAGATGGCATGTCCTGCTGTTCTATCTTCTGTGCGGGCTGGCCGCGATTCCGACCTCATTCTTAGTCTTCTCACAGGTGAGTTTTATGAGGAAACTAGCGACCCGTCCCGGCTTCACACGGGTGCAATTATACATATTACAAACCTTCCCTTGAATAACTTTATCTAGTACAAAAACCGCATCAAGATTCGTGGCTTCCTTTAAAGATCTAAGCATACTTATGGACAAACAGACAGCGGGACGACTTTGTTTTTTGCTATGTAGTGACGTTGTTACGTAAAACTCTCAAAAAAATTAACAGCCTTTTGTTACGAAGATGGCTCTAGAGCAAACTGATCCATCCATTTATGATTTTCTGAATATTTCTTAGTTATTTAGGATTTATGAAGATTTATTGTGTTCTTTGCTCCAATATCCAATGAAAACCCAAAAGATGGAGGTTATTGCCCGGCTGTGGTGACCGTACATACGTTTATAATTTGTGTAGGATTTTGCATGATGGACACAAATTTTTGATGACCATCATAATTGCATTTCAATCTTGCAACAGGGCATACGAAAACAAGCAATGTTCCTTGATCATATAAGTTTTGTGTCACTCCTTAATAAGTGGTCCTATATATTTAGAGTACTTAAGTTTGCTTACAAATAAGCTTATTTTAAACCCGTATTCCCACGGGAACTGGAACTACGCAGGTAAGTAAAAAATATATTTATATCATTTAAATTAGCCGAGCAATCACAATTTTCGCGGACACGGGCGAAGTTCTAGTTTTCAATATAATGAAGTTCATTTCAATATCGTATTGAGCCAATAGAAGCCGGGACACTTTGGACCCGCATTAGATGTGTGCATTATTATGACGGTATTGATGGTGCATACTTAAAGGACGTGTATCCTTGATGACGTCATACCGATTTCAAGGGCTCCATATCGTTTACCGATGAACTCGTGCAGATGGAAATTATCCCAATCGTCTGCGCCTAGTAAACTTTCGATGTCTTGTAACTCGGATATTTTCGATGAACACGTGTAGGAGATGGGTACTATCCTAATCGTCTGTGCCTAGTAAACTATAAATATTATAGATATGTTTGATGAAAACATTTTTGGCGTAACTCTGGCGTAATTCAATTAAAATAAATTTTAAACGATAGAGAAAAATCACTAATGACTTTATCAACAAGCAGAATTCGGCGGTCGCTTATAGTTTTCGAGAAAAAAATATATAAAACTTGTTATTTTTACTAATAAATCCACCATTTTATTTATTTGACTTCAAAAACTCAATACACAGTTCTGCCAACATGATAAATATAGGAAGCGGGCAACATCATACTCGTATCGATAGTCCGATTTTTTTAAATTTAATGCGTCACAGAACCGACACAGCGAATCCTACTCGGATAGATTAGGTTAGAAGGTTCAGGCGGGTATTTACATTAACCACATTTTTTTTTATGGAAAAAAATGTTTTCATCAAACATATCTATAAAAAGGCAAACGAGCAGTCGGGCCATCTGGCAACACCAGATGAATCACGAATGCGTTGCCGGCCTCTGAGGAAGGAATAGGCTCTCTTCTTAAAGACCCCTAAGTCGTATTAGTCCAAAAATACCGCTAGCGACAACTGATTTCACAACTTGGTTGTGCGTGGCAGAAAGTTACGTGGAAAGCGCACAGCCCTCAACACCATCGCTGGACGTAGTGATGGTGTTTGGCAGTTTGACTCGTTGTACAGTCGCGTATTATTAAGCACGATCGGAGAGGAATTGATCGCTGACGGTTCGAGCAGGCCTACGATAGATGCGGTCAATTGCAACATATACAGGACTAGCTGCTGCCCGCGGCTACGTCTGCGTAGTGTAGGCTGAATATATGAAAATATGTATATAAATTATAGCTTGTCTTATTCAGATGTATAAGCTATATTATTGTAAACTTTCATTAAAATCCATTCATTAATATTTGCGTGAAAGAGTAACAAACATCCATCCATACGTACATACAAACTTTCGCCTTAATAATATTAAGTATTAGTAAGCATATGGGAAAAATCTAAGCCGTCTGTGCCTAGTAAACTGTCAATGTCTTTTTATTATATGCTAGTTAAGGGTTTTAGCGATTCAGAAACATTTGAGAGCGTAGTCGCATCTCATACAAATCAACCACCATCTTGATGAATTTGGTTCATTGGGGTGTGTTCACATTTGTGAGCCGTGTACATGCATTTTAAGCCTGAATATAGCTCAATAAGTCCCTACTTATCTTGACGTTGTGGGTGCATTGAGATAAACTAGCGGATCTTTAAGTAATCCTTTCCATTATACTCTGTCAGCTCGACTTTGCACCCAGCACTTGCATTGAGTACACACATGCAAATCTCTTAATATGCGAAACGTGCAATTTGCACACGCGACATCGCTGCAGCATTATTTGTATTTAACTCGATGCAGTTCTGATACAAAACAGGTAGCTGTTTAGCATTTAAATATAGTCCTTTAGAATGTATCCGACTAAGCTAGCTTGTTGTTCTTGAGCGACACACGCAATTTCTATAATTGTACTCGATTACGTTTCGATCACGCTTTGGATGCCCGAGATATGCTCCTTGGAAATCGATTTTGTTTCGACATGAGTTTGGGTTGTACCATTATAAAAGAACCGCTTAAGTACTAGTCGAACTCATACCTATGTTCCTTACCTACCCATTATACCACCATAATAAAATTGGTAAATAATCACGGTGGTCACACACGGACAGACAGACGGGCAAGAGGCATCTTATAAGGTTTCCTTTTTTCCCCTTTTAAGGTACGGAACCCTAAAATGAGTGAAAGTTACATATTATAGTGATGTGAAGCGAAGACGCAAATAAGATACAAAATTAAAAGTTGTTTGTTATAATGTCCACACGACAAAAGTGAAACCGTTTGTTAATTTTCAACTATAGTATAGGTAGCTAATTAGTAGGTGTAAGATAATTTTTCTTATGAATTTTTGTCATAGCTATTTTAAATGCATGGACTTATCAATGAAAGATATTTTATTTTGAGGCTTAGCGGTGAATCAGTCGCGTTTTATAAAACTGCCATCACTATACTATGATTCATTGTAACAAATTTGAAATATAACATGCAAGTACGCATTTATAACCCGATATAGTTATTTAGCATATACGAAAGTAATTAGTTCGAAATTTAACGGAAGTGTGTTCAATTTCACCAACACCAATTAAATTAGTCTAAGCGACCGTAAAAAATTCAATTAATTCAGAATAGCAGAACACAAAAATTAATGCTTTAAGGCAATATCAGTCAGCCTATGGTGTGGTCAGAACTTCGGCATGTACAATAACTAAAATAAATAAATAATATCATTTGTATTTAATGTATACATATACAAATATGGACATAAATAAAAAATAAAAATGAAAATGAAAATGAAAATAAAAACAAAGATAAATATAAAAATGAAAATAAAATAATTCGTCCCATTTACAAGAAATTATTATTAATGCAGGTCTTCACGAACGCCACGCCACAGCACTGGTGCGCGCCACCACATGAGCTCGGGGGCCTACAGCTGTCAGAGGATCTGCTACGAAACTTGACGGTGCCAGAACTTGACGGGGTCTACGAGTCATGCGTGGGCTACGCTGTAGACTCCAGGGCGGTTTTCGCCGCTCTACGGGACTACGTGGAAGAAAAGTGACTTTTGTGCTTATATTTAGAGTTCTACGTTCAACATATACTGAACTAAAGAATTAATACAAAATTGTACAATTATACGCGGACACGTCGTAGTAAATGTATTTATATGAACTTCCTGTTGGTGATTTTACGGCTGTGGCGCTTTATGTGCTAAATTGCATTAAACATCGTTTAGTTTAAATATTGTTTTGTTTAAAATATATTTAATGGCATCACCTAGATGTTATTATTGAGTTCTTTAAAGAAAACTTACTTTGTTATTTTAGTCAATAGCGGATAATACACTATTTTAAATAAAATGTAAGCGTTACAATCAGGTTAAATTTATTTTTGAATCATTAAACTTGACAGATAATCAAAATGAATTATAGAAATAAAGTGTTGAAAAATAACGCTAGTATTATAACGTTAAAATATAATTAAAACTATTGAAAGTAATCTAACTATTGAATAACATCAGTCCTATGAGTGGTTTTCTTACTTATCTTCTTTATTCTTCTTCCTCTTTTTTACTGACGAAAGTCTGTAAAAAAATAGTGAAACAAGTTGATGTGTGAAGCATTAAAAATTGAATCTCAATCAATCTCATTCTCACACGAATTGTGTGAAAATGAGATTGATTGAGATTCAACAGGCGCTCGAATGTTTTTTTTATACGAATTTACTTTTGACACTAAAAGGATAAAAATAATATTACAGGACCGAAATACTCCACGAAGATGGTGTGTTGAAAATGATAAAAACCCACCGCTTGGTGCCTGCAGAGGGAGTAGAAGAACGCAAGAGACAAGTGAGTTTTCGCCAAGTGCATTGTATAGTGCTAAAAAGTTTCAGTACCGCTTAGATTAATTTTTCATTTATTGCCAAAATGTTGTACCATCTTATTTCTATTTCATGCTTTCAAAAATGCTAACTTTGAGAGATTTAGATTGAGTAAATTTTTTCATCATTCTTTTTTAATTTTTGACGACCGCAAAAGGAAATGTATAATATAGAAATGTATTCTAAATAAAACTATTTGTTACATGCATCATCAATTTAGTAAGATTTCTATTGCAGATTTCGCACATAGTGGACGCGATTACCTTGATAAGGAGCAAACCGACGGCTTGTTTGAACGGCTGGAGGTTCAGCTCTGAGCAATATACGAGGACTCTTGTTACTGAGGTGAGATTTCATAATTTTTACGGTGGTACAGCTACGCTACGTCTGGGTAAGTACCACAAACTCACAGAAGGCCGGCGCGTGTGAAAGTTGAATTATTTCTGCGTTTCGTCTTATGAGTGATATAAGCCGATGTCAATTTATGATAAGGTGGCGACGCCTCTACAACCCTACGGTTGTTGCAAACGTCCATAGCGGCGGTTGACACTTATCACCAAGTGAACCGTCAGCTCACTTGCCACCTTCTCACATAAAAAAAGAGATTCTTATCCGGCTCTCCAGTATCCGTATTCTATATTTAATATAAGATATTACAATTATAAAAATATACAGGGAGCGAAATTTCCTGTTTGATTAGGTGCAAAGTGAGTGTCATCTAGGCAATGACGAACACGCTATTACTGAACTAAGGCGTTTACTATCTAAGCTACTTCACTGCTCGCCGCACTTGGTGGGCAAGCGAGCAGGTAGTTCACCTGATGTTAAGTGATTACTACCGCCCATGTCCATCTACAAAAGCAGAGGGGTTGCAGATGCGTTGTCAACTTTTAAAAAAATCATCACCATCTGTCATTACAGCCGCGGGTGTGCCTTAGCCTGGTCAAGCAAATCTCTCCAGTCCGATCTATTCATGGCTTCCTTCCTCTAGCCTATCACCCCCTTTAAAATAGTGGCCCCCGATAATTATATGTTCACGTTTCGTCTGGTGAGTCAGCTTTCTCACCAGATGAAACGCGTAGTTCCACTGATTAGCCTTCCCTTTAATACAATAGCAGAAGCTGTTGCGTGGTTCTACCCTGCCGCATAAAAATAATGTTACATGTACGAGTATGTCAGGATGTAAATTCAGCAATACTCCAAATTCAATTGAACTCAAATAAGAATCTATTGGTGTTGTTTTCACTATCGCAACAAGTCGTTAGAAAATGTTCTACAATGCAACTTTTCTACCTTTTATAACTTTATTTTGAAGCAGGATTACTCCTTTTATAAGGCCTGTTTAAAGAGTGTTTAAAGTGAACTGTGAACTATGTTTATGTCTCCGTTTGTGGTGCAGCAAGGAAACTGCTAAAGATGAACTGTTTACATTAATATATTTTACTGTTTACATTCTAGTATTCCTTAGTATGTGATAAGGAATGGCTAGCACGTACCGGTTACACACTCTTCTGGGTTGGCTCGATATTTGGCAATCTTTTCTTCGGGTGGATGTCAGACAGGTATGGCTGTTTTATTGTTCTTTATTTCAACATCGATTTTCTATATGATAACATTTCCTACGAAGTCCGATTAGATTTTATTTTTATCACATTTATTAGGCATTTCTCTACCTTCGTCGAACTTATTTACATGATATGTGCAAAATTTTGTGTATCGATTAACCTGGAACTATTTTTATGTAATGTGGACAAAGAAATAGTATTTACAGTATTTTATCCTAATTGTTAGGAATAATATGGTACGTGAAATTTGTATTTTTTTATATTTTCGCTATTCTGTCAGTACTTACATTAAAATAAAATAAAGGAATTTCCTGCACGGCTCGTTCAATGTTTAACATGTTTAACACATGAGCTCATGATTTACCTGGAGGTGCCGTTGGCGATAGCTGCTTCATTCCCCACGTCGTACCCGGCTTACATAGGAATTAGAATGGTCAGTGGACTGTTCTTTCCGGCCATGTACCAGCTGCCCTTCATTCTGGCCTTGGAACTGATGCCACCAGCTCAACGGACAAACGCTGGTAAGTAAGAAAATATCAAGTTTTTTTTATGGTACTTTTATTTTAATGATAGCATTTTAAGGATAGCAGATGGGTAATTGGTTCCCCTGATATTGAAAAGGACTGCTTTTGGTTAGTGTTGCAGAAATACGAAAAGTCTCAGTGTGATATTTAAACTTAAACGGGCAGGAGTATGAAAACGGAATCTAAGTAATCACATTTTTAAGAGAGTTGTCAGAGATTAAGTTAATGTAAAATCTGTAAATCTTTTTAGACATTTCATTTAAAATATGTAATGTATAAATCTTGAGATGTGATCTCTTCTAGCCATTGTAGTTCTAGTTCCGATTAGTGTCAGCCACCACTGTGACGTCGGCAAAAGACGGGTTCCGATATTGAAATTTTTGAAAAAAGTCTTCTTATAAACAGTAGCATTACAATATCTCTAAGTAATTTAGGCTTGAATGTAACCCAAATTTTATATTATGTCACTTATTATGTTTTATATAGGTCTTACAAAATAAGGTCTTCAAAAAAAGTGATTTACCGCAGTCTCTTCTTTCGTTGAAAATTTTTAGTCATCAAGATGTTTTTTACGTTCGGAAATAGATGGAAGTGGTTGGCCGTAGTTGGCATCGTCAATCAAGTTGGTAATAATTAGAAAAAGCAGGATCATCCTGCTTTTTGTAATTATTACCAACTTGATTGCAATTTACCAACTTGGCTGTAATCCGAAACAACAAACACGCAACTATTTATTTCTTAGGTAAATTCACATAATTTCGAATACTTTATAGTATTCACGCTCGGAGGGATTTATTGTGGACTGCTAAATTTTAAATCCAGATCTAATTTGATTTCAGGTATTGTGGTGGGAATGCTTTTCGCTGCGGGGATGAGCTTACTGGCGCTTATAGCTTACGTTGCGCGGGACTGGTTCCACCTATCTTTGGCCACCAGCCTCCCTTTCGTCTTCCTTTATGCGTGAGCCCAATTAACTGATTTTTTACGTGGGGTGGTGGCTAAAGAGCTGGTTCATCATCACCATCATCATCATCATATCAGCCGTAGGACGTCCACTGCTGAACATAGGCCCCCCATTGACTTCCACTTCGACCGGTCGGTAGGGGCCTGCATCCAATGCGTCCCCGTGATCTTTACTAGGTCGTCCGTCGACCTTGTGTGAGGTCTTCATACGAGCTGGTTCACTTGGTGTTAATTGATAACCGCAATCCGTGGACATTTGCAACAGTTGTACGAGAACTTCGACTTAACACACGTTTGCAACCCTTTATAAAGATGCTCTTTATAAAGTGGGTTTCGTTTACCTTTACCACACAGTTAAAAAATCATCTTACATGCAATGAAACGCTTTGCTTATTCATCGATTGTGGCTGCGGCATATAAATTAAAATTCTGCAGGCGTTTATTTCATCATCATAACACAGAATAATAGCGAACAGCCCTTTACTGAGATAGTGCGTTTGTTATCAAGAAGTATATCGTTATTTATCACCAGGAGGGTTGGTGAATTTACCCACCAATCTCTCTTCAGTTATTGATAATTATTAGAACTATAATATGTAGGGTTCTTAAATGGAAAATTAAAATGCGGGAATGAATGTTTGTGATCTTAAAACTATTATGTGAAAAGGACCTAATTATACCATATCTCAGACTACAAAAATACAGAGCTTTACAAATATCGATAATATATTTTTTTGGTTTTGATTTAAAATTATTGTTCTAAATTGATCTTTCTTCTGCTTCTTTGTTCTTGTTTACGTAATTATGTATTCGATTCAGCAACTTAAAAGTATATTTCTTACTTGCTGAAATTAAAAACTTTTCACATAAAATCAAGATATTACTGGAAACCATGTCTCATTATGGTGATTTGAACTCATCAATGTGTAATTAAAGATTTAACATTTTGTAGATACTACTGGCTGATACCAGAATCACCAAGGTGGCTCGCCGGAAGAGATCGAACAGTTGAGGCTGAGAAAGTTCTACGAGCAATTGCCAAAAAGAATGGAATTGATTTACACGCGGGTTTTTCTTTTGGAGATTCACGTTAGTTTTTTGAATATTTAATTGGATTAGGTTTAATTAGGAACCTTATTAATAGTAAGACATAATATAATTTAATAGAGTTTGTAAATATTGATAGTAATAAAATAAAAATGATTGATTGAAATATGATAATACGATCTGAAGTAGGTATGAGAAGTCTGATGATAAATGCTTTGATATTATCAGTGACGAAGAAATCTTTAACAGTTCGGGACCCAAACCCGTGGGTTCTGGCTAGCCCACCGGTTCTGCGTCAGATGAAGCTTTAATAGTCTCGGGACTGAAAGCAAAAACATCAGTTAATACAAGACAGTTCGGGACAAGTGAGTGGTATAAGCACTCATTATGTATCATTTTAATTAGAAAGTTGTATTATGCTTTAAATTGGTCAGGTTGAAAAGGTGGCATCCAAAATACTTAGTCATATAAAAAAATTCCAAAAATTTTCTCATAATTTTCCAAATGAATCGAAACAAATTATTTTTTTATGAATTTCAGAAAAACCTCAATATTGACGAAGATGTGGAGGAAAGAGAAAAAATTATATTGTCTTCTGATAATGAAAATGTAGTTGTATTCCCGGAAATTCTTGATATAAATGATGCAAACCGTAGAATAAATAATATGATTGCTTTTAAGCCCGATGTTACTATTGTATCCGAATACAAGAAAGACTCTAGAAGCATTGAGAAACCGCTTTTATTTAATGAGAAGAATTTGCGAAAAAGTGGCACGAGACAAGACACGGAGGACTCACGATTTAAACTAGATATAGAAGATAAAACAAAGAAACCAGTCTTACAAAATACTTCTGTAATCCATTTGAAGAGAATATCCTTGCATCTTATGACCAGATTATTTTACAAGAAAGAAGAAGCCGAACTTATGGAGAGTAGCGTATTAGATGTTGAAAACTCAGAAGGAGATTGCCGGGTATGCCCTTTGGATTTATTCAGATATCAGAATATGAGAAAGAAATTTCTTATATTGACATTCGATTGGCTGTCTTTAGGCGTGATATACAATAGCTTAAGTTACAACACTTCTAATCTTGGTGTCAACGATTACGTTGCTTTCTTCATTGGTGAGTAAAATATATTCTTTTTATGTATTCATTGTGATAGTATATTTAATAAAATTCTACACAGGAAGAAGCTGACTGTGATAAACTAGTGAAAAAAAATAATTAAATATCATTATTTATTAGTTATAACAAATAACGAAGTTGAAATTAAATTCATAAAATTAAGTAACTTCGCCTTTTAATTACGGGGAGAGATTCAGAAATATATTTCATTTAAAAATGTGTAGATAAAACTGTCTCAAAACATTTCTAATCCGAATGATAGAAATAAATAAATAAAACGATGTGCTCAAGTAGTTAAAAAATTACCCACGCTGGGCAATAAATGCGTGAATTCGGGGCAACTTTGCACAGCTCAGTGTCCGGGCACTCGCCTTTAATTCAATTTACTCGTGCAACCTTTTTTTATGTGAAAAGTTGCCAAGCGAGCAGACGGTTCACACACATCTGCTACACCCAAGGGTTCCAGATGCATTGACAACCTTTTGAAAATTGAGCTCCGGCTACCTCACTCACCAGAGGAAACGCGAAAGTATTATACTTCCACTTTACGCCGGTCTTCTGTGATATCGTGATACTTACCCGGACAATTCTGCCCATTAGTGCAACAGCCGAGGCTGCTGCGTGGCCCTATCACCGTGAAACCTGAGTTCGATCCCCGGTGGAAAGACCAATGAAATTGTTCATTTTAAGTGCTGACCTATCACGTGCTCGGCGGTAAAGGAAAACGTGAGGAAACCTGCATATTTTCGAAATAATAACAAAATAATTATTTTTCGGAAGTATGTGAAGTCCGCTAATCCGCAGTGGGGTCGCGTTTATGGACTATGCCCTGATACCCTCTTTACAGAGGACGCCTTTGCCCAGCAGTGGGACATTTATAAGGTGGTAATTTACTTTTATATATTATTATCATAATTGCTTCCATGGTTAATGTAAATTTACAGGCGGTGCTGTTGAACTTCCGTCATATGTCATCGCGTGGCGTTGTATGGAGCGTTTTGGTAGATGCTTGGTGCTTTGTGTCTTCATGTGTGTCGGTGGATTGGCGTGCATTAGCTGCGTGTTCATTCCTGAAGGTATGTGTTTAGAATTGATGATTGTTTTTGTACTAGAACTTTAGTGGGTACCAGAACTAGCACTTGTAATATCAACGAAACAAACAATTTTTAAACGTAGTTTCCAATTTCATTGAGAAAACTTCACTGTTTGCATCATGAGAGAAATGTGAACATACAATTAATTGGACGATGACTGGTTGGCGCAGTTCTAAGCTGTTTGGTTCGGCACCGAGGTTCGTGGGTTCGATAGACCTCACGGCAAAAGAATTTATGCGACCCATAGATACTTGTTCCGGGTCAGAGTGTCACATTCAAAGTGGGGTTGAAGTCAAGCTGGTGGCTGGTCGTAAAACCTTAGCCAAAACCAGTTGTAACATGAATCACATGCTATGCCGATTAGGTTGGATGATAGAATAAAATATACATTTATGGGGGAGAAGTTAAATGTAGTGTATGTTAAAGGATTGGTATAGTCTAAAACAAGCCTTGGTCTATTAATTTAATTATAAAGACTTACAACTTGATTTTAGAGATGCCATGGATCACAGTCAGCTTGGCGATGTTGGGTAGACTATGCGCGGCGGCGGCCTTTGCTGTATTTTACGTGCTTATTGGTGAACTGCTGCCAACGGTGATACGAGCACAAGCTATGGGCTTGGCTTCATTCATTTCAGGCCTTGGGCTTTTAGCTTGCCCCTACATTGTACATTTGGTGAGTTTGTTCTTTATTCCGAAGCTTATTGCGATAAATATTTAGAAGGATGTTTATACTAGTACGGAAAATTTTGCGTGAAAGCGATCGGGTAATAAGTCCCAATGACCACTACGACCTAGAAGATCTATTGTAATCTTCCCTTTCGAAAACATTGCCCCCTTACTACAGAATAACATTATCCTGTGTTGTAAGCACGTTTTACATAAATTCATTTCTTGTGGCCAAACACCCAGATCCGAAACAATTATCTGTAGGTCGTAGACACATTGTCACCTTACAAAAAAGTGGGCCCCGGCTACCTCACTCACCAGACAAAACGCAAAACTATAACACTTCCACTCCACGCTCGTCTTCTGTGAGTTCGTGGTACTAAGCCGGGCGGATCTGCCCAACAACATAAAACCTGCGCGACGCGACCACAGTTAAATGATGACTTCGTGGTGCAGTTGCCAAGGCTTGAGAACTGCACCACGCTTCTGCAAATGGCTTCCGTGTCGGGGGTCGTGGGTTCGATTCCCACACGGGACAACTATTTGTATGACCCACAGATAGTTGTTTCGCATCTCGGTGTTTGTCCGCGTGAAATTTATGTTTATAAAACGTCCTTACAATACAGGATATTGTTATCCTAAAAGTAAGGGCAATGTATCCATTAAAAAAATCATGTTACAGGATGTATGCACAGATTAGCATAAACTACAAAACACTAAACGTTAATTATCCCTTATGCTTTCAGGCTATCTACGGTCGTTCACTCCCGCTTATAGCGATAGGAGTACTAAGCATGGTTGCCGGAGCAACGTCACTTTTTCTGCCAGAGACCCTGAACCAACCGCTGCCTCAGACCCTCAGGGACGGCGAGGCGTTCGGAAAGAGCGCCCGGCTGTCCAGTTGTATGGCGAGAACTGGAGAAAAATAGTAGTTTTACCTTAGAATTGTTAATAACGTAAAGAAAAATAGAAGTTGTTTGTTAAACCAATGCGAGGTTTAATTCCCCCGATCATTTATTTATTTCTATAACAAAATAAAGTTTACAAAAAATATATTAAACTGATACAAACATAAACTTATAAAAGTTTTACCGTATATCAGTATCATCAATCGTCCATACATATTTACTATTATAAATCACAAATTACCATTTAACATAATAAGATAAGATACCCATTAAAACGAAGATAATTCGAATAGTAATTGTTAATAATTTTGTACAGAAGTTTATTTTTTATTGTAATAAATATTGTTGCAATAGACGGACTTGAAACTGAAGTATTGCGGTGTCACCTAGTGATGTAGAATTGACATTATTGGAAGAGAGTGGCATCTGGTGAGTGAAGCAACGAAAGGGCCCTTTTAATGATAGCAACTCACTTGTAACCCCCTAGTGTTATGGACCTTCATGGTAAGTGTTAAAGGCATATAACCAGGTCCATCTCTTCCTTGTTCGCTATGTCTTTTGAAACAATAACTTCCATTTCAAATCGCTGCGTAGGGATATGACAAAGCAGAGAAATGGGACGGTAGCTTGCCGGATGTCGGCGGTCTTTGCCGGGTGTCGGAATTAAAATAATTTTGCCGGTTTTTTATAAACGAGGGATAGAGTGCTGTACGGAGTATGCCGTTAAAAAGACACACACACAGCGACACTATCCCCCTTTTGGGAAGCTGTTTGATGGCTAAGGTGGTAACGCCATGGGAGTCGAATGATACCTATTTAATGAATCATAACAATAATACGGCCTATACGTCAGAATAACACATAAGTTATAATTTATAAAGATATTGTGTGAATTTATTTATAAATCTATACTATAATAAAAGAGTTGAATCGGCGTGTCTGTACATTGAATATATTTATGAAAAATTGAAAAAGGGTATCATAAAAAGTGTTATAGGAAACATACAAACCATTTTTTGAATTTTTGTCTGTCTGTCTGTCTGTTTGTTAGCGATAAACTTGAAAACTACTTATCGGATTTTGATGCAGTTTTCACTGGTTACTTAAGGAAAGCTCGGGGCAGTACCTCGGCTTTGTTTCATCTCAATCGATTCACCCAAACGGGAGATATGGGAGTTTTGAGATTAAAGCAGTGCAGTCGCAAACAGTTATCACATTTATCCTACTACTGGATTAATTTGTATGGTGTTTTTGTAAGTATTCAAAATTAGTTCTGTGCAACTTAAACCTTGTTTTATTGCAATTGGTTCACAAACCATAGGATTGATTTTAACGGGGTATTTGACAAGGTACTGTCACAACTTTCTCGCAATATTTAAGTATCGTTTGATCGTAATTAGTTTACTTAATCAGAATACCAGAACATTACCAATACTAATACACTTTATTAGCTACTGGATCAATTGGAACAGTTTTTAATTTTTTTCAAATGTCATAGTGGCTCTCAATAGAAAAAATTACTTTCCATAAAAATGTACTATCAGTGATAAAATTTTAACCACGATAACGTGAATTTTCAGTTTAATATCTAACTTAGTTTAATATCTAACTTAGTCAATAATCAAAAATTTATGTTTGTAAAGCGCCTTCAAAACACAGGATAATGTTATCCTAAAGTGAAGGCAATGTTTTTTTAAGACTTAAAGAATAAGGTTGCAACGCATATGCATTCTACGGGTGTTGCAAATGTCAATGAGCAGTGGTTATCATAACATCAGGAGCGGTCAGCTCAGCTCGCTTCCCACCCTCCCATGTCTTCCGGACTCTGCCAGCGTTGTCACCACAGCAGCACCTCGATGGTCAGCAACCGCCTCTCCTCCAGGTAACGTGCTAGACTACAAAGCGCGCCTTCTACACGGTATCCCTTGAGGGGGCAACCGACTCGGCCGAACCCAGTATCCAGAGGCCACGGGACACCACTGCTAACAATAAGCATCTAAATGATTGACGTACAACGTGTTCCGTTGTAAACTGCGATAAATAAATAAAATCAAGCGCGAGTTGGACTCGCGCACGAAGGGTTCCGAACCATCTATAAAAACCGTATAAAATCATGCCTGTTGTATTGGAGCGCCAGTTAAATTTTTTGTTCAGTTTTGTTGTTTTAGCTGCAACAGGAATACATCTTCTGTGAAAATTTCAACTGTCTAGCTATCACAGTTCATGAGATACAGCCTGGTGGCAGACGGACAGACAGACAAACAGACAGCCAGCCGAGTCTTAGCAATAGGTCCCGTTTGGGTAAGGAACCCCAAAAAGTTACTTAATATAATTGTGAACAGAAAATTGCGCATCTTTTATGCAGTCGATAGCAAGAGGTAATTATTGTTATCGTCAGTGAGCACTAATTACAATTCGATTTAACGAAATTCGAGGGAACATGGTTGAATATCCATTATAGATTGCCGCAAGTAGGAAGAAAGTGGCCGAACGTGTTTTTAAATTATGCGATAACATGAGCACGTGTTAACTCAACACAATATTGTTCAGCGTTGCGAGCGATTGTTGTAACTCGATTCAAATGTATGATGGAAACGTTCGGTTGCCATACATTACGCAGGTTGTTTGGTTTTTTCGAATTGGATCATTTAAATAGATTCAAGATAACTCGGCAGAAGGACTAGTAAAAGATAACAAGATAATGTGTATAGGACTAAGGTCACTTATTACCTGCCAGTATTTTATCAACCGACTTTAAAAAAGGACTGTATTATTTTTTATGTTTGTTACCTAAGAACATTTGACCGTATGAACGAACCAATTTTGATGATTCTTTTTTATTTGAAAGCTGGTGCTTTTTGCGTTGGTAAAAAATGGTTTTTATATTTTTTTAATGTGTGTAAAATGAAATTAAGTATTATAATCGCGGTAGTTAGTGAGGATAGATGTACGGATGGATATGATGATTGATTAGACTAATCCAAAAGAATAAATCGAATAATCGTTTAACATAGGAGCAGAAGACTAATGCATATACTATGTTAAACGATTTTTTGTTCGGCTAGCTGGTACAGTTGTTATTTACTAGCTGTTGCCCGCAACTACGTCCGCGTGGAATAGAGTGGAAGCGAAAAATTCAGACAGATATAGACAGATATCTACACATATAATAAAAATGTAACTTGTCTTTTTCTTTACATGGAAGATATTTGAGAAAAACTGTTATTAAAGATCCCCCTTTATCAACGCAATAGAACCCAAAACAATGGTTGTTAAAATTGTTGTATGTGTGTATGTGCGTTTGTGAGCGTTAATCTCAGAAACGGCTTAACTGATTTGGGTGCAACTTTCACTACTACATTGACAACAATGTAGTAGTGTAGTAAACTATAATAAACTAACACTCAATGTTAAGTGAAGTACAAACTTCACTTAACATAGAGTGTTAGTTTTATTACAATCGGTTAATAAATAAAAATGTTATATCAACTTAAAAAAGAGTAATCGCTACAGCGGAATTGGATGAAACTATAGTTAACTATAATTATATTATGGTCTGTAAAATGATGATAATTGTTAGATTATATAAATTATAAACCAGCCAAGTGCGAGGTGCAATCGTGCACGACGTGTTCCACGCCATAATCTATAAAAAGGCAATAAAATTATGTCTGTTGTATGAAAGCCCCGCATAAAAAATCTGATTTCCTTTATTTGTTGTTATAGCATCAACAGAAATACATCATCTGTGAAAATTTCAACTGTATCCACAGTTTATGAGATACATGTATCGAACTGCGGGCGAAAAGCTAGTGTACAATAAAATGTCACTTTAAATACCACATTCATAGTTTTGCCTTCTGGGAAACAATTACTATGGGTCACACAAATAATTGTCCAGTGTGAGAATCGAACCCACGCCGAAGGCAATGCCTTCACAACTGCGCAATGGTCAGTGATCTAGCGAGTGGTATTCGCGAAATAAACAAATTTTGTCTGAGCGACACCCAGTGACAATCTCAGCTTGAATTATGTGCCTTTGTAGAGATGTTACGTTTATATGAAGTTAAGTTGATATGAAGTTGAAAATGGAATCCGCCATTGACCAATTTTGGCCCGCTTGATTTGTTATAATTTTCATGGAATATCGCCTACGCAAAGAAGCGAAAGGCGAAAGGCAAGCAATTCTGCTAAAAGACCCCACTAATTTGCAGCCCCCTACATTTGGCCCTTCGAGTACGCGGCCTATAGAGAAATCCACTACTGTTTGTAACAACTAACAAAATCGCAAACCGAAATCAAGAATATCCCTATTCCGAGCAAAACTAAAATCGTACCTATAGTATAAATCTCAATTGAAGAAATTCGCATCATTATTATTAAAATGCAAAAGGTCGGCACTTGTCCCTTAATTAACTTGTGAAAATATGTATACAGCGCATTTTATGAAGAACAACGCCATCTAGCTTTTGCATGGGAACTAATTCCTTATCTTATCGTTACTTGCCTATTATATGCTGGACTGTAATTCTATTAATTGAATTTTTGTCTGTCTGTCTGTCTGTTTGTTAGCGATAAACTTGAAAACTACTTATCGGATTTTGATGCAGTTTTCACTGGTTACTTAAGGAAAGCTCGGGGCAGTACCTCGGCTTTGTTTCATCTCAATCGATTCACCCAAACGGGAGATATGGGAGTTTTGAGATTAAAGCAGTGCAGTCGCAAACAGTTATCACATTTATCCTACTACTGGATTAATTTGTATGGTGTTTTTGTAAGTATTCAAGATTAGTTCTGTGCAACTTAAACCTTGTTTTATTGCAATTGGTTCACAAACCATAGGATTGATTTTAACGGGGTATTTGACAAGGTACTGTCACAACTTTCTCGCAATATTTAAGTATCGTTTGATCGTAATTAGTTTACTTAATCAGAATACCAGAACATTACCAATACTAATTACACTTTATTAGCTACTGGATCAATTGGAACAGTTTTTAATTTTTTTCAAATGTCATAGTAGCTCTCAATAGAAAAAATTACTTTCCATAAAAATGTACTATCAGTTATAAAATTTTAACCACGATAACGTGAATTTTCAGTTTAATATCTAACTTAGTCAATAATCAAAAATCTAACTTTTTTATTATTTATTAACAAATTATTCAATTAATAGAATTACAGTCCAGCATATAATAGGCAAGTAACGATAAGATAAGGAATTAGTTCCCATGCAAAAGCTAGATGGCGTTGTTCTTCATAAAATGCGCTGTATACATATTTTCACAAGTTAATTAAGGGACAAGTGCCGACCTGTTGCATTTTAATAATAATGATGCGAATTTCTTCAATTGAGATTTATACTATAGGTACGATTTTAGTTTTGCTCGGAATAGGGATATTCTTGATTTTGGTTTGCGATTTTGTTAGTTGTTACAAACAGTAGTGGATTTCTCTATAGGCCGCGTACTCGGCGGGCCAAATGTAGGGGGCTGCAAATTAGTGGGGTCTTTTAGCAGCATTGCTTGCTTCGCCTTTCGCTTCTTTGCGTAGGCGATATTCCATGAAAATTATAACAAATCAAGCGGGCCAAAATTGGTCAATGGCGGATTCCATTTTCAACTTCATATCAACTTAACTTCATATAAACGTAACAAAGGCACATAATTCAAGCTGAGATTGTCACTGGGTGTGGCTCAGACAAAATTTGTTTATTTCGCGAATACCACTCGCTAGATCACTGACCATTGCGCAGTTGTGAAGGCATTGCCTTCGGCGTGGGTTCGATTCTCACACTGGACAATTTTTGTGTGACCCATAGTAATTGTTTCCCAGAAGGCAAAACTATGAATGTGGTATTTAAAGTGACATTTTATTGTACACTAGCTTTTCGCCCGCAGTTCGATACATGTATCTCATAAACTGTGGATACAGTTGAAATTTTCACAGATGATGTATTTCTGTTGATGCTATAACAACAAATAAAGGAAATCAGATTTTTTATGTGGGGCTCTCATACAACAGACATAATTTTATTGCCTTTTTTATAGATTATGGCGTGGAACACTTCGTGCACGATTGCACCTCGCACTTGGCTGGTTTTTAATTTATATAATCTAACAATTATCATCATTTTACAGACCATAATATAATTATAGTTAACTATAGTTTCATCCAATTCCGCTGTAGCGATTATTCTTTTTTAAGTTGATATAACATTTTTATTTATTAACCGATTTTAATAAAACTAACACTCTATGTTAAGTGAAGTTTGTACTTCACTTAACATTGAGTGTTAGTTTACTATAGTTTACTACACTACTACATTGTTGTCAATGTAGTAGTGAAAGTTGCACCCAAATCAGTTAAGCCGTTTCTGAGATTAACGCTCACAAACGCACATACACACATACAACAATTTTAACAACCATTGTTTTGGGTTCTATCGCGTTGATAAAGGGGGATCTTTAATAACAGTTTTTCTCAAATATCTTCCATGTAAAGACAAAGACAAGTTACATTTTTATCATATGTATAGATATCTGTCTATATCTGTCTGAATTTTTCGCTTCCACTCTATTCCACGCGGACGTAGTTGCGGGCAACAGCTAGTAAATAAATAATAACTGCACCAGCTAGCCGAACAAAAAATCGTTTAACATAGTAGGTATATGCATTAGTCTTCTACTCCTATGTTAAACGATTATTCGACTCTTTTGGATTAGTCTAATCAATCCATATCTATCCTCACTAACTACCGCGATTATAATACTTAATTTCATTTTACACACATTAAAAAAATATAAAAACCATATTTTACCAACGCAAAAAGCACCAGCTTTCAAATAAAAAAGAATCATCAAAATTGGTTCGTTCATACGGTCAAATGTTCTTAGGTAACAAACATAAAAAATAATACAGTCCTTTTTTAAAGTCGGTTGATAAAATACTGGCAGGTAATAAGTGACCTTAGTCCTATACACATTATCTTGTTATCTTTTACTAGTCCTTCTGCCGAGTTATCTTGAATCTATTTAAATGATCCAATTCGAAAAAACCAAACAACCTGCGTAATGTATGGCAACCGAACGTTTCCATCATACATTTGAATCGAGTTACAACAATCGCTCGCAACGCTGAACAATATTGCGTTGAGTTAACACGTGCTCATGTTATCGCATAATTTAACAACACGTTCGGCCACTTTCTTCCTACTTGCGGCAATCTATAATGAAATTCAACCATGTTCCCTCGAATTTCGTTAAATCGAATTGTAATTAGCGCTCACTGAAGATAACAATAATTACGTCTTGCTATCGACTGCATAATAGATGCGCAATTTTCTCTTCACAATTATATTAAGTAACTTTTTGAGGTTCCTTACCCAAACGGGACCTATTGCTAAGACTCGGCTGGCTGTCTGTTTGTCTGTCTGTCCGTCTTCCACCAGGCTGTATCAGTAACTGTGATAGCTAGACAGTTGAAATTTTCACAGACGATGTATTCCTGTTGCAGCTATAACAACAAAACTGAACAAAAAATTTAACTGGCGCTCCAATACAACAGGCATGATTTTATGCGGTTTTTATAGATGGTTTGGAACCCTTCGTGCGCGAGTCCAACTCGCACTTGATTTTTATTTATTTATCGCAGTTTACAACGGAACGCGTTGTACGTCAATCATTTAGATGCTTATTGTTAGCAGTGGCCGTCCCGTGGCCTCTGGATACTGGGTTCGGCCGGGTCGGTTGCCCCCTCAAGGGATACCGTGTAGAAGGCGCGCTTTGTAGTCTAGCACGTTACCTGGAGGAGAGGCGGTTGCTGACCATCGAGGTGCTGCTGTGGTGACAACGCTGGCATAGTCCGGAAGACATGGGAGGGTGAGAAGCGAGCTGAGCTGACCGTTCTCCTGATGTTATGATAACCACTGCTCATTGACATTTGCAACACCCGTAGAATGCATATGCGTTGCAACCTTATTCTTTAAGTCTTAAAAAAACATTGCCTTCACTTTAGGATAACATAATTCTGTGTTTTAAAGGCGCTTTACAAACATAAATTTCACGCCAACAAACACCCAGATGCGACAAAAACTTTGACAAGTTGGCCCGTGTGGGGATCGAACCCACGACCCCAAGCCAATCCCTTGGCAACTGCGCCGCGGAGTCATCAAAATCTTGTGCCTCATTTACCTCACTCACCGGTCGAAACGCAGAAGTATAACACTTCACGCAGGTCTTCTGTGAAGTCGCGGTCATACATGATGGTCCTGCCCATTCTCACAACACAGTTAAGAAAGGATGAAATATAGGAGCATGATTTATTCTTTATCATGGATAAAGAGCACGTGCTTAGCCCATGTGGACCACCGCCCATTTTCATCTTCAAAATTTGTGTTGCAGATGCGTATGGCTTAAAACTTTTAAGCCGTGGGCTTAAATACTAACTATACTACTTTTATTTTACGCCGGTTTACGGCTACCTGTTCAAGACACCATCTATTTGTGCCAAACTGTTTGTTTAAGCTATTAATTGAAGCTATTTTCATTAAAAGAAAATGTTTTCACGCGTTTATCGTACTTCTTATCACGGGCAGACTGCTGCGCGATCATGAACTCTGCAACGCATTAAAAACGTTAAAATTCAAAATGGTCGCTATACATCAATAATTTGTTGAGATACTAAAGTTGTAATTATGGTCGATCGGCACTTTCTAACACAAGAAAATTAAATTCACTTATTTGCTTTGTTTTTTTGTCCAAACGTAGTATCAATAAGTTAAAGAAATAAACATTTTTTTTAAATAATAATGGAAATAATTTTTTTTTAATAATTTTTTTAGGACACATTTGTACACAACATTTTCTAGTCCCAAACTAAGCAAAGCTTGTACTACGGGTACTAGAAAACTGATAAACATACTTAAACATACTTTTCTTTTATAAATAAATACATATTATACATATAGAAACACCCAGACACTAGAAAAACACCATGTTCATTAAACAATATTTTCCCAGTAGTGGGGATCGAACCCACCCCTCTGGCGCAGGAGGCAGGTACACTACCAACTACGCCATTCGGGTCGTCAAATGTATCATATTAATGCTGTCGCTAACTAAAAAGTTAATGACATAAAAATTTTTTACGACAAGGTCATATATTCATGAAGATCGATGAACTTAGACCTTAGGACTTAATTCAGTCACTGCGACCTACCTTTTACGTTGGTTATTGAGAGTTTTTGTTTTCACTCAAGTGTTACAGAGTCCTTATGAACGACATTCAATCTACACACCGCTTAGCAGTTTTTATCATTATTCGTTACATTGCGTGGCAGTGGCTGTGCCTTAAAGCATAATATTTTTTAAATACCATTCCGCTAGTGGCGTGTAGTGAATGTGATGGATACAATCACAGCTGACATAGGAAATCCCATCAATCAGATAATATGCGCTTTATTCAGTAAGTATTCGGACAGTTTTTTAATTCTTCATTCTAGACTATAATACTATATAAGTAATAGTAAGTTTCGTGTGAAGTTTTTTCGTATATAAATAGCATTGGTAATATTAGAAAGTAAATGAGTATGAGTACTAGCTTCTCTCCTAAATACTCGAGCAACCACAGTTCAAATCCAGTACCAAAGGAAACGTTAGTGACCTACATATTTTTGATAAAATAATAAAATAATATTTCGAAGATCATATACGTTATCTTCGAAATATTTCATTAGCCTGTCAATATGCTGTGGGGGTGCGTGGTGGACTATTATTCTCTTATTCCCTCTTTATAGAGGAGGACTTTGCCCAGCAGTGGGAAATAATAAGCCGTTACTTTACTTTATTATTGGAAAGTACTGAGTACATTCCCAACATGTTTGTCCTAGGTTCACTTTGTTCGAAACATACCACCTCTTTTTTATTATTATAAGGGGGATATTCATTTGTTTTCTCGTCCGGTTGGGTTCATAAATAAAAAAAAATAAACATATATATTGTATATATAACATAAATATTGTGTGTACTTATTATTAAATATACTTTATTGTACAAACACAAAATTTTTATATGTTGATATAAAATAAATCTTAAAAGCTAGGTATAATAAGGCGGTCTTATCGCTACAGAGCGATCTCTTCTAGACAACCTTAGGACAAGGAAAATTAAAACTTATGAATAGTGTATAATATGTAGTGAGGTGGTGCTTAATAAACTTACTTAATAATAACAAAATAAACTATAATAAACATAATTTAATATACATGAAAGTATAATACATTAACATTGTCAATGTTACCTATGTTTATTTACCTCTTTTTTATTGTTATAGACACACCGACAGTAAACTTTAATGTTCGTTCACATTCACACATCTATGCACGGTTTCTCGTCAGATATGTCTATTCCATATCAAACATTTCCCCAATGGACTACTCACGTTGGCGTCCAAAGTAATGAACCGAGAACTATTAAAAAAATCGTTAAACCACCATTAAAATCGTAATATTACGATGCCGCAATTGAAATATAAACGTTAGTGAAATAACTGCACAAACATCCTTACTTAATATTATAAACGCGAAAGTTTGTATGTATTGATTGATGTTTGTTACTCTTTCATGCAAAAACTGCTGAATATATTTTAATGAAACTTTACAATAATATAGCTTTTTTTATTTGAAAAGTTGCCAAGCGAGCAGGTGGTTCACCTGATGTTAAGTGAATATCACCGCCCATGGACATCTGCTACACCCGAAGGTTTGCATATGCGTTGACAACCTTTTGAAAACTGGGCTCCGGCCACCTCACTCACCAGACGAAACGCGGAAGTATTATACTTCCACTTTACGCCGGTCTTCTGTGAGGTCGTGGTACTTGCCCGGACGAGCCTGCCCATTCGTGTAACAGCCGAGGCTGCTGCGTGGCCCTACCACCGTATACGTAGATTATACATCAGAATAACAAATAGGCTATAATTTATAAAGATAATTATTCAAAATATAGGTCTGCGATAGGTCAGCCATCTGCGAAATATTCTGGTGTACAATAAAAAACCTCATCGTTAATTCCCTTTAGCAGCACGGGCGAAGCCGCGGTTTACAGCTAGTTTATTATACTTTAAATTTGTAACAGTAAAGTATTTATGGGGAAAATATTATGATACCTTACTTAAGTATATTTTAATTGAAACCATTCATTATAAAATTTAAAAATACTTCTTGGAACAATAATTGTGAAAATATAGTCACATGTAAATTTCTTTGTTTTCTCGTCTGGTTGGGTTTATAGATAAAAAATAAACACATATATATATATATATATTTATAGATAGATATAATATATAGATATAAATATTGTATATAATATATAAATAGGACCCAACCAGACGGAAGCCCTCGGCAGGGGAGACCAAACGGCCGAGGGTTAGGGTGAAAGGGAGAGAAACCGGCGGACGATGCGGGCGGTATTGAGGAGCACCGCTTTCTGCATTAGAGCTTGGAGCGTTCCGTCCCGGAGTCCCAGTCGCCTCAGATGTCCGAAGAGGCTGACTGGGATCAACCCATTCGCAGATACGACTATTGGGATAATTTCGGTCGGCACACCACCCCACATGTCGGTCACCTCGTGAGCCAGGTCCAGATACGTCTTCTTATCTGTTTCGGCTTTCACGAGGTTCTCGTCATATGGAATGGTAATGTCGACCAAAAATACCCGCGACTGAGCCCGGTCCATCACCACGATGTCAGGTTTGTTCGCGACAATCGTCCTGTCCGTGATGATGGACCGGTCCCAATAGAGCCTGGCGCGGTCATTTTCGAACACGGCCTCCGGAGAGTACTTATAGTACGGCAGTTTCCGTTCCACGAGGCCGTATTTCAGAGCGAGCTCCTGGTGTAGGATTCTGGCTACTAGGTTGTGTCTATGCATAAACTCAGAGTTAGAAAGCATGGAACAACCGGAGATAACATGCCGAAGCGACTCCCCGGGATGGCGACAAGCTCGACAGATGTCGACGGTGCCATCCCTTAGGATGTATCTCCGACAGTTGTTCGTCTTAATAACCTGATCCTGTATCGCACAGACAAAACCTTCGGTTTCCCCAAAGAGGTCACCGAAACGTAGCCAGTTAAGGGAGGCAACAGTATCTACGAAAGGCTCGTGTAGAGCCTTGTAGAACCTCCCGTGGAGCTCTTTCTCCTTCCATACAGCCTCTCGGTCGGAAACGCTCAGTACTCCCGGGTCCTGCCATTGCTCGTTGGCTAAGGATAGAGGGGTAAGTCCTTTATCACAACTAATAACGTCCGTGTAGATTGACTCATCCGATCTCATTATTATTATTATTGTTAGTAAATAGAAACACAACTCTCACTGACGGTTATTACGCGCCGTCAAACAAAATTAACTTTTTTTTTTATTTCGAACTGGCCAGTACTTACTGCCATCCCACCTGATGGTAAGTGGCGATGCAGCCTTTGATGGAAAGCGCGCTAGCTCAGTAAAAACCTATTCACTCCTTGCCTTGAAAACGCCTACGTTGTAACCGATAACAAATAACCGATGTAATCTCCAAAGATTACATCGGTTATTTGTTAGTTCAAGTCTACATCCCTAGAAACCGCTGCACGGTTTATAAGCCCCGCGCCGGCCCGGTATAGTTTTTCGTTATGTCATTTTGTAGCAACAATAATGTTTATTTGCTTACACTGATCATAAATAATTTCATATATATAAAACTAGCGTCTCGCCCGCGGCTTCGCTCGCGTTGAAGCCCTTAAATTAATATCTCTCAAACCTATATAACACTTTTTTCCAATTAAAAAATAGCCTATGTCCTTTCTTAGGCTATCTGTGTACTAAATTTCATTTAAATCGGTTCAGTCGTTTTTGAGTGAAAGCGAGACAGACAGACAGAGTTACTTTCTCATTTATAATATTAGTATGGATATGGATTAAAACAATGCAACGGCATAACATACCTCGAAGTTTATGTCGGATGGATGCAGAAGTCCTTGTATTAAAAACGCATCGAGAAGTTTTTTTTTTACGTTTTCTCTTTGAAATAAAAACTTCCGTACGTAATTGAAAAGTAGAGCCGTGATAGCTCAGTGTCCGGGCGCTCGCCTTTAATTCAATATATACTCGAGCAACCTGAGTTCGATCCCCGGTGCCAGCACCAATGAAATTGTCAATTTTAAGTGCTGAATTATCACGTGCTCAGCGGTGAAGGAAAACATCGTGAGGAAACCTGCATATTTTCGAAATAATAACAAAAAAATGTGTTTCGAAAATATGTGAAGTCCGCCAATCCGCAGTGGGGCCGCGTGGTGGACTATGCCCTGATACCCTCTGTACAGAGGAGGCCTTTGCCCAGCAGTGGGACATGTATAGGCTGTTACTTTACTTTACTTTACGGAATTGAAATGGAGGGTTTTCGCAGTCAACTTCACAGGTTTCGTGTACGGGAGCACTATAGGCTGGATGTCACCAATGGGCCTGCTACTGCAGTCTAGGGACTCCCCGACTGGTGTACCGCTGTCAAATACCGAGGTAATACTTTCCAAGCAAAGCCAACTTCTTTTTTAAGTGAGAATGTGGCAAGCAAGCTGCCGGCTGAGATGATGTTAACTTATATCTGCCGCCCATTGACGTTTGCAACACCCCGTAGGGTTGTATATGCGTTGCCACCTTAATAAAGTGGGCTCTCGCTACTTCACTCACCACACAAAACGTAAAACAATGACATCTCCACTACACGCCCGTCTTCTGCCAGGACGTGGTACATACCCGGACGGAGCTGCCCATTCGTGCAACAGCGAAAACTGTTGCGTGGCATTATCACAGCAATCTGATATCATAACGAACCTCGCTTAGTGATCCTACATAAGATGTGGTTTTTTTAAGAATTTTGTGCAACCACGTGGATACGAAATTACATGATGGACGAATAAATATATAAAGACCCAGACACTGAAAAAACACTAAGAACATCACACAATATTTTCCCGTAGTGCGAATCGAACCCACACCCTCTGGCGCAGGAGGCAGAGCATTACCCAGTACGCCAATTGGGTAGTATTAATAATTTATGTAAAAATACTAGGAACAGCCTAGTATTTTATATTATGCACATTCGCAAGTCTTTAATATTATTTTTTTATGGACATAACATTTTCTAGTATGTATAGTTCTATGATATATTTATTTTTAGTTTTATATAAGATTTAATGTGATTTTGGAACTTTTTAAATAAGCGCCAACTTAGAAATGTTATTTAAGAGAAATAGTTTCATTGGCAAACTTACCAACTTAAGAGTTACGATTTAGAATTGTGAAGTTATTATCGAAAAAAAATATTAATTTATATTCTACGACAGCATTTAATTTCTTTAACAATTTGTTTATCTGTTTAAGTTAAAAAAAAATGTAACGAAAAAACGTCTATTTATATCTGCAGGATGCCTCAATAGTCTTTCGTAGTTATCATACCAGCGCTGTTACATATAGAGTAAAAAACTAAAGTTCATTATTCATTTTATTGTAAGTGATATACAAATGCAATATTTATTTATTGACCTTAATACCCTTTTATGCTTTAACATACTGTCGTATGGCGTATGTCGCATATAATAAAGAGACAATCAATAACAAATTAACAATAAATAAACTAGGAAATACATAAAGATACAATAATTGACATAAAATGGCATATTAATCGTTACATTTATTTTTTATATTTTCATTTGAGTTTATAAAAGATAGATAAATTGAAAACGCGTTATGATATCATTGAACTATAATGGTTGATAAAAGTTTATAGTATATGATACTAACAATGAATATAGAAGCGGCAAGGAATGCGTCCGTTTTTCGTGCTTAATTTGTTTATTTAAATTATTATAAACGTCACGCGGAGAGATGAAATCCATATATAGCTAGAAGATATATAGAGTTAGTTAAGATAATAGTAGGTTGGCCTGGAGAGGGGCCATTAAACGGCTTCGAAGCCGGAACTCCCCACCAGGCCCTGATGGTATTCATGGTCGGTTGTGGGTGCTAGCTCTCGCCGCCGGACTGGGAGGGAGACTGAGGCGACTCTTCAACAGCTGTCTCGGAGCCGGTGTTTTTCCCTCACGGTGGAAGGAGGCCAAATTGGTGCTATTGAAGAAGGATGGAAGGACTGCTGACGCTCCCTCTGCGTTCTGACCTATTTGTTTGCTGGATGAGGCGGGCAAACTATTTGAAAGAATTATTGCCGACCGCCTCAAAATGCACCTACGTCAGGTAGGCCCCGACCTATCGGATAGCCAGTATGGTTTTAGACAGGCTCGGTCAACTGTTGACGCAATCCTTTGCGTCCAAGACCAGTCGCAGAGGGCTGTTACCCAGGGTGGTGTGGCATTGGCGGTCAGCTTAGACATCGTCAATGCCTTCAATTCATTACCCTGGCGTACAATCAGGGAAGCACTGACCTACCACCAGGTACCCCCCTATCTGCAGCGTATTATCGGGGCGTACTTAAACGGCAGGTGCATTCAGTACGTGGGTCGGGACGCGTTAGTCCATTATAGGGAGGTGAACTGCGGGGTTCCACAGGGGTCCGTCTTAGGGCCATTACTTTGGAACCTCGCATATGACGCCGTCCTACGAACTGTTCTCCCCGTCGGTGTAAGTGTTATCTGCTATGCAGACGACACTCTAGTATTGGTCGACGGGGGTAGCTTCGAGAGCACCAGTTGGCTCGCTGAGCTTGGGGTGGCTTGCGTTGTGGGCAAAATCCATGAGCTGGGTCTTCGGATAGCGCCTCATAAGACCGAGGCGCTTTGGTTCCACAAACTTCCTAGAGGAAGGGATCCACCCAGCTGGTCGGTTCGCGTGGGTGACGTGCAGATCCCGGTGAGACCAGTGATGAAATATCTTGGTCTCACTCTGGATACTCGCTGGGGCTTCGAGGAGCACTTGAACCGCTTGGCTCCCCGTATAGACAAGGTAGTAGGTGCCTTACACAAATTACTGCCTAATCTCGGGGGCCCCAGGGAAGGAGTTCGCCGCCTCTATGCGGGGGTCGTGCGTTCGATGGCCCTCTACGGTGCGCCCGTATGGTTCCACCGGCTAGCGAGCGTTCGCCGCTGCAGAGCTAAATTTTATAGCCTGCAGCGGAGAATGGCCATCAGAATCGCACGAGGTTATCGAACGATATCCTTTGAGGCGGCAACTATCCTAGCTCGGTTTCCACCTCTGGACATCCTGGCGGAGATAGATGCGCGAGTTTATACTCGCCTTCGGTTACCCCAGGATGATACCGAGCCCCTGGATGCGGGAGAGGTGCGGGAGCAGGAGCGTACAAGGGGGATTGAGATTTGGCGCGAGCGCTTGGGAGAACCTCAGAACTCGCGCCAACGGATTGTCACTGCGTTCCTGTCAAGCTTCGAAGCCTGGCTTAGTGCGAGGGGATTTGCGCACGTCACCTTTCGTCTGACGCAAGTACTCACCGGGCACGGATGCTTTGGTGAGTACTTAAATAGAATTGGACGCGAACCCTCAACGCAATGCCACCACTGTGGTGGGGACCGGGACTCCGCGCAGCACACGCTTGCTGAGTGCCCCGCGTGGGAGTCAGAGCGTCGGATCTTGGTCCAAAAGATCGGGCAGGACCTATCTCCACCTGTTGCAGTGGCGGCTGCGCAGATGGAGAAATCCGCTTGGACGGCACTGGTCTCCTTCTGCGAAGCTGTTATGCTTCAGAAGGAGACCGCTGAGCGGGAACGGGAGAGGGCCGACTCCGCTCGGAGACGAAGACACCGGGTCGGTAGAAATGGACGAGGCGCCCCGTAAGCCCTGTAGTCTCGGGCTCGTAGAATAGAGCTAAGGTATCCCCTGCCTGTCGTAAAAGGCGACTAAAAGGGGACACGGATTGGCAGCAGTACGAAGTGGTCACGGGCTGCTGGAAGACGGTGAGGGAATCGGGGAAGGTTTACCCTTCTCCGAGGCGTGCTCACGCCCAGTACCGAGGGACACCGGTGCGTTCCATAGGAGATCCCGGAATCCCTTCAAAGGTACAGAAGGTGGCCACCGAGGGGATTTTAGTGGGTAAGAACCCCACATAACCCTGTCATGTAAAGTGACAGGGTATCTTTTGAAGATTTCCCCCCCCCGATACCAAAAAAAAAGGTTGGCCTGGAGAGAGACAGAGACAGGTATGGATAGAGTGATGATATGTGTATGAAAGAGAAAGATGATGCATGATAGAAGGCAGTGTAAGAGATGAACATTGTGTGCCGACCTCAATACCTAATGAGTGACGGAGGAAGAAGAAAGAAGAAAATGTTATTATATGTAAGTTATATAGAAAGTACATTTGTTTATAGCTTTTTATCCTTATACATAGGATTGCTTAAACTAATTTAGGAGTAAGTACCCAATGGGTACATATACAAATAATGGGTAGATATGATACTAGCGCACCGAAACTGAGGCACTCAAATTACACGTACTTGTGTAATTAAATTGCAATTCTATATACTGCTATCCGTTTCCGTATCATACGTTATCCATCTGTTACATTTACTTACACGTGACATGCGTCTTCTATTTAATTAAATATCATTGTGTATTCTCTACATTTAATTAATTTTAAGTTATTTGTTTTATTTCCAGACGTTTCGAACATTATTTCCATTGTCCTTGTATACAGGGCATGTTGAGATTTGACGACGTCTTATTGCTTACTATCATGAACGTTCTTCAGTTTATATTGTGAAATCTTGGGTCTTTCAGCATATTGGAGTCCCTCAGTATTCCCCATTTCGCGTATTTTGCAGGAACCCAGGGTGTAATTTGATTTTGTTTTGTGACACTCATTACAGATATCATGGATGGCTTCGTTACCGTATTTGATGTGCATACCAGCAAACTACGTTGTGGCGTATGTGGGTGACAGATACGGCAGGAAGAAAACAGTGATGTTGATGTCCATCACTTGCGCAGTGAGTTTCCAACAAAATACTCTTTGTCAACACAAATAATGATTGGATTCTATTCAACAAACCAATGTATAAATAAGGTTATGATAACCAAAGACGACTATCACACAATTGCTCTCTTTCCGTATTGAACGTTCTATATCATCTGTCACATTCACATTTGAAAATTTTTACGTGTTGATACTTTCCCGAGCGGACATGCCATTTCATGGGACAGCGAACACTGTTGCGTGGCCATACCACAGTTCAATCAAATAAAAATGTAAATTGAGTAAGATATTTTAAGTCGGTTTTACTGTTTGTAGAGCCGTGATAGCTCAGTGTCCGGGCGCTCGCCTTTATTTCAATATACTCTAGCAACCTGAGTTCGATCCCCGGTGCTGGCACCAATGAAGTTTTTAACTTTAAGTGCTGACTTATCACGTGCTCCGCGGTGAAGGAAAACATCGTGAGGAAACCTGCATATTTTCGAAATAATAACAAAAAAAATATTTTTCGAAGATATGTGAAGTCCGCCAATCCGCAGTGGGGCCGCGTGGTGGACTATGCCCTGACACCCTTTGCATAGAGGAGGCCTTTGTCCAGCAGTGGGACGTGTATAGGCTGTTACTTTTTTTTTTTTACTGTTTGTTACACATTTTTTACTGTTTGCAATACATACATCACTTTGATGACTCCGTGGCGCAGTTGCGATGGTATTGGCTTCGGCGTAGGGGGTCGTGGGTTCGATTCCCACACGGGACAATTATTTGTGTGATCCACAGATAGTTGTTTCGCATCTGGGTGTTTGTCCGCGTGAAATTTATGTTTGTAAAACGTCCTTATTTTTTTATTAAAAAAATCTAAAAAAAAATGTATTATACGGTCCAACAAAATCATTTATAAAAAAAGGAATGATTTTATCGCTCACTTTAACGTTATGAGGAAAAAAATACAAAAAAAGATGATACCTACGGAGGTTCCTTCATCTGTTTCTTCTCCGTTAAAGGAACCACACTTTTTTATTATTTTGTTAAAAATACTGTTATTTTCTGTATTTATGTTTATTTTAGTCTAAATTCGACTACTCTACTAATCCTTTGTTAGTATTTAACATAATTCAATTATTTTTTTGTTAGCAGTTGTCAATATAATAACCTTTGAATGACATTTCAACTGTAATTGAGATAACATTTAGTTTATTATACCATGTAATTATTTATGTTTTAAGTTTTGGTGTGTATCTTTTGCGTGAGGTAAATAAATAAACTAAAAATAAAAAAATTCGCTAAAGTCTAGATTCTTTAATAATAATAATAATAATTCGATCGCTTCAAACTCAAATGCAGAAGGCGGTGCTCCTCGATACCGCCCGCATCGTCCGCCGGTTTCTCTTCCTATCGCCCTAACCCTCGGCCGTTTGGTCTCCCCTGCTGACTACTAATGTTACATAATAATAATAATAATAAAATATCTTTATTCACATAGACGCTTGCGCGTTCTTATGAAACGTCGAAATTTTACAAGGAAATTAATTAATATGTTCGTAAGTTACCACTTTACAAATTTACCTAGGTGTGCTGGGCTATAAAGCTGTGCTCTTTGAGCGTTTGGGCGTTTATCGTCGCGAGGTGTTTAGTCGGGTTCTCGATGGCGGGCACGTGCGTCTGCTGCCCCATCTACACTAAGGAGATCGCCAACAAAAACATCAGAGGTGCTTTAGGATGCTTGGTGAGTGCTTTAGCTTGTGCTTTAGCTAGTGCTTTGCTAAAAATTCCATCTTAGCGGCTTTTATATTGCCTCAACCAATCACATTCCGTGTCTCACTCTGCCTTGATTACTTACGTCTATATATAATTATGTTTATTTTACTACGTTTATTGTATTTTATATCTGAACATAATATATGTAGTCTACAATTTTATATTTTTACTTTGCAGCCCACTTGTAAAGGAACGTAATTAATTGTTATCATTATTATTATTACTTTGTATTATTTTTTTTTCTTCTCATCTAGTAAATAAAAACATTAATATCATAGTATTTTCGTCCGTGAAGTCAACCTTAGGCTCCATTTGAAAATCAGCGCTGTAGTACAAATAGAACTGCAGCATTTTGCTGAAATGGAGTTCCTATTTGATGTCACAATTTTTCTGTTTATGTTTTGAATATGTATTTTTTGTTAAGTGATGTCAAATAAAGAGATTTTCTTTCTTTCTTTCTTTCTTTCTTTACGTTCAATAATATTATATACAAATACGTGGTAGATATGACAGTAGAGCACCGAAACTGAGGCACTCCAATCACGCCGATTGGTGTATTACATTGCAATTCCATAGACTGCTATCTCTTTCCGTATCACACGTTCTGTTATGATTTTTTTATGTGGAAAGTTGCCAAGCGAGCAGACGGTTCAACTGATGTTAAGTGAATATCGCCGCCCATGGACACCTGCTACACCCGCGGGTTCCAGATGCGTTGACAACCTTTTGAAAATAGGACTACGGCCACCCCGCTCAACAGACGAAACGCGAAAGTGTTATAATTCCACTTTACGCCGGTCTTCTGTGAGGTCGTGGTACTTACCCGGACGAGCCTGCCCATTCGTGCAACAGCCGAGGCTGCTGGCCCTACCACCGTAAGATTATCATCTCGCATATTCATTTATATGTCAGTACCTCAGAGGTAATGTGTGTCAAGTCCATTTCTTATGAATTTTGCTTTTTCGATAATTTATGTCCAGTATTTTTAGTGGTAAATTGCATCAAGTCCTAACTTCCGTAGATTAAAAAAAATACTCAGAAATTAATTATGTTAAGTGACAAACTAACAAAGGGTAAACTAATTTATGTCCCACATAACACTTTAGAATTGTGAAATTTTTACTCTATGGTACAAATTTAAGTCCCATATAACACATTAATGATAATAATCACTGTTTCCTAAAAACATTTAAAAATAAAATGTAAAATTCATATAAATTTTTCATAATCTGCTTCTCCTGTAAAGTTCGCCAATTGTGACTTGACACACATTACCTCTGATGTACTGATATGTCATACTAACGGACCAGGCCGACGTTGTGACATGACAGACACACGACTTAAATCCGATCACTTAAAAAATGTGAATCTAAACCATCCTCGAATCGACCTGAGCACACACAAAAAATTTCATTTAAATCGGTCCAGCCTATATATAAAGGTCCATATATATATAAAGCGGAACATTTTTTAAAAGCCGCGCAGTATGGAAATACGCCATCTTTATTAACATATATGAAATCATTGTTTGAGTAGGTTACTTAAACGTTTAAGACGATTTTCAATTAAGATTTGTCCCTTAGCTTTCAAGCGACTTTGTAATATAGTATCATGATTTGCTGAAAAAAGAAGAAGTTTTCTAGCCGAATTTTATTTATACAATGGAATATTCTCCATTATTTTTTTTACGGTATATTATCGACATGTAGCCGTTTCTAGTCTTTCGTTAGAACATCAGGTATCATCCATCGAGCGAAACTTAAGTTACATCTAAAATTTGTTAAACATCGCTTATTCTTATGCATGACAAGTGCATCTTATGATTCGGTGACAAGTAGTTTGACAGTTTTCAAGTCATCAGTGTCGGATCCATGTCCTTCGTGTATATCGTCACGGAGTCAACTTCGTGATGATATACATGAAGGTCATGAGACCATTCAAATCTAAATTATCCGCACCGAAAATATACAGAGGTACGACAAGAAGCTTCATCGCCAAATGCCAAATGAAGTGTAAGGAAACTCTCTAGTTTCATTAAGGCAGAGCGAATTGAAATCATTGGGTGACAATTTTTACGCTTTGAATTTATTGTTATAGCGGCGCACTATTTTATTTAAACTAAAATGAAAAATAACAAATTAAAGAGTGAACTGTTCTCGGAGTGTTCCATTTTTAAACTTCATAAATATACTTTTTTTGTTGTAAGTGGCTAGTTCCAAAGAATAACACTCGTTCACATAATATATTTCCGTTATAAATTACTAGTTTTTCGCCCGCGGCTACGCTCGCGTTGAAGCCCTTAAATAAATATCTTTCAACCCCTTACAACACTTTTGTAGATTAAAAATAGCCTATGTCCTTTCTCAGGCTCTAGACTATCTGTGTACTAAATTTCATTTCAATCGGTTCACTAGTTTTGGAGTGAAAACGAGACAGACAGACAGAGTTACTTTCGACAATATATAAGTATAGATTGTCGTACCATCAAAAAGGGTATAGTGGTTCTTGTAATAAATATATACCCATTTCAGGTGTCTTTGTTCTTCACGATTGGCAGTATGTTCATGTACGTCATCGGGGACATCTTTAGCTATCGCACTGTACTTTGGATCGCAGTGTCAATACCCTTGGTCCATTTGGTTGTGTTAATTGCCATGCCAGAATCACCCTCGTATTTGGTGAAAGTTGGCAAGGAGGAAGTAAGTTGTCAGGCTTTTCAATTTTTATAAGCTCTCATATTTTCTATTCTTAACTTACTTACTGCAAAGTTATAGATCTCCTAGATAACCGCTTACACACAAAATACAAAATACTATTTCTTTATTCAATACAGCCTATATTTTAAATTCTTATACAACGTTAAAAAACTACCACAGGTTCAATAAACTAGACCTGTTCAGAGAAACCGGCAAGAAACTCTGCGGTCTGGTTATCTTTTTTACTATATAAGTACACAAAATGCATATTTGAAGTATAAAAATTACAGGAGACTTGCAAGTGCCGAGCAAGAGTCAATAGAGTAATATACAAATTATTCATTTCTTCCTAACGATAGAGTTTCTCCTTCTTATTTATTGAATTCCTTGAATTTGTGTTCGAGTATTTTTATACTTAAAGATTGAAAACTTCGTCCACAAGATGCTCATGTTATTAGGTACCAACAAGTTTTACAAGTTACGATTGTAGCTATAGTATACGTATAAAATTTTTAGTGGAGTCCGGCAGTTTAGCCGACAATCTTTGCTTAGTTCCCATAAAAGGTGACCAAGGCTATGAAACCCAAATGTAAATATTCAATATAAATAAAAAAAAATACACTCAAATATTTGATGACGACAATGGCGCTATTACGAATAATTACTTATACTATTATCGTTGTTTCCAGGAAGCAGAAAAAGCATTATCTTGGCTAAGGCGCAAAGAAAAAAATCACTTGGTAATTCAGAATGAAATAGAAGAAATAAAAAACGAACAGAATAACGATGCAGAAGGGGATAAATTTCTATTGAAGGCAATTTGTAAGTTAATATTAAATAATGTTGGGATAAAAGTTCAATACATATATGCCAAGAGTAACTAAAATTTAAGTGGGCGAATGATCTCTTTGGGTCTTTTTTATCCATACTACTATTATAAATGCGAAAGTCTCTGTCAATCTCGCTTTCACGCCAAAACTACTGAACCGATTTAAATGAAATTTGGTACACATATAGTTTAGAGCCTGAGAAAGGATATAAGCTATTTTTTAATCGGATTTTTTTTAAAGAAAGATATTTATTTAAGGGCTTCAACGCGAGCGAAGCCGCGGGTGAAAACCTAGTGTTTATATAAATAATGACTAACTTTCTCCGTATTCTGTCTTTCTTTTTATTTACTTTTTTAGTGAGAAGGTGACAAACTAGCTGGCGATTTAACTGATGTTAGATGATAATTACATTGACATTCGCACACACGTAGGGTTGCAAATGCCTTGACACATTTCAATGAAGTGATACCACACTCACTCATAAGACGAAACGCAGAAATGTAACACTTCCATTTCACGCCAGTCTTCTATGAGGTCGGGGTACTTACCCGGATGGACCCGCCCATTCGTATATGCGAAGGCTGTTGCGTGGCCCTACCACCGCAAAGATATCAACAAAGAATGTTATTAAGCATATTTTAATTTTATCTCTCCCCTTCTTTATTTTAAGGCCGCGATAGCTCAGTGTCCAGGCGCTCCCCTTTAATGCGATATACTTAAGCAACCTGAGTTCGATCCCTAGTGCCAGCACCAATGAAATTGTTAATTTTAAGTGCTGATACATCACATGCTCAGCGGTGAAGGAAGACACCGTGAGAAAACTTGCATATGTGAAGTCCTGTCATATGAACCCGCCAATCCGCAGTGGTACCGCCTGGTGGACTATGCCCCGATACCCTTTGTACAGAGGAGGCCTTTGCCCAGCAGTGAGACATGTATAGGCTGTTACTTTACTTTATTTTTTTTCTTATTTTCAGTTAAGGACAGCATCCTTATAAAGGCGTTCCAAATAGCTTTGGCAGCAGCATTGGCCAGAGAACTGTGTGGCGCTGTACCAGTTTTGAACTTTGCTGGACAAATATTCGCCATGTCTTCAGAGGGTACTGGGCTAGTGTTGTCACCCAATCAGCAGACGATGATGTTAGGAGTGGTCCAAATCACCGGTGGCTTATTAACATCGAGTGTGGTGGAGAGAGTTGGCAGGAAGGTGAGCTATATAAACGACACTGACGGCAAGAAATACTTCCAGAAATATTTCATATTTTTGTAAATCAAATTTTGGTGATTATTTACAATTAGTTTAATCAAATTCAGTGTCACCTTAGTGTCAACTATAAGTCTTTTATAATTTGTATTTATTCGAAACTATATGTGCGCCTGACATAATTTAATTAGCAAATGTCATGACACATGAAAATTGTCATAAAACTGCGAGGTTTTTAACGGCAAACATAACTTCTATTGCTATTTTAAATATTACCTGAATTACACGTTTTAGAGTTTCGTAGTAAGACTGCGCTGTCAGTCTGTATGTCTGTCTCTCTGTCGTCCAGGCTGTATGTCATGAACCGTGACTGTTAGGCATTTGAAATTTTCACAGATGATGTATTTCTGTTGCCGATTTAACTACAAATATTAAAAAACAGATTTAAATGAAAGGGGGGTTCCAAAGATAAGACATGATTTTTTGCCGTTCTTATAGATAACGGTACGGAAGCCTTCGTGCGCGAGTCCGACTCGCGCTTGTCCAGTTTTTTCAACGTTATTTAACAAACTTAGTCCACACGGCATTGTACCGCGACCGCTACCTGTTTTACTGCCAGCTTTAAAGCTAATCAAAATAAATATCATTTATTCATTTTTCTAATGTTACGTCTCAAAAGTTAGATCTTTAGATCTTAAATCTTAATCGACGGCGAAAATTTCTTCGCTGTCACGACTTATTTGAGTGAAAAATCAATATATAAATTATTACAGGCAACCGTACTTTCAATAGGTAAGGTTGCTTGAAAGAAATTGCAACCTTACCAATAAGGGCGCCTATGCTCACTATGTTTCTTGTATTTTACCTTCTATGTTTTTCCCCCGTGTGCAATAAAGTACATTCTATTCTATTCTGTAGGGTAATTTCTATAGGGCGACATTTTTTTTAATTTCAGGCTCTCCTGATCGTCACTAGCTTGGTATCCGGGCTGAGCATGTGCGTTTTGGCTTCGTGGTTCCTCGCTCGTGACTATCAATATGTATCTCCCGCTTGGATTCCGATCATCACATTGTGCCTGTGTATCCTGTGCGACGCTGCGGGACTTCAGGCTCTCCCAACGGTGATCACAGGGGAGATCTTTTCTTTCAAGGTAAGAGGTCATTCTTTTAAGAATGTAATTTAGAAATGCTTCTACTGTCTATCATCCATACAAGGTATTTGCTTCGGCGTCGCGGGTCGTGGGCTCGATTCCTACACGGGACAACTATTTGTGCGGCCCACAGATAGTTGTTTCGTATCTAGGTATTTGGCCACGTCCTTACAACACAGAATAATGTTATCCTAAAGTGAAGGCAATGTTTAAAAAAAAAAGAAAAACAGTCTATATAATCAGCCACTGATGTAGGCTGCTCTAACTCGTCACATGGAAACCCAAAAATTTACAAATTTTAGTTTTTCAATTGATGCTTTTAGGAGGAGCCAAGTATGAATATAAACCATTAAGATTCTTCTGCATTATTCACTTGTGAACAATTAGGCGAGGCTGTATTCAAATTTATATGAATAGCCTGTTGGTGATTCTCAGTGTCGAATAAAATATCTTTATTAGTATTTCTTAATCGCTTGAAAAATTTTCTTACTTTTCCCCGTGGATAAGCCATCTCTCCAGCCCCGTCAGGGTCAAAAGCATTGGAATGTTTTTTTTTCTTTTGCATCCAATTTTTCTCATCTTGTATACATTTAACAAAAATTTGTATTTCCAATAAATCAAGCTCTTTAACATTTCCACAGTATCGCGGCACAGTCTTAGCAACTACCATGGCAATAGCATCGTTGTCGGACTTCTTTCAACTTCTCTATTTCAAGCCTTTGGCGAGCGCAATCGGTGTACACGTTGCTTTCTATTTCTTCGGTTTGATGTGCCTCTGCAGTGCATTGTATACGGTCCTAGTTATACCGGAGACCAAGGGTAGAGATTTGGAGGATATTTATGACGATTTAAGAGGTAAGAAAAATAAAACCAAAAATATCTCAGCGCAGGGTTTATAGAGGTGGTTTACTACTTAATAATAATTTTAAGTTAAATGTAAAATTATTAAGTAAATTAATAATTTTAAGTAATAAATTGTAATGTGTTTTTTTTTTATTGGTGTGGCTACGTTATCCTACCCTAAACACTGTATGCTTTTTCAGTTTTATAAGTATTTCTTGTCGTGATATAATTAGAAAGGATGAAAGGATTTTATTCGTTTCTTTTTACTTTTCTTTTACCCGGTTACTTCACTCACCGGATAAAATGTTAAAGTTTAATACTTACACTTCACGCCGATCTTCTGTGAAACTGGTAAGTACAAAGTAGGGACCGATCATGAAAAAGCTTAATGCAATTTCGTAGTACATGAAACTGGATTTGTGAAGTGGACGATTAATAAAAGATTTCAATGGCATTGCAATGTTACTTAATAGCTTTTAATTGCACCCTTATTAATCGCACCTTCATGCAGCTAAACATTCCTGTTAGTATGATGAAGTTACTTAGAGTTACTAAGAGTTCCGACCTCATTTGGGTCCATCAAAGCCATGCTGGGGAATCTTTTTTTACTAGATAAACATGACTTTACATTCGAACATTATTACATTGAAAAGCGGTACAATTTTTAAACATGGCATCCGTCATTTATATCATTAAACATCATTGCGTACAAAATATTACGTTCATACATGACAATTCTATTTCATAAAATGAACGAATATTGTTTCCGAGGAGGTTAGACGTCGGGCTTGCGGCCGGTCGTAAAGTTCCATTTTAAAATATGATGTTGTGATAACCCCTCCTAGATGGAATAAGGTCGGGAACAATAAGAGGAATATGTACGAGTATGGGTTATAGAAGAATAAGGCGTTTCTAAATATAACTTGTTGTTTATTATTCTATAAGTCATTAAAATGAAGTCTACAAAAATGCCAATTGTAACAGGAGAACAGTGTAGTCAGCAGTGATGCAAAACATACTCAAGGGCAGCGTCGCACCAACTTGTATCACGCCACCAGCTTGCAGTCGTTTGCACGCCTCCTTACTCATTCTAAGGAGCCTTTTGAACGTCGCTCGTTTATCTGTCTCACAAAAAGTTCTATTTAATGCGTGAACGAGATTCAATGAACCTTTTCTTTCTTTGCTTCTTTGCATACGAATAATATTGTCTTTAATTTACTTGATACATTTATTCATGAAATACCGATTTCGATACTTACTAAAATATAAAAAATAAATAAATCTATGCTATTTTTGAGACAATAATGTCTTCATTTTAGGATGGTAAGAATTAGATACTTTCAAAAAATTACTTGACATTTGCTGACGTACATTTGGTTTTTGAGTATAAGGTAGGTTTAAGAATAGTTTTCTTTTTTTTAATTTAATGACCCTCAGATCAAAAGCCCAGTAGCTGTGCTAGCATGTTATGTTAGATCCAGATTTATTTTGGTAGATATAAATCGGCTATTCCAAGTATCTCACTGTTAGTTGAATACAATATAAATGTTTACATCAATTTAAAGTGAAGACTTATGTATATTAAATATGTATGGTTGCTTCCGACTTATCTACTGTCTAGGTTCTATTGAACTTAAACAGTAGATAAGTCAGATTCAGTGGAACTTAGACAGTAGGCTTGATACTATCAATCCGTACCTGCACACTCTTCTGAAACATTGGCCATTATCAGCGCGACTTGGGCATTTTTGAACGTGATATAAAGTTTCTCACACTCAAAACTTAACAGAAATAGCATTACTGCGAATTTCGTTGTTATTAGAACTGAAGCACTGATTCCAACGCTTGATGATGGAAACTAAAAATTGATATAAGATTACGAACAGTAATTACACCACAAATAAACAGATGTTTAAAACTACATTATGCTATTCTTACCTGTAAGCAAAGCATAATGGGGTCTTTTGTATTATTATGTAGGCTATGATATATTTAGTTGATAATTATGTAAAGTAACTTGAATTAAAAAAATCCCCATTTCTTATTTGAGAAGTTGGCAAGTACACCTGATGTTTTATAACCGCCACCCATTGAGATTTGCAACACCCTTACGGTTGCAGATGCGTTGCTACTAATAAATTGGGCTTTGGCTACCTCACTCACCAAACAAAACGCAGAAGTGTAACACTTCCATTTCACGCTGGTCTTCTGTGAGGTCGTGGTACTTATATACGTAAATATATGCAACAGCGAAAACTGAGGAAGACTGAAGTTACGTGGCCGTGTCACAGATACCAAAATGAAGAAAAGTAATCCAAACCAAAGACCAAAACATTGAAAAAACGTAATTGACCCAAGACTCAAGGGCAATTTTAATACCGCATACCACTTTTAGTGTTTCAGACACCATTAGTGATTCATGGTATGACAGATGATGATAAGAGACAAATAAAATGGTTTGTTTATTTGAATAATACAAATTAAATGCAGTTTACTCACCGAAATTCTTAATTGTACATTGAAAAGAATCTGAATAAATAATACAACAAGATAATATGCAATCTGCAATAAAAATAATTATTAAGAATATTGAATAAATTATTGCTTAATTATTACCGTGATTTAGAAATTCACGAATGAAGTATGGAGATCAGAAATATTAAGGTTGGTCAGAGGTATTAAGGTCACACTGTTCAATTTTGAGAAAAATTCTTACTTTCCTTGCTTGCTTAGGAGGGAATGCTCAACACAAAACTGTTGAGTTTACGAATTAAATAGTTATACAACTTGATTAATTTAATTTCAAATATATCAGTAGTTTTTGTGCCCCGACCTGAAAATCATGATTTTACTTAACTTAGATTTGCGCTGATTTTTAGGTGAGCTGTTAACAAAAAGGTGGGATCACTGGAGGTTACTTAGCAAGTATAAATCTTTCCATAGGTCTTCTTTCCTCGTGAATATTTCCATGGTGTTTCCCGAGTTGAACCGACCCACTCATTAAGCAGCAGAAAATCCTAATTACTTCAAAAGGAAATAAATCGCTGGTTACCAAAAAATTTCATGCCATGATTGAATGAAAATGGTTTGGTTCTTGATTAATCTTACCGGAATTCCAAAAAGTTCGTTGCAAATGTGAGAGGCATCGATGATTTTGAAAAATGTGCTGACTATTTTCTTCCTATAAGCTTGCCACGAGCTATTAGGTTCTTGAATGACAACGTTAACTTTCATTTCACTAACATGTCTCAGTTCTGACGTCCATAAAGTTAAAATACTCCTTAACAACTTAATCGTGCGAATTACGTAAATTATATTTAAATCGGCCAATAAAAGTGATAAAAATGTGAGGGATATTGTAAAGGAAATGCTTTGTTTGTAAACGTGATACAAACATAAAAAGACGTAACAGATAAGAGTAAAAACAATATATGCCCAGTTTCCAAAGACAGCGCTTTTACTACTAGTTCGAAAACATCTGAAAGTTCTTTGGAAACTTTGTATGATTAGTATCAATCTAACTTGGGTATTGCTTTGTGCAGCGTTTAAAATTGAATTCAGCGCAATCAAAATACAGTTGAACAAATAATTTATAATAGCAATCGTCAACAAAGTAGTCTCAAAATTTCTTATCGTTTTATCGTTAACAAAGCTGAGGACGTAAATGAAAATGCAACAGAAGGAACAAGATAAAGAAACGGCGTTAGCAACACGACTGTTTGAATTTATAAAGTTGTTCCGGATACTATACTTTGGAAGGAAAAGCCAATTTTGTATTATATTCATAGGACGGAGGAAATTATTTAGATCTGCTTCTAAATAATTATCCAAAAAAAATTCGTTTCTATCATATACCGATATAGATGAAAGCTTTCTAGATTGTCGATTCCCACGCATTGTGGAATAGAGTTAAAGTTATACTGTCTAAAATCAAGGATGGTTAAATCATATTAATAAAATCTAATACAATGTAATATCAGATATGAGTATCATTCTTAGGGTTCCGTATCCGTATTACCAAGACTCCGTTGTCTGTCCGTGTGTCTGTTTGTCCTCTGTCTGTCTGTCTGTCTGTCCGTCTGTCTCTCTGTCTGTATGTTTGTGATAGTAAGACTTTTTTATGTGAGGAAGTGGCGAACGAGCTGGTGGTTCATCTGATGTTAAGTGATAACCGCCTACCTATGGACATTTGCAACACCCGTAGGGTTACAGATACGCTGCCACCTCTTAAATGTGGGCCCCGGCTACTTCACTAACAAGACGATTCGCAGAAGTGCAAAACTTCTACGTTACGCAGGTCTTCTGTGAGGTAGTGGTACTAAACCGGACGGACCTGCCAATTCGTGCGACAGCGAACACTGTTGCGTGGTCCACAGTCGAAATTTTCTCAGATGCTGCTTTAAAGACAAATATTAAAAACCAAAATAAAAAAAATATTTAAGTTCGGCCCACATAAAACATAATTTTTGCCGTTTTTCAAGATAATGGTACGGAACCTTTCGTGCATGAGTCCGTCTGGCACTTGGCCGGTTTTTGATATTAAAATTATGAGAAGGTTTGTATGTTATTCGTTACTGTTAATTCGTGTAGCTTGTTACAGTGTTGCTGTACGTTATTGATATTTGATTAATTTAAGTGAGTGCTGATAGTATCAGCAAAGGCCTTTGTATCAGACGTTCTGTTTTTGAGAACAAACATGGGCCATATACTGCATCTCCATAATTCAGTTTGGATAGTATCACGGATTCACATAAGTTCATACGAACATCTACACTTAAGTAATTACGGTATAAGAGCTTGAGACGGTAAAACAGTTATGTGATTTTCAAAACTATGTAACTTAGGTGTGATATTGGATAGTAACTTACACTATTCAATATCACACCTAAGTTACGTGCTTCCGAAACCTGTTCTATCGGCACTCCGTGTATATTCACATTAAATCTAAAATTGGAAACTTCTGCAATCTGTTTCCTAGAGCCAAATAACAAATACTTGAACTTCACGGGATTCAAAACTAGACAGTTATTGAATGACCATGTAGTTATACGCTTAAGATCATTGTTTATGTTATCTATAGCTGACAATGTATCTCCAGGATAGAAGGAACGATATAATTGCACATCATCGGCGTAAAGATGGAACCTACATTGCGTATACAAGATGTTATATCCGCACTGTACAAAATAAATAATAATGGCCCAAGAATCGAGCCTTGGGGAACTCCTTGAGATATGGGCTCTGTGGAGGAAAGATCCACATTGCCGTCATTTTTATGCAGTTGCACAAACTGTGATCTGCCAGTAAAATAGCTTTGAAACCATTTGACCGCAGTTATAGAAAAACCGTATTATGATAACTTTGATAGAAGAAGTGAAATATTGATGCAATCAAAGGCACGTGAGAAATCTAATAATACCAGTACTGAGGCCTGACCATTATCTGATCATTAGCTGAGCTGCAGGTATATTGTCAGTAACGTTCAGCAAAGCAGTGGTTGTACTACGGCCCTTCCTAAAGCCTGATTGACGGCAAGACAATAAATTATTCAACTCTAAATTCGCAGCCAACTGTTCACTTACTGTTTTTTTCAAGTATTTTAGAAATACTACTTTGACCACTGCGGTTTTCCATAAATCAGGGAACGTTCAAGTCAAAATAGACGTATTAATAATATGTGTTAATATATCGAGGGTTTTAGGAAGGGATAAAAGAAGCATGTCAAGATTTATTGTATCGAAACCTTGAGCATTTGACTTTAAGGTCATAATCATTTTAGATACTTTTTCCACAGTCACCGTTTTCAAGGAAAAAGTAGCATCACTAAAATTGTGGAACTCATAGTAAGACAGTTGTGAAATGCTTACTTAATCACAGAGATGTGAAGGCAGATTATCAGTATATTTGCCGGCCATGGGTATATTTTTTTATATTTTTCCAGAATATTTTTGAGTTTTTAAATATGTGAATTGATAAATGTGTTGAAATAGGTACGTTTTTCGTAGAACAATGAAGTTTCAACCATCTTCCGACGTTCCTTGTGTAAAGCTTTATACTTTTCGGTATCTGAATCTTTTTTACAGTGCGTAATTTACGATGAGCTTCATCTCGGAGTCGCATCATTAACTTAACATGTTCTGCTATCCAGGGTGTGGGTCGATCCCGTACTTGAATTTTTTTTTCGGGTGCATGTCGGTCAAATACTGCAGTAAGATAAGTACTAAGAACCTCTACCATGTCATTAACATTGGGTTGGCTTAACTGACTCCCAATCAATACGCTCAAGATCTTTGCAAAAGTTGTCTAATAATATATTCTTTAGATGTCTAAAAATAAAATTTCGAGGAACTGGCTTTAGTTTTTTAAAATTAAACTCCACAGAAATTATTGCGTGGCGCCCCAGATCTGGAATATAATCCACCAATACGTTGCGAACCCTGCCATCTGTGCATACAATGTCAATCAATGTTTTTGTGTCAGTGTAATGAGTTGGCTCACATACTATTTGCACCAAATTTGTATATCGTAAGAAGGTGTTGAGCTCCCTGGTTTTACTATCATTATGATTAAGGATGTCTATATTAAAATCCCCTAATAATATTATATAATCAAAATATGAAAAGAAACTTATTGATTCAGAAAGTGAGTCAAGGAAGTTATTGACATTAACCCACTGATGTCGATAAGCATTACCAATGACAATCTTATAATTATTAACGTTTACACTAATCCACATCTGTTCGACTGTACTAGAAGGGTGAGTACACGTTCGTGCATTGATATTTTTATGTATATAAAAACCTACACCCCCACCACGGTTTAGCTGAGCGGAGGTAGGACGTGGCAAGCACCGTAGCTTGTAGCCGGGTACGATAGGAGCGCGACCTAGTTCACCTTCTTTAATCCATGTTTCATTAATCACGAATACATCAAACGTGTGTCTCTCCGTGGCAGCTATGAACTCAGTATGACCGGTTCCCAACGAACCAGCATTAAACAGGCCTAACTTGAAGATATTAATTTTCAAAGCCATTGTATTAGATTATTAGAAAAAGGGCAAGATAATAGAAGCATCAATTTGGAACCGATCACAGAGTTATGAGACAATGTATAATCAAAAATGATGTCTCCGTGGCGCAGATGCCAATGTATTGGCTTCGGCGTCGGGGTCGTGGGTTAGATTCCCACACGGGACAACTATTTGTGCGACCCACAGATTAGTTGTTTCGCATCTGGGTGTTTGTCCCCGTGCAATTTATGTTTGTAAAACGTCCTTACAACACAGGATAATGTTAACCTAAAGTTAGGGCAATGTTTAAAAAAAATCAAAAGTGTGGTTGCGTCATCCAACCTCCGGTACATCGTAGCGCAGTGTCCGCAATAAGTTTTGGTCGCCACTTTTAGCCGGATCACAGAGTATTTTATATTATGCAATTGATGCAAAAACAGGGAATTAGCAAATTTAACAAGCACGATATAAGTATTATATATATATATAAATCAAGAGTTCATTACTTGTTATAGGTTTTATAAGTGGTTTTAATTTTTTATCTGCTCGATCATAACAAAATATTAATTTGGTAATATAAACAAATTTTATATAATATATTAAACAACCGAAAACATTTTTAGATAAAATAAGTTTCATATCTTGTTCTAATTTATTAAAAACAGGAAAACAATAAGATATAAATTTTAGAAAAAACAGAAAACTTACGAGTACATAGCTTACAGAACCACTAGAAATATATTTTACGTAAAGCAAAGTGAAAACAAAAGAATTAAAAAAATTAAGTATGAACGCCCCCACCATTATTCCCGTGAAAAATTCGATTAAGATCAGTAACAGAGCAAATTCTGAAGGCAGGCATCCCTTGATCTTTCCGCGCAAAAATACGTCCTTCTTTGGTCCAAGTGAACTTCCATTTGTGTATACGGCTCAGCTCACGTGCTTTATAAAACAGATGTTTATTTATTTTAGTCAAGCGCTTGTTTATATAAAAGGGCCTCACATGTTGCTGAGAAAAACCCATTTCAGACGTAGTAATACCACGTCGGACACGAGCATTACGTAAGATATCGTCACGTAGCGAGTGTCGAGCCAGCCGGACAGCAATAGGCCGGGAACGCATGGCCTCCTTAGTGAATCCAACCTGGGTACCTTCTAGGCATCTACGTGCACCAACACGGGTGCAGCTCACAATATCTTGGGCTTCGAGCACCATACCCAACTTGGTCGCCAATAAGCCAACAATGTGAAATGGGTTTTCAGATTTTTCCTCGGGAATATTCAAAATTTCGATATCATTATCCAAAGCTCCTGATCGCGCTCGTTAACTTCTAGTTTTAACTTCTCGATGGCAGTTTCGAGTTGAGATATTCGCGATGAGTCTTCCCTGCCGCAACGCTGCTCCAGGTTATCCATTCTTTGTTGTAGAGTGTCCAGACGCAGGTTGAAAGCGGTCGTTGTGCTGGTGATTCTCTACGGAATAAATTCACATTTCTCTACGGAATTCACGCAATTCAAATGCTAGATCTATTTCTTGTTCTGAAGACAGCTCGTGGTATTTTCCTCACGATATTTTCCTTCACCGTGGAGCACGTGATAGCAGCAGTCAGCACTTAAAGTTAAAAACTTCATTGGTGCCGGTACCGGGGATCGAACTCAGGTTGCTCGAGTATATTGAAATAAGCCGAGCGCCCGGACACTGAGCTATCACGGCTCAAAATAATAAAATAATAAAATCATTAAAATCAAATGCTCTGGAAGTGGATGATATTAGCATTGACATGATAAATTTGACTTTACCAAATTCCCTTTTCACAATAACAGAAATAATAAACAAATCAATATCCTCAAATACATTCCCAGAGTTGTGGCCTCAGGCTATTGTTTGTCCTATGCCCAAGAACAGCAGTTCTCTGAGTTATAAGGATCTTCGATCAGTGAGTGTACTGCCTTGTCTTTCGAAGGTCTTAGAGCGGGTAGTGTACTTGCAGGTAATTGAATATTTAGAAAGAAATAATATATTACCTCACTTACAGTCAGGAATCAGGAAAGGGCATGGTACTGCCACAGCATTATGGGCTATGGTGGGAAATTTAACTGAGGCTCGTGATCAGGGCAAAGGGTCAATACTTGTGCTATTGGATTACTCTCGGGCATTTGATGCTATTAACACATCACTGTTGTTATCCAAGTTGGCCTATTACGGTTTTACAACAGATGCCATCCAATGGTTCGATAGATATTGAACCGAGAGAAAACAACAGGTGAAAATATATTATCGGCACAAAAAAACCTAATTACCTATACGACAAATTAGACTGGACACAGACTAGGACACAGCAAAATATTTTTCGCTCTTCTACCAGGCCCTTGTTAACAGCTAAGCACAGAACAGCCGCGGTTAGGAGCTGTTTCAAGTATGCTGCTACCCAATGTTGGAACAACATCCCACCACCCATCAGAGACCTGAAAACAGTAACATCATTTAGATATATCTATAAAAAACTTCTATTAGAACAGCAAAAGAATGGTCCTGCTTATTATACACACTTTTAAAATGACATTAAATTTTTTTTTTTTTTTAGTTTATTATTATTATTATTATATATATTATATAATTATACATATTCATTTTCCATTAATAGAATTCAATTATATTATTAATTTCTTAATTTATAGATAATATATGTAATTGTAATTATTTGTTTTTTCGCTTATATTCTTTTAGTACTTTTAAATATATTGTTTTGTGAGATAAATCACCTATATGGTATGTCCCATGAGCAAGGTGGGATTTTGTAAAATGAAGCGGCATACTTGGGAGTCCATTCATACTTGACTTTGTGTCTGTTGCCATGCCATTCTGATGTTCTTAGGATGTTCATCCAGTGACCAGTGACGTGTCCATTAGCCATCTTTATAGGTTACCTGCAACGCCATGTGGGTTTTTTTATTAGATTCAGCCTTTAATTATTTATAATACTAGCAAATAGTTGTGTAATAATAAAGATAAATACCTTCTGTATATATAATGGAACGTAATATTTAATAAGTAATCGATAGCTTGTCTATCTCCATATACGGTACATATATTTTCTTTTTAATTATTATTATTTTTACTGTTTTTGTGTCTTTATATATACATCGTATTATATTTTTATAATAGAACTGTACATAGTTTCTACACGGTAATATAAAATAGAATTTAATTTTCTTTTAGACGGAGCGCATGACTTCCGGCATAGCATAATGCTGCAGGTGCCAACCTAATTTACCGTAATAGGGCGTACAATATTTTTTGTTTGTTAAAGTTCTTTTTCATTTGTTTCATATTTTAATTACGTATTCGTGTTCTTTTGCTTTACTGAATTATTTATAAGTATTTTTTATTTCTTTTATTTTTTTTTTTTATTTTAAGCTTTTTCTCTTTTATTGAGTGCGTCCTTTTTTTGGTAAATAAATGGATTTTTTTTCTTTTCTTCTTTCTTTCTTTCTTTCAATGCATACGCGCAATAGTTAATTTTTAATTAATACATAACAGTAAAGGTAATGTACCAGCACAGATGTCCGTGACACACATGTTTTAGTATTTTATGCATGTAAATATGCAATAATTAATTATTTAATACATTTTTTTTTATAAATTTTTAATCATGGAACACAATAGGTCTTTAGATTATTGTACCATCTAATTTCATTGATGACGATAACGCTTTATGTATTAAAAAAAAAAATAGATAAAAAAAGTACTTTACATAATGGGTCGTAAATATAATGGCTTACCAAAAAAACATGACAGTGCCTTAAATATCTAAAGTTGATACGTGAAACTATAAAACGTTGTAAGTCCGTATTAGGAAATAAAAGAAAGTACATAAAAATTTTGCTTCATTTAAAAAAATATTAACTTGTGACGGGACAAATACATATCGCAGTTTAGAATAAAGATTACACTTTTTGTTTCCATAATAATTTGTAAGTTTGTATTTCTTCCACGAGCCCATATAACTTCGTTAGATAGTAGTATAATATCGATTCAGAGTATTCATTTCATAAAGGTTATGGATATTCAACTTGTTGTTACAATGCAGCAGTTTGTTAATATTTCGGGCCACAACATTTCACAATAACTATTTTCATTAGAGTAAGTAGTGATAACATCGCCGCTATGAGGGAAAGTAAAATTAATAAAAACAACATTTAGTCATTAAATTTTCCATCGTTTAAATGTGCGTTTTTTTTGTAGAATGACAAACTGATGTAAGTATATTGATTCTTTAATACCATTCAGCCGCTAAAATATCATTTTAGTTTAAAAAAAAGGCCATAGTTTTCAAATACAGCTAACACATATTTCAGAAAATTTGATAAGAAAAAAATAATATTTCAGTATACATTTTACATTAATTTTTCTAGTCCTAAAGTAATCAACGCCTGTGCACAGCATTATGGGTAGTGGATAACTGATAAACTTAACTAGTTAAAAATACTTTTAAGATCATTAAATTATACTTAGGCAACCTAGCAACCTAATATTGACCAACTATAAAAATTAATTGACCAATTGTGACCATTTTGTGACCAATGAAGTAATTTTAGACCCGGTCTCTAGGTTTAATGTAGCCGACAAAATTTTTACGATGTCCTTGGAATTTTAAAATCTCTATAGTTAGTTCCAAAGTATTTACCAATCACTGACCATTATGATGACCTTTTCGAGACAAATTCGGACCACTGTTTTAGGGTTCAATTTATCTTTTGGCCCGCCATTATAATTATGCGGTCCATATTTTTCGTTAATTTTTAAAAATATTAAATTTTGTTGTCGGGTTGTTCCTTTTTTAAGTATTACCCGTCAATAACCTTCCCGAGGAATTGGGGAGACCAATCTGGCAAAAACAATATTTTATTTAAAAAAAGCTTGGGTGTAAGGTAATGTATCTAAAACATCAATGTATATAAATTGAAGCGGAATTACTCAATCTGATAACATTAAATTTATATCAATGATTTGAAATAATTCTACCTTGGTACAATAATAACGAGCCGTGATAGCTCAATGTCCGGGCGCTCGCCTTTAATTCAATATACTCGAGCAACCCGAGTTCGATCCCCGGTGCCGGCACCAATGAAGTTTTTAACTTTAAGTGCTGACTTATCACGTCCTCCGCGGTGAAGGAAAACATCGTGAGGAAACCTGCGTATTTTCGAAATAATAAAAAAAAATATTTCGAAAAATATGTGAAGTCCGCCAATCCGCAGTGGGGCCGCGTGGTGGACTACGCCCTGATACCCTCTGTACAGAGGAAGCCTTTGCCCAGATGTGGGACATGTATAGGCTGTTACTTTACTTTTTTTTACTTTACAATAATAACCGCTAATCTTGATAGGATGGCAAAACATTAAAAAAATGTGTTGATTTTAAGATAATCCGAGAGAATTTGGGGCGGGAGCGAGTCCCGCAAAGCTGTTGCGCTGTATAATTCAGCTTCAACAGCGCGGACACAGGCGACATTAGGGATTTATTTATTTATTTATTTATCCTTCTCTGCGTGATAGAGTTCGTAACGAAGACATCTGCAGTAGAACCAAGATAACCGACATTGCTCAGAGGATTAGCAAGCTGAAGTGGCGATGGGCCGGCCATATAGCTCGTAGAACCGATAACCGTTGGGGAAGAAAGGTTCTCGAGTGGCAGCCTCGTACTGGCCATCGCAGTGTAGGAGGACGACCCCCCACTAGATGGAGTGACGACCTGTGCAAATGTGCGGGAAGTCGATGGATGCAGGTGGCTCAGGATCGTACTTCATGGCAGTCTGTGGGGGAGGCCTATGTTCAGCAGTGGACTCAAACAGGCTGAAATGATGATGATGATGATGATTATGCACTAAAAGTACAAAGGCGGACTTAATGCCAAAGGCATCTCCCAGTCAACCTTAGGGTGGTACAGAGAAGGTTAGGTAGGTGCACAGAAAGACAAAAAAAGAAAAACTACAACTGAAACTTACAAGGTACATATCTGATATTATTTGTATATGTTGGGATAAGTAACATTCTAAAATTATATACTACATAAGAAGATTATAAACATAAACGTAATACATGCTAAAAATATAAATAAATACGGACAATATACGTCGTGATGTCGAAAGTGGAGAAATATATCGGCCTTGATACATCGAAGTTAAAATATCGATAGATCGTCGATACATCCAGGCGACATTGGGCATGTCAAAAGTGAAGAAATATATCGGCCTTGACATATCTAAATTAAAACATCGATAGATCGTCCCTTTGTCCAATAAAAAAGGTATATCAAGTTTTAAATATTTGATATATCTTTTAACATCTGTGCCGGATTCGAAGTTGATATTATAAGTTGATATCGTTTATGATACGATTTTCGATATTGAATATTTTGTATCGATATATCAATATATTTTCGATATAAATATGTTTAGGACACACTTTACACAACATTTTCCAGTCCCAAACTAAGCAACGCTTGTACTATGGGTACTAGAAAACTGATAAACATACTTAAACATACTTTTCTTTTGCAAATATACATATAATACATATATAAACACCCAGACACTAGAAAAACACTATGTTCATCACACAATATTTTTCCAGTAGTGGGGATCGTACCACCCTCCGGCGCAGGAGGCAGGCACACTACCCACCACGCCATTCGGGTCGTCATATGTTTCCTTTGTTTATGAACTTTCTTCTGTCACCTTCGCTTTGCTTTATAAATTCTGAGCTGTAACTTTCTACTCAATTTATTTGTTTATTAATTTGTACCTCCAATAATTGTGGAAATATACCTAATAAGTCTATTTACCGTGTTTAATTTAATAATCCTTATACATAATAGCTTCAATATTCATAGAATATGCATTTTACTGGATTAAAATGTTTAATAATGAGCCAATTATTATAATAAAAGTGTCTAATGTCTTTTAAATAGGTATGTCGATTTAAATTTTAATGCCATATTTACGAGAGTGGTGCACATTGTCGTTATTAGTAAAGTAAAGTAAAAAAAATAGCTTTCTATTAAATTAATGTTTTCAAATAACTCTTTAGTACTTTTGCAACGGTTACTATACATAGTTGTTTTTAATTACTCCCTTTTGAACAGCGGAAATTTCATTAAATATGAATAAAGACTTTGTGGCCATTTTAAGACCACTGTATCTCCTTAGCTGTTTATTTTGTTTAAGAAAATATAATTTGGACAGCAATGCTTTATCGGCGAATACAAAATTCGATCTCGCATTCTCAGCTTTTGGGATCTCGTCGTTCTTTGCCTTGGTATACGTCACGCTTAAGGGTTTGAATGACGCATTTAATTCGTCAGTTGTGTTCTATACGTACATAATCGCTTACTCTCACTACGCCCTAATCTATACCATCCTCAGTTTCACCAACTACTGTTTGAGCGGGTGCCACGTCCAGCTAATTCTGAAACTACAGGAGATCGACACCTTTCTGCGTGATTCCAAGGACACCAAGAAATTGAAACGCATCGTGTATACTTTCTGCTGTACGCTGTTTATGTCTCACGGTTCATTCGTTATAATGAAAGTCTTCACCGATCCGCTGTGGACCTGGGAAAGAGCTGCCCTCAACTTCCTCACGATGACATTCGATGTGGAGCTGACATACGTCACGATTATACTGTTCTACTTGAGGTGTAAATTTGACAAATGGATTGGAGCTTTGGGATCCACTAGAAGCATGATTGGTGGGAATGAGGACGCTTTTAAAGCAGATGAAATGTTTCTGGGGTACAAAGCGCTTGTTGATGCTCGTGTTCAATTAAAAACAGCCTCTCGATGGACGGTAGCTTATAAATATATAATAGTAATTTTAATCCCTTGGATAAATGATATAAGTCGTGATACAATCGTGTAATTTCAGATCTTATTCCACTTCGTGCTTATTTTTGTGCAGTCGATAACGTTTTTACAGAATTTGATATCATGGATGAAATATAACGAAGTAAGAATTTTGGCTTTTGTGAATAATAATTTACTAAGATCTGGTGTTGCTTCATACAAAGTTTTATCCCTGATCCTGATCAAACTTTGCATGAAGCAACATCGTACAAACTCTACCGTAACCTGATACGGTAGAGTTTGTACTGATGAATGTGTCATCAGAATGAATCTGAATGAATCAGAATGAATCGAATGAGATCATTGGGAAATGATCCGGTCTATGTATTAATAGACTGGCTCGTTTGGGGAAGTTTTATTGCCATGCGTATCATGAACATTATCTTTTGAGTTATTTACGACTAAAGCAAGTTTCACAAGTAAATATAAAGTAATATATAGTCATCAGGTAGTGATAATTACGATCTGTTAACTATTTCCTTTTTTATAGTTGGTGTGGCCATCGATAACTAGTCATGCTCTTGGCGTGGCCTTGTTTATGGTGAAGGGATTGTTTTTGGAAACGGCGCTATGTATCGTATGTGAAATGCTCCACAATAGAATGTCTTCAGCTACGGTACATGTCATTGAATTACAAACAACTTTGGATTGTCGTGAGTATGTTTTTGCGTTACATGCGATTAAAAACATTTCATTATATTTGTAGACAGTTTAAGTAACGTTCGGTATGATTTTTTTTGAAGTTAAGAAATAGCATACAATAATTTAAAGAGTATTTTTTGTTAAATTTGTCTAAAAAAACCTTTCAAAACCGCAGATATTAAAAATTCAAACATTTAAACAATAACGACCTTATGTCTATATAGGTTACCCTACGTTTCTTGCAAATATCAATGGGCGGCGATAACCACTAAACATCAGTTGAATGGCCTGTTCGCATCATCTTTTAACATAAAAATCCTGCCAGTTTCAATCTTAGTGACTATCGTGTTTATCAAGTTGTCTTTTTTATTCCTATATCCGGCAAATTCGCCACCGGAAACAATTTAAGCCTTACACTTTGTGAAAATGAAAAATTATATCAGCCGTCTCGGGTGACATCAATTGGACTAAAGAAATGGTTTAACATTAAGATGGAACGGATTTTGCCTGAAGTGAAATTAAACTTTCCACAACTGTAACTTCACAGCTAAGGTCCGGAGATTCGCGAAGAACATCATTTGTCTGAACAGAATGCATTCGGAGAAACTTAGCGCTTGCGGCGTGTTCACTGTAGACGGCGAGCTGCCTCTGCGACTCGTTGCACTGATTGCCGATTACACTGTTGTCCTGTTGCAATTCGCCTTCCTGTAAACTTATTCACACTTGCGATCATGGCGACACCAGCACACTGATCCCACCCCGAAACGCTTAGGCGCTTAATACCCGTTCTGGTTTCATGAGAACCAGTCTCACCACTCATTGCCGTACTATATTCAACGAAGAAAACAATAGACTGCCTGCGATATCGTGGACAATGGATTTGGACTGGCCGTAAACGACAACCCTTTCATTCTTGATGTATGCATGTCCACGTGCAAGATTGCATAGGTAAGGTCTATCAAGCTCATAAAAAAGAGAAAAATCACCAAATTTGTGTCCTTAGAAGGCTGATTGGTGTATGGATCCAAACACCAAACATCATAATTAAAGTCCTGTGAACATGTGTTAAATCTGAACAAAATATCCAAAAAAATACATCTGTATAAATCTAGTTAGACCTAATTTTATATTTAATGTGAAAATCTGATGAATATGTCCAAATTAAAATTAATATTGTTAGATGGTTTTTTTATCCTGCATTATGTCCTGCATTAACAAATGAAGATATTTTTATTTATATTAAATATGGTTGTTCATAAAAAATAAACAATTTTTCACTTAATATTTTTTATTTGAATAATTCTTCACTCTTATTCCATTTCAATAATTTTCTGTAGCTCAATTGTTCTGATGTAATCTCTAGGAGTTATTTTCAACAACACTGTGGTTTTCTGTTCTTGGAATTCTAATATCCAATAAATTTATGATTTTGAGTTTCAACTTCTCAAAAAGGCGAATTGAAGCAAAATAACGGTATAGTCTCCGATACGACCAGCCATTCGCAGTGGTAGGGTGGCGTCGACGGTAAATATACCGCAGACGCTTAACTTTTTAAATTGCACCTCATTCAATCTCCGTATGTTCTTCAAAAATCTTCTGGCCGTTTCTGTAAATTGAAATTTATTTCTTCATTCATTCACTAAGCAAGAAATAGGACTCACTTTCGATGTTGGCATGACATTAATCTTATATCGAGGGAAATTTCAGCTGCCTCAAACGTTATGTCGGAATGAAGGGTTTTCGTAGATGTGGTCTTTCTTTCCGACCCCAGCTAAGTTGTAATTAACTGTACTTAAGGCGATGGACTCGCATTGGAATAGTGGCATCCACATATTACATACTGTTAGTTGATTAAGTATCAAAATACAGATAAATAAAGCCTAGTGGCGACATCTTATGTATCCTTATGAGCCGTGTATGTAAACTGTGGGTTGTCTATCATAAGTTGTCTATAATAAAAAATATATTGTCTGTTGCGAACCGTTTAACGTTGTTTCAATACATACTACATTCTGATCTAATATCCAATATAGTGAAGACTCATTGACACTTCAGTAAGTAACACATTTAGGAAAGCCCCCAGAATAATTCATGATTTATCGAAAAATATTAATCAGTCTCAAGTCCGATGACTTTGAGCCAAAAGAGCCCAAGGGGAATACTTATCTTCGCCAATAAGTGAAAAAAGGGCACACTACTATGTTATTAGTTGGTACTATGATCTGGTGATCATGAAAGGAGTGAGCCCCTAGGGCGATGAATCGGGTGACAACGAATGTCTTGCCCCGTAAGCCCTGTATTCCTAGGACTGTTAAAATACGGCTCTTTTTCTGAAAAGGTAGCGAATATGTAGATGGTTTACTTGATTTAAGTACACTGACAATGGGATTGGAGATTTGTTGCAATTTATTTAAAGGTGAAATTGCAAAAGTAGAATACTTCTTTGAGGCCATGGTATTTCCACGGAAGAGGCTACATATTCACGATACCGCAAAAGTTCCTGTAGCCCTACCAAAATTCTATACTACTTATGTATTTAATGGAGGCGATGTTTATAGCTCCATAGAAATGTTGACATTTCTAAACTAATTTTTTTTTGTATGATCATTTTGGTAGACTAACACTGGGCACTGCCTCTGATCACCTTTTGTGCGAATTTGTCCCGCGTTTTTATTTTATGGAGCTATAAATATCGCGTCCATTAAACAATCGATTTTTATATTTCTTAAAAGCGAAGAAAATTTTCCTGCAACGGAAGATTTTGCAAGTATGAAAACCGCTAATTCAAAGTATACCCGACAAGCTACAAATTAAACTAACACAAACTACATAAAACTGTTTCTATAGAGATTATATATATTGTAAATGAGACACAAAATTTTTGGTCCAGTCTGGGGTCAATCCCCAGGACACTGAGTGCAATAAACGGGATCATTTAAAAGTAATTCGGAAGAGTTATGTTACGTACGACAATTATACAAGTTTATGTTCGAGGCGACAACCATTTGAGCGGAAGCAATTCGTCTGTACAGTATTTCGCAGGCAATGCAGAATGTTGCCTCGGTGACCACAGCTTTGGACACCCAAACAGAGACTCCATACGCGTGACTTATGACCGATACTGTTTCTATCTGAAATATTGCACTAAATTAATTGAAAGACACGATCAACTTCAACAAAATAAAAAAAATAAAAGGACGATGACTACTTTTGTATTAAGCCCTAAAGATGTTCAAAAACTTGATACAATTATTTTGAACAAAGCAATCAAGTTTTTTTTTTGTATACCAAGCAACAAAAATAATGCTCTCCTTCCAAAAACATCATAATATTTTATATTTTATAATAATATTTATGATGCCTATATATTTCAATGAGGGCCTAATATAATTTAATAGCATAAAAATATTACAATTAATTATGACAGATGCAAGTAGCTAGGAATAAAACTAATAAATACTAAATAAAACTATACTGAAGTAAATTTTGACACGTACGTGGTACTTAATTTATTTAAATAATAAATTTATTATTATTTATTTTTAAACTTTCATAAATCATAACGAAAAATCAAGTATCAATTAACAAGGCCAACGTAAAAATATTACTTTTATGGATATTTTTATTGCACAAGTGGTCATCATCGTTTATTCATACTATTGTTAGGCATGCTTACTTACGCTTTGGCTTTGAGTCATCAGAATTAAAATTTCTATATATGTCAACGATTGTACAAACATTATCACAAAGTGTATCAATACCTGAAATAATGTAAGTTAATTGAATACAAAATAATTATAATTAAACAAAGCAAATAAAATATTTGATAATAAATTATAATAAACCACAAAACTGTATATGTGTTTTCATATTAAGCATTAGTACCAGTTCCATTAGCATTTTTAACATACGGCTATCTTCGGCTATATGAAGTTAAATTTTACCTATCGAAGTTGCATGATTTGTAAAAAGTTAGACATGGGGAACTCGTAGCTTCGCATAGATCATTAGAACATTCCGTAGACCTGTACAGTTTCAACGTATGATAATTATGATTATTAACTTAAAGTAGTAAAGCATAAACTTAGTACGGTACCCAATTTTATGAAAATGCGCGGACGGAGGATTACGAAATTTCCCACACTTATACTTTATATAAAGAAGGAGTTCAGAATGCTAATATTTTATTAATTATGCATAAAATAAATTAAATCAATAACAAAAACATAGCAAACACTACCATGTATAATTAATTATGGTCGAATTTCGAACACTGGACGACCAGTACTTGTAAATGACTAAAGGCCTTGCCACCGATGGACTTATTCTGGGTGGTAAAGGTGATGATGAAGGTTACAAACCGTCGTCTGCGCGGATTTTTTCAACAGCACCAGTGCCTCAAGAATATCTTCGTAGACCTTAAACATCATCTCCGCCAGCGCGACACCAATTTCGTCTTGAAGCACTTGCGGATTCTTCTCATCTACCTGCAAAATCTGCGACCACCGTCTCGCCTTGCCCACCAAATAGTGAACGGTGCATATAGAGTACGCGAGCTCCACGTCGTAGATGAGTGCGGTGAGTATAAACAATGCCCTTATCCAATTCCACAAAGGGTCATAAAGAAGCTTCAACGTTATAAACGAGCCGTAGACTAGTAGCAAACAGCAACATATGATCCAAACGAAAAGCCTTACTCTCTTTGTGTCCTTCTTATTGTATAGGCGGAGATCTATCGCTTGGAGTTTTAATAGCAGTTTCACATTGTACTTGCTGCAGCGGTAATTGAAGAAGCTCAGGATCACGTAACTGATGGTATATTGTGAGTACGCTATTACGTATACGGAGAAAATCGGTCTGTCGTAGACATTAGCGAGGGGAACTAAGGTGTAGACTAATAAAGAGTGAACCACAAACACGCCAACTAATGAATAAAGTACGTCTACCATTGTGATTTTCGTCACAATATTGTCATATAAATAGTATTTTCGAAGGCCGTACAAACAGCTTATGAAGTGCAATGGTTTTATGATGGAGGCGAACTCATTCTCTAGCATGTTTTCAAATAGTCGATATAAACACTTAATCGGATGTTTAGATTAGAAAAGGCAGACGTCTGAATGTTGTGTACTAATAATAACATATAAGTAACGTATGTTTATTGCTTAGAGTAATAAGTTGCTATCAAAATGTCCACGCGTCGTTTATCGGTAATAGGTCAATTTCGAAGTAATTTACATATGAAACATTATTTTATCTTTTTATGTTGGATGCTTCTAATAATTTATAGTACTAATTTAGCTTTGTGCCCATTTACACACACTTTGGGGTTGGGGTCACCCAACGTCATTTTTTTAAAATATCAACGGTGACAATTAATTTAACTATACAAGCAAAAAACTACGAGCAAAAAATACGAGCAAAAAATATATTTATTTTTCAATCATTATTTTTTTTTGTCACTGCATATTACTTAGTTAATCTGTAAATAGAGTCTATTGTACTCAATGGCATACGAGTTTCCTCTCTGGACGTTCTGGGTCATACTTCCGCCCATGTAGCTTCTAATTTTTTGTGTGTGAAGGTGGATTCGAGAATGGTTTAGTTTCACAAACTTATCCAAAAAAGCTTGAAATTATATTGAGTGAAATTATATTTCAAGATGTGTGTACAGCACAACGTCTGTCAGGCCCGCTAGTGCTATTTAAAAAGAATAAAATCAAATATTAACAATAATAATTTTGGACGTTATATTTTTGTGCGGTTTTGTATTTCATTACTTTCTGTTAATGCTAGTTACAATGTTGCTGCAATTTATTTATACTTGTTTAATTCAAGTAAGTGACGATGTTATCGTTGCGAGTTAAAAATAAAACACAAAAAAAGTTGTTATCCGTTTTCCACAGGCTATTGGGGCTTTATTTAAACAAGAAAAAATTAGATGCATTATTTCATTTTTAATGCTAGCCTCTAACTCAAGATGGAAGATAAGAAATGAGAATTATATGCATGTAGATCTTGTAAAAAATCATTACTATCTCTGTAATGTTATTTCCTAACAAAGATATAGATATGTATTTGTATATATACGTATTGAGTATTTATATGTATATATTTTTTTAGCCTTTTGTATACACAGTTACTCATTTACTTACATATTTATAAATATCTTATTACTATTAATTATAATTATGGATAAGCATTCATTTATTTAACCCACACCTTTATTTCTAAATTAATTTCTTTTTAGTCCATCCAAAGGTTGCCTGGAGGAAATTACTCTTAGTAATAAGGCCGCCCATTGTACCCATGACTTCTACATTAAGTTTTAATTTTTCTTTGTTTTTATATTATCCATACATGCTTATTACTATTGTATTACCTGGAATAAGAGCTCTGAGGTTGAAGCCTGGTGACCTGTAATACACGTTTTAATTACCTACCACAGGCCAATCCACAACCAAAAATGTCGCTATGTTATAATAGCAAAAGCAAATTTAGTTTAATTTTGTACTTGGTTTGTGGTGAGAAAATAAAAAATATTATTATTATTATTGTATTATTATATTCATTCATTCATTCAGTGACAAAAACACCGTACAAAGAAGCTAACAATAAAAACAATAACAATAATAAGCACAATTTTAATTAATAAGAACTTAAAACGTATTAATACTCTTAAATATACTCAAACTATGGGTTTGAGTCAACATAATTGAAATATCTGCATATGTGAATAATTATATTATGGACATTATTACAAAGAACATTAATATCTTTAAAAATGTACGTTAGTACAATACATCATACGTCGGTGCACTGTGCAGTGAGTAAAAACCGGCCAAGTGCGAGTCGGACTCGCGCACGAATCGTTCCAAAACACTTATCTATAAAAACAGCGAAAAAATCTTGTCTGTTTTATGCGAGCTCCATTTAAATATATTTTTATTCTGTTTTTTAGTATTTGTTGTTATAGCGACAACAGAAATACATCATCTGTGAAAATTTCAACTGTCTAATTATCACGGTTCCTGAGATACAGTCTGGTGACAGACGAACAGATAGACAGACAGATAGACAAACAAAGAGATAGACAGAGAGACGGCGGAGTCTTAGTATTAGGCTCTCGTTTTACCCTTTGGGTACGGAACCCTAAAGATAATTTTCTTTTCTTCAAGAATAGTAAATGGAATAATAAATAGGCTGTACACAAGTAGTATAAAACAATATAAGCAATCGATAAATTGTACGATTTTTTCTATACAGGGAGCGATCTATCGTTTAGAGTTTTTGTACAAGCCAAGGCATTAATATAGTACTAACTGTGAAGAATTAACTGTGAGTAATTTTTTCCAGTTTCACTCGGTGCTCGACCACCAATGGTATCAATATTTTATTGAATTGGTATCATGCAATGGTATCAATATTACATGCCTAGATCAAGGATCTATATGACGAAGATCACCTATTTATGTGTAAAGTCTAAAAACTAGGAATACACAGCGCTTACTTGGGACTTTGTCCCCAAATGATATCTATGGCATAGCTCATTGAGAGTGCCGTAAATTTAAAAATTATTATTTTCCCAGAAACTATTCGTTTTTTTCTTTTTGAAGTTATACTTCTTTTGGTTAGCCTAAAAAAGTTTTATTTTCTAAGCGCTAAAGGAGTATAAATTCTCGCGTGATTACATAAGTTCGTAACACGTAACACACTCTTCATTTTAAGTGGCTAATTGCTATAATACATTAGCCCATCAAGAGAGATGAGTTTTGTATGACAATTTATGCAATAAGGACCATCAAATGCTAAAAATGTCCAACAAAAATAGTATACTTCACAAATATTTAATATTTTTCAACAGCCTACTTCAACTGTCATAGACAAAACAGAACTGGGCAGTTCTTCTTTATTAATAAACATCATCAGTTATCCTATAACTACCCGAATGGACATTGATCTCGGTGACGTCTTTCGAATCTTCAGCCAGTTTTTCTTTCTTCGTTCTCAGATCGTTGTAGATCTCCTCCAGTGACCTGGACTTGGTTTCTGGGATGGCGAGCACTACGTACAGCGCTGTAACCAGGCATATACCGCCGAAGAAGTAGAAGGACACGTGGATACCGATAGAGTTTGCGAGCGGTTTGAAGAACAGCATCTGTAGGAAATCGGCAAAGGATGCGGTGGCCATTGTAATGCCCAACACGGACCCTCGATACTGAAAAGAAAAATTGTAGCAAATGTCAAAGACTGAGTTTACTTAATTCTGCACTTTCTTCTTAATGTATTATTAGGTATATTTTTAGGTTTAAAATTGAAATTACAAGTCTTCAATCCTTGATTGGATAGAGAGAGAAGGTACTGGTAGTAAAACTTTCATTGAATTGTCAAGACATAATTTGACACAAGTGACCTGGCTAAGGACCATGTTATTTAAATTAAGTATTACTATTTTTTTACATTATACACCAACATTTTCAATTCAACATATATTACATTACATATTAAACCTGCTTCTTCTTCTGAAAACATCTATCTAGTTAATCTTTAAAATGAATTTTATATTTTGGTTTGCGAAAGATTTAAGTCACGCCTATGCACCCGGTTTCCTTTTCCCCACTACTTTTACAATCATAATGAGTTGAATAAGGCCATTCTCCTCATCATCTCGGTCTTCAGAAACTACATAGAACTAAACTGATAGTTATTATTCGTAATAGTAAAAGTACTATTACGAGGTAAAGACCTCAGAAGGCCTCAGAATTTCCGACTCACGACGATCCACGACCTCATCTGTGAGGCTCAAGTAAAATTTTTTTACTTGAGCCTCACAGATGAGGTCGTGGTACTAACCCAGCCGGACCTGCCCATTTGTGCAACAGCGAAAACTGTTGCATGGCTCTACCACAGTTAAAGATTACTTTCTCATGATTCACTTTTATAGTGTTATTACCTTAAAGGAAAATATTTCCCCTGTGAGAACCACTGAGACGGGTTGCAGGCCAGCCGAGTCGCAGAAGATGCACAGGCACAGCGTCACAATGGGCAGCCAACTGGGAGTGTAAGCCCCATAAGACCTGGCGACGAACCACGATGCAAGGGAGCACATGCTCAGACCGGAAATCAAGGAAGTTGTGGCGAGAAGTGACTGAAAGAGGAATATATAAAAAAATAAATAACAAGAACCTATCCGGTTTTCTCTTTTCTGCTACCGTCTACTACTAACCGTCTTCAATTTTTTTAAAGTATCTGGTTTCCTCTATTCTATAAGTTATGCTATTTTTTATGTGATAAGCCGTCAAGCGAGCTGGCGGGTCACCTGATATTAAGTGACTGCCGCCCATGAACATTTGCCCGTAGGGTTGCACATTCGTTGCCAACTTTAAATGAATTGGGCCGCCGCTACTTCACTCACCAAACGAAACGCAGAAGTATGATACCTCCACTTCACGCCAGTTCTCTGTATGTTCGCGTTACTTACCCGGACGGACCTATACCTTCGTGCAACAGCCGAAGCTGTTGCGTGGCCCTTTTTTATGTGAAAAGTTGGATTCGTGGCCATCCATTATAGTTATATCCTTTATTTGTTTGTATGCTGGAAATGATATAACAATAGATGCGCCAAGCATTGCTTCAAATGCTTAATAATAATTTAGATAAAAGACGTTAAGATTTTCGTCGGTGTGGCAATAAGCCTGTTTAGCTTAGTGGCTAAAGCGTCAGGCCCCGAATGCCGAAGACGCGGGTTCGATTCTCACAGCGGCGACAATCTTTTCGTACTTTTTCTACAAGTTTTTAATCTTTTCAGTTGTCTTCTATCTAATTTTGTTTCTAAACACTTCATTCATGATTTATCGTTATTCTTCACGACATCAATTTGCTTACTTTCACTACTATTAAACTTTATCGTCTATAGAAATTATTCTGTCGTTACCAATCGTTTATTGTCACTGTTATTTGATTTATTTTTATTTTATTTATACTGTTATATTCCCGATTCAACCTAACGAAGAAATCGCTCACCTTTCTGCCGATCCTGTCGATCACACTGGACGCGAGGGCCGAGCCCATCACCTGCACCGCACCGAGCAGCATAGCCTGTTGGTTCGGCGTAAGTACCACAGCCCTCCCCTCCGAAGCCCCGGTGAATATCTCCCCGGCAAAGTTCAGCACCGGTATAGCCCCGCAGACCTCACGAGCGAGCGTCGCGACTACAGCTATGCGGAACGCTCTGAACAATATCTTGTCTTTGACTGGAAAAAGAAAAAAAATCCTCTATAAATGCAATAAAACGAAGACAGTCAACAAGTCAACAAAGAGAAGCATTGCTTCAAATGCTAAATAACAATGTAGAAAGAAGGCGTTAAGATTTTCTTCGTTGTGGCTATCAGCCGTTTAGCTCAGTGGCTAGAGCGTCAGGCCGCGAATGCCGAAGACTTGGGTTCGATTCCCACAGCGGCGACATACTTTTCGTACTTTTTCTACATGTTTTAATGTTCAATCTTAAGTGCAGAGATTAGCACTATAAAAAACTTTAAAAATTTATAAAAAAGCAATGACGACATCTCTCGTTCGAATAATAGTTGTAAAACGATATTCGAAATTGTTTGTATGCTGGAAAGGATATAACAATAGATGCGCCAAGCATTGCTTCAAATGCTAAATAACAATGTAGAAAGAAGGCGTTAAGATTTTCGTCGCTGTGGCTATCAGCCGTTTACCTCAGTGGCTAGAGCGTCAGGCCGCGAATGCCGAAGACGTGGGTTCGATTCTCACAGCGGCGACAATCTTTTCGTACTTTTTCTACATGTTTTAAAGAGAAGCATTCTTGATTTGACGCAAAACTTACTATGTGTTAGTTGGTCAGTTTACAAGACTAACTTTGCATGGTAACGTTATAAATGCCGAAGTTCGAGTGTAAGAATGATATTCCTTGTACGAAATGTAACACAAAACCGTTCAATAAAACCCTACAGACAATATTTGTAACTCATAACAAATGAATAGTAAACTACAAAAGCATTATGTTATTATGATTAAATTAACCCACTTGATCAGCTTTTACCATCTATCGAGATCCATCAGCGTTAAATTGCCATTAAGAAAGAAGATAAAACAAATGAATACAAGCAAAAGCCACATGATATTATGCACAACTGACGACTGGATCAAACACTTATACATACTGTATTGCGTCCTAGTTATAGTATACGAAATTTTACTCATTGAATGGTGAAGCACTGGCATTTATGAGGAATAAGATAAAACTTAACCCAATTGTATCACGGTAGAGCGGACTTCAATTTAAAATAAGCTAACTGTAAACCGGGTTAACAATGAATACGATTGCAACAACGTAATTAGTAACGTCGGGATTTTAAATTCCAATAAATAATTCCAATAATTCGCGGAAATATACGAAATTTTGTTTCGAGATGATAAGATTTCATTCCGGAATAAAATAACTAGTATTATTTATGTTGTGATACGCATTCGTTAACGCTACTTGTGGTCTCGCCCTGAACTCAATTTAGAATACACGAAATATATTTTGTCTACTCTATAAGGCATAGCTTGAAACACACTGTTTGACTTCAATTGATTAAATGTCCATAATGATTACTATTTCACATTACGCTACTATACTTTGCGGTAAATATTATTTCTTTCTTATTATTTAAGAATACTTTCTTTGCAAACAATGAAAAGAAAAATTGAAAACCAATTTTAAAACCAACAAATTGAATTGACAATATAATGCGACGACCCCATTGGCGTGGGGAATAGTGACCCGCCACCTGCGCCAGAGGGTGTGGGTTCGATTCCCACTACTGGAAAAATATTGTGTGATGAACATAGTGTTAGGCCGTCACCTTGTTACATTAATAAGAGTAGGTAGTAACTGTGGTCCAATCAACAAGGCCAAATCAAGTGCCACGCAACAATCTTCACTGTAGCACAAATGGGCATGTCCGTCCGGGGAAGTACCATGACCTCACAGAAAACAGGCGTGTAGCGGAAGAATTACACTTTGAGCATCGTCTGGTGAATCGGGGCCCACTTTATTAGAATGGCGGTGCATGTGCAACCCTACTTGGGTGTTGCAAATATCAATGAGCGGCGGTTATCACAAACATCAAGTGAGCCGCCAGCTCGTTTGCCACCTCCTCACATAAAAATAAATAAAGAGTTCAGTTAAAGGTCGGGAAAGTCACACATGTAATTCTTATATCAATATTGTGTGATTTAATCGTTTACATTTGGATCTTCAATGTTTATCTTAACGAAAACTGCTTGCTTGTCATTTTTATTATTGCGCTTTCAGTAAACGTCGGTTGTGTAGATGGCGGGTTTGTGTGTATTTATTTAAAAGGACGTAACGTGATATTTTTCTTCTTTTTAATTAATGACTGTTCGTGCTTGTCGCCTTTAGGGTTCCGTACCCAAACGGTAAAACGGGACCATATTACTAAGACTCCGCTGTCTGTCTAACTGTCTCTTTGTCTGCTATCTGCTGTCTGCTTCTAGGGTTCCGTACCTAAAGGGTAAGACGGGACCTTAGTACTAAGACTCCGCTGTCTGTTTGACTGTCTGTCTATCTGCTGTCTGTCTGCTGTCTGTCTGTCTGTCCGTCTGTTAACAAGCTGTATCTCATGAAACGTGTTAGTTAAACAGTTGAAATATCCACTGATGATTTATTTCTGTTGTCGCTATAACAACAAATAGTAAAATACAGAATTAAAAAAAAATATTTAAGTGGGGTTCCCATACAACAGGCAACATTTTTTTGCCGTTTTTATAGATGATGGTACAGAACCCTTAGTGCGAACCGTACGCGAGAGTCCAACTCGCAAACGGTTTTTTTTTATTTATCTCCCGTCTTTTTTGGCGTTCAAAGGGACTTCGTTACTATAATATCAAGTATCTAGAGAAGTTTAAATGTTAAAAGTAGAAAAATGCGGAAGTGCGAGGCCTACGTTTTAATTTATTACATTTACGTAATTCCCAGCGTGGCGGGCGGAGACATATATATAAGTAGAACTCAAACTTGACGAGTTAGATACAAGTTAGGCAAATTAGACAGGCAATTACGTAATTTCCTTTATTATTTAATATGACTCCCGTACCAAGGAATTATTCCTATTCTGCAGAAAGTTCCAGATTATTTAATAATACATACAAGATAAACTTGGATTACTCGGATATAAGGTAAACTCGTAGTAGTTGTCTTTCACAAACAATTATTTATATTGTTTGTGAAAGACACATTTTCACTCACAGAGCGCAAGTTGTTGGTAGTTTGCAAGCATGCCAATTGAAATTAAATGGAGGCTGAAAAATATAGGTGCAAACTTATTGACCTCAATAGCGGAGAAATAATAATTTACAATTTAATTTTTAATCGCAATATTTTTTCTCGGCACGTACTTTTTCTAATTATTAGACTTGTTGTGTTGTTATAATGGAATCTACTTATCGGTACAATATTTGAATAGTTGAATTTGTCCATCCATCAAACATGTTGCCAAGAACGCTAGATGTATTTCCTTGCTGAAAGTTAAGCTTAATCTTTTAACGGGAAAAGAACCAGCCTTATTGCCACTGCGATGAGTCTAGTCTACGGGGACCCCACGGGCCTAAAGTTTCAACCGAAAATTGCAAAAACACTTAAGTCAAAACTCTGAAGTTTTAGAAGCGGAAGCCAATACATTTGTCTAAAGTAAAGTAAAGTAACAGCCTATGCACGTCCCACTGCTGGGCAAAGGCCTCCTCTGTAAAAGGGTATCAGGGCATTGTTCACCACGCGGCCCCACTGCGGATTGGCGGACTTCACATATCTTCGAAATACATTTTTTTTTGTTATTATTTTGAAAATTACATTTGTCTAATCTTGAGAATTATTTTTTGCGTATTCTACTTAGTGACATTATCCATCTTCAAAGCGTTATCAAAAAATCCGGTTGTTGTCGGCTGTTACAAGCGAATGGTGTGTTAGTAGTGGAGACTGTGTCGTCCATTTGCGTAACGGTCACAAATTATCAGGGAGTCAATATGGCGGCCCGAGATCACATAAGGTCAACTGTTTTTATTAGTTTGCGCCTAATTCTCCTGCTGCGTCGTTAGTGTTGACATACTCGTATATTTTGCGTACGCTACTTTGAGATGCTCATTGGAGAACGTATGTCATAGTTTTGCTCACGAAGTTTACTATTATTTACTATTATTATAATACATCCATTTTGAGCTGGTCTTCTTGGGTTACTTCTCCGTATGAGCCTGTCCATTCAGCAGGATTGGTTGCTGCATGACCCTATTACTTTACCTCTCTTTTGGGAATTATAACCTCACTTTTATGGTTTCTTACTCATAAACCGACTACTGTTATTATACAAAATGTATCGATATCTCGTAAAAACCCCGAGGGTAGCTCGATATCGGACAAGATTAATAAAGTATTTCTCCTATTGCCTCATGTTAGTGTTTATGAGATATGTGGTGTTGCTGATGTCCACTAGTGGTGAGTGGAACTGCCTGTGCAAATGTGCGGAAAATCGATGGATGCAGGTGGTTCAGGATCGTGCTTGGAGGCAGTCTGTGAAAAGAAATGATGATGATGATAACAATGGTGGTGATTTATTTTGACAATCGGAACCATCTTGATTTTATAGATTCTTCTCGCTCCTACTTGCTCGGAGCAGGTGAAACGCGCTAGTACATTGTATCTGCTATATGCTGTTTAGATGGTTCTGGCATGTTGACCATTAAGGTTTGTGAGAAACGAATTGTAATTTAATTTTTGCACGAAATATTTTACATCCGTCTATTAATCCACGAAATAATAGTACGAAATGCCAACATTAGAAGTTATATCGGTTTTGATTATCTCAGTAGTGTAGTGTAGTAGTGTAGTGTAGTAGAGTAAAGCATTTAGATTATACGATATTTAAGTCAAATAGTTGTATAGATGCTATCCGAATAAAAACGACAGCAAAGTCAGCATAATAAACCAGTCCGATCGCCATTTAGAATTTCGCAAACACATTATACATAATTAGAGTAGATCCTAAAACCGGGCCTATTTTTAACTGACTTTAAAAAAGAAGGAAGTTTCTCAATTCGACCGTATAATTTTTTTTGTGTGTTCGCGGATAACTTTCTCGTTTATGAACCGATTTTGATGTTTATTTTTTTGTTGTAGAGGAGATATCAAATTATTTCTTTCAAATGTTATAGTTATCAACAGCGATTTTTAGTTTTTGTTGAAAATTATACTTGTTCCATTTCTATCTGGAGCGTCCACTGGCATAATAAATATATAGCAAATTGGTCAGAAGAGTATTTTTATTAGAATAATTGTAAACTCGATTGCGGTGAGAACTTTTACATGTGTTAAACACATAAAAATAATAGTCTGAAAGTCAGGTAAAATTTACGTAAAAGAGCCATAAAAAGTGGTAATTGCTTAGCGTCCGCGCGCTCGCATTTTATTTTTATTATTTTTTTTTATTAAGGTATTCAAACAAATGTAAAAATTGATATAAACATTAACATATTACACATCAATACAGATAAGTATATGAACATTCATCACCGTATACCTAAAGCTATGTATAGCTGTAGTAAAGGTGGAGAATTAGTTTATACATTTTAATTTATTGTATATTTAAATATTAGCAAACTGAAGTGGCGATGGGCCGGCCATAGAACCTAGAGCCTAGCTCGTAGAACCGATAACCGTTGGGGAAGAAAGGTTCTCGAGTGGCAGCCTCGTACTGGCTATCGCAGTGTAGGACGACCCCTGACTAGATGGAGTGACGACCTGTGTAAATGTGCGGAAAGTCGATGGATGCAGGTGGCTCAGGATCGTACTTCGTGGCAGTCTATGGGGGAGGCCTATGTTCAGCAGTGGACTCAAACAGGCTGAAATGATGATGAAATATTTAGTAATTTTTTTTTTAAATAAGAAGTCGTAGTAACAAAAATATCCATACTTGTGAAGTTTTCGTTGTATGATTGCACTATGCTTTGCATCGGCAAGCGTAAAACGGCGTTAGTTCGACATTTATTTACATTGAATAATTTATGAGAGTATTTTAGACGGATGCGATTTTTGACGGATGGATGGATGAGACGATGATGATTTTTTACGTAAGAAACGAACCTCAATAGTATTGCATCATATTATTAGTAAATGCCCAAATGGCGAATTTATCTCAACGCGAAACAATTAAGGATCGGAATAACGTACGATTAGTATTATACGTATATTATACGTCAAGTCTATAAAAAGTTCTTTAGTGCAGACCAAGTTTACAACAATGATTTCAAGTAGGCGTTAATGTATATAATGGACACTTGTCCTCGACTTACTTGCTAATAGTCATATACACCAGATAAACTACCGGAATGCTTTATAAAACGATTGACAAAAGAATTCATAGGATATAATAACCAATTTTCCGCAAGAGCTCATAAAACTGATGGAACACATATTGGAGGAAGGAAGAAGTTGAATACGCTAATTTGAAGGTTGACCACCCATTCATCACAATATCATACCTCAAAGAAGTTATTAAAGAAGTCCTTAAAAGAGGTATAGCGTTATTCCTCTAAGCAAAGTAGAATGTACCTAAACCGGAAAATTGATTCTTTTATAAAACTGTATAAGTAAGGACAATTAAGACTTTAGGATAACATTATCCTGTGTTGCAAGGACTTTTTAAAAACATAAATTTTACGTGCACAAACAGCCAGATGCGAAACAACTATATGTGAGTCACAAAAACAGTTGTCCTGTGTGGGAATCGAACCCGTCCCCCGACGTCGAAGCCTATACCTAGGCAACTGCGCAACGGAGTCATCGAATTGTCAAATATTTCTGCTGATTCGGTAACCTCTATTTCTACTACTTCCTAAAAGCTTGAAACTGATACTTGTGACTGAGAAATAAGGACTGGTAGGTTGACATGTCACGTTATGAGAAGGGATGAAATTCATATGACTAGAAGAGCGATGGTTATGAATGTGGTTGCAGGCTGTTAAGCTAGAATAAGACCGGGAAAGATTTGGATGGACTGTGTGAAGAATATGTCTGTGTAAGGTGTGAGTATTAAGATGTCAGCTGATAGAGGGAAGTGGAAGGATAGAACATGTTAAACCGACCCCATCTACTGGTAAGAAGAAAGAAGAGGAATATTAAATGATATAAACTTAATTAAAACGTCAACTTAAAACGCAAACGCATAAGGTAAAAGGTTAAATAAAATTGGGACCAGTTGCTCCACAGATGGAATCAGTTTTCAAAAAGTTACTTACAAATTGCTGTTAACAGGAACTTGCTACCCTCCTCATCATTAGTCTGTTCCTTTTTTATACAATCTAACTCCTCTTTCACTTGAACATCGTCAATTCTCCTGCAGCGCAACCAAGCAAGTACCCTAGCTGCCTCCTGAAATTTCATATCACGATAAATGACATGTACAGAAAGTCTCTGAAACCGACATGTTGATAATACCAGAACACACGTATAGTTTTTCGAAACGGTATTTGTAGCGTTTTTGTTGGTTTTCGTGATACTCTTATGGGAACATTAATATTGTATTTTGCTCAATGATCAGGATAAAAAGTGCCATGGAAATCTTTTTTTGTTTCAAACTTAGTGAAACATCCATAAATTGGGCACATACTAGACTAGCATAGAAAGGTTTTCTTCTCAATTTTGTAAAGGATTTTCCATTTTTCATCACAAATCCTAACGTATTTGATGTATTTTTTACTACTTTTTTCGTATGGTGTACGAAGGTAAGTATTGCGTCCGAATAAAACTAGGTCTTTTGTGCAATCTAGTACATAAATAGATATGCTTTGTATGATATTGCAATGGAAAGATAAAGTCTTCGGTTAAATTTTATTTGAATACATGGTTCTGTAGCTGAACCTATACCATTTTTATTACATCAATAGACTATTTAAATATTCTTTTAACATGACATCAGCTGTTTAAGAGTTTTATTCCTCGTTTTTATTTTATTATTTTGTTTTTATTATATTCTGTATTTTATATCATATTCTTTAATAATCTATTAAATGAAGATTTACAAAAATCTTCTTTTATTTAATTTTATTTTTATTTTATATAATTTTTTTATTTTTATTTAAATTTGTTACATGTAGTTCAAGTTATTGCTGTATGTTATTTTAACCTTATTCTTATTTAAAATATAAAAATAAATGTTGAAATAAGAAAAAAATTAACAGAAAAATAGAATTAGGGAAAAATGTCACATGTAGATGATAATTAACATTATAGTATTAGTATTCTAAAGATAATTAGATATGTAATTTCTGCCTTTATCTCTTTCCCTAATTCTACTTAAAACTGTTCTATTTCTACTTAAAAAAAGTTAATAAAAAATCTAATAAGAGGTCAGTACTTACCTCTTCGTTACCCCTTTTCACCAGGTACGATGGTGATTCTGGCATCACCATAAAAATCACGATATGGAACGCCGGTAGTGCAAGACAAACCCACAGTATCGTCCGATAGCTCAGTATGTCGCCAATAACGTATAGGAATAGGTTACCGGTAGTGTGAAATAGGATAACCTTAAAAGTAAAGCGTGTGGTTAGTTGACATATCCACTGGTGTACGTAAGTGGTCTAATACAAAGGTGAATAAAATCATCGTCCTCCTGCCCTTACCCCACCTAGGTGCGGTTGGCACAACCCTGGAATCGTTTTGTAAGCGGTTTTGTCTATGTTTTTTACGACCTGCCGCCTGCCTGACGTCAACCCTCCTTGGGAAACAAACATCAGATACGGACCAATTATTTGTGGGTCACACAAATACTTGTCCCGTGTGGGAATCGAACCCTCGACCCTCGACGCAGTAGTCAATAGCTCAGCAACGGCGCCATCGAATCACCGATATACGAAGGTGAATAACGTTACAATTAAATAAATGTGGGCGACTCAAATAAATTATACATAGACACAATGTTGAACTATACATCATCATCATAATTTCAGCCTGTTTGAGTCCACTGCTGAAATAGATCTCTCCGACAAGCTAGCCTTCATTGTTTCCTGCACACTTGTACCGGTCGTCACTTAAACTAGTTGGATCCTCCTACGAGATATGATATCTGGCGCCTCCTTAGTTCCTCCATCTAATTGTCGGTTGACTAGTAAAGATATATGCCAATAGTTTTCATCAAATTGAAAAATGTAGAGAAAAAAAAAATGCATGAGAAGAAAAATAAAGTGTTTTTCAAATTTTTAATTTATATCTCCTGTTGAAGAAGAAATATTTCTGCTTCTAGTCACACTCACAGTTTTTACTGCACTAAAATTTTTAAAAGCTATCTCTACATTCCCAATAAAAATATAAATAAAAATGTAACTTCATACTAAACTGAAAACTGAGAAAATAAAGACACACTAATCCCACAAAATAAATTGACAATTTATCATTAATTATAAGAAAATAATTGATAAAATTTACTTGGCATAAAAATGTTTTTGTTCAATCAAAATAATTGGATGTTTTTGTTTATTAATCATAATATCATTGATATTTCCAATATTCCTAGGGTTGTGGATGCGTTGCCACCTTTTAATAAAGTGGGCCCCGGCTACCTCACTCACCAGACGAAATGTTTTTTTTATGTGAAAAGTCGACAAGCGAGAAGGCGGTGCACCTGATGTTAAAGGAATAACGCCCATGGACATCTTCTACACCCGAGGGTACAGATGCGTTGACAGCCTTTTGAAAATTGAGCTCCGGCTACCTCACTCATCAGACGAAACGCGAAAGTATTTGTCATACTTCCACTTTACGCCGGTCTTCTGTGAGGTCGTGGTACTTACGCGGACGAGCCTGCCCATTCGTGCAACAGCCGAGGCTGCTGCGCGGCCCTACCACAGTTGAGCTCTTTTTATTTAGCTCAAAGTAACTCACCAAACATCCTAAAGCTCCTCTTATTTGACTGTCGCTGATCTCTTTTGTGTAAGTAGGGCAGGTGACATAGCATCCCGCCATCGTGATGCCCACCAGGGCCCTGGATAGAATCAGTGCCCACGTCTCAATAGACGACAGCAGAATAATCCAGCTGGCCTAAAATTCAATATTGCTATTTAATTAGGTCCCGTAATTGTACTAGAAAATTGAAATTCAACAATACAGAATAATTGGGACAGATCAAAGCAAATATGTAAAATATTTTTCAAGAAATTGAGAAATTTATGATCGATTGATTTGCTTTTATCAATCAGCAGAACTGAACTTATACCGGATTTACATTAAGACTCAAAATGTGTACATAACTAATCAATATTTTTACGCATCAAATAAAATTAATAGTGCCTAAAATTTTAATATTTATATATTCTGTCGTGTTATTGTGGTTAATTGGAGAAATATTAACGTTATGGTTCTTGGTCAATATTCTTTTTAAGTGAGAAAGTGGCAAACGAGCTGGCGGTTCATCCAATGATAAGTGATAATGGACATTTGCAACACCCGTATTCCCGGTTGCAAATGCGTCACCGCCTTCAAATAAAGTGGGCCCCGGCTACCTCACTCACCAGACAAAACGCAGAAGCGTAACACTTCTACTTTACGCCGGTCTTCTGTGGGGTCGTGGTACTTACCCGGACGGACCTGCCCATTCGTGCAACAGTGAACACTGTTGCGTGGCCCTACCACAGTGAGTATAATATTACACTTGAGTTGAAAATAGTACTTACAGCGCCCATTACTGATATGAAGAGCAATGAAAACTTTCTACCGAACTTATCGCCTGATATAGCCATGAGACCATCCCCAGGTATACACACTAAGTACGCCACAGCCGCCATCCATGATACCTGTTGGAGATTTAAAGTTTTTAGGGTTCCTTACGAACTATTAAGACCCTATTATTAAGACTCCGCTGTCTGTCTGTCACCAAGCTGCATGTCATGAACCGTGATATTTAGACAGTTGAAATTTTCACAGATGATGTATTTCTGTTGCCGATTTCGTTTTGCGCGAGTCCGTCTCGCACTTGGCCGGATTTATCACATTAAGTTAGCTTTATAAGGAAAACTGTAATAAAATACTAAGCAGCAAATAACCTTGACATACTGAAAAAAAAAATCGAATTTAGAAATATGCAAATTTGTCTCACCATTACACATTTATTCCTATAGACATTTGATGCAAATAACACAAAATAATAAATATTCAATTTATATTGTATTTAAAAACGAAAAGACGGCATACATCGAGATATTAATCCATACTAATATTATAAATGCGAAAGTAACTCTGTCTGTCTGTCTCGCTTTCACGCCAAAACTACTGAAACGATTTAAATGAAATTTGGTACACAGATCGTATAGAGCCTGAGAAAGGACATAGGCTATTTTTTTTTTGGAAAAAGTGTTCTTAAAGGGGATAGATATTTATTTAAGGGCTTCAACGCGAGCGAAGCCGCGAGCGAAAAGCTAGTTAACCATATGTGCTATATTACTTAAGCATGCTCAAATGGACGATTTCGCATACTTCTGTATCGGTTAGGGGGACCCCCTTCGGTGAGTTTTCGGACTGGAGAAGCAAGGTCATCGGCGACATCCAGCCTATGCTGGCACCGTAGACGAACACCGGAAAGTTTACTGAAAAAAAAAAGTTTTGAAAATCATGTTTACCAATTAACCGCCCACAGATTATTATCATCTGTAATATCATTCGTATTCTGTTTAAGTATTTAAATTGAATAATATTTAATTAATTAATGAACAAACAGAACAATAAACAGAAACAGACATAACATAAACATATCCTATGAAATGAATTGCCTATGAAATTGAAATGCCTATTCTTATTTTTTTATTTGAGAAGGGGGCAAACGAGCTGGCGGTTCACTTGATGTTAAGTGATAATCGCTGCCCATTGACATTTGCAACACCCGTAGGGTTGCAGTTGCGTTGCCACTTTTTTATAAAGTGGGCTCCAGCTACCTCACTCACCAGACGAAATGCAGAAGTATATATAATACTTCACGCCGGTGTTCGGAGCGGTCGTGGTACTTACCCGTCCTGCCCATTCGGGCAACAGAGAAGAGTGTCACGTCTTACAACATAAACTGTTTTAGGCATGTCTGTCTGTCTGTCTGTTTGTTCCGGATAATCTCTGAAATGGCTTGACCGATTTGGACGGGAATTTCACTGACAGATGGCTGACGTAATAAGAAGTAACTTAGGCTACTTATTTCAGAAATTCTTTTATTTTAAATTACACGCGGACGAAGTCGCGGGCACAGCTAGTCTTACATACTATTCAATACAATATGTCGCTTGGTAGGCCACAACTAAAACATCCGAAAAATACCTCAGGATGTGGGGAGAGGCTGAAAACCACCGCTTTTCCTAACTAGTGCCCCGATGAGCACAAGCTGAACCGACTTTTTGCATTTGCCTTCATTGTATTATATGTACTATAAGATTAAGAATGCATATTTAGTTATAAGGTATAAATTTGCCAATAAATGTAATTTTTATAGATGTTTAATTATAAATAACTTGCATTATTTCATAACTATTACGTTATAATTATTCAATTCCTTAATTATCTTTTCGTTTAATAGTACCACTTTTGTAATTAAATAGTTTATATTATTATTATAGTAATATTTTAAGGGTGGTAGGACCACACCGCAGTCTCGGCTGTTGCACGAATGGGCAGGCTCGTCCGGGTAAGTACCACGAGCTCACATAAGACCGGCGTAAAGTCGAAGTATAATACTTTTGCGTTTCGTCTGGTGAGTGAGGTGGCCGGAGCCCAATTTTAAAAAGGTTGTCAGGGGATCCGGAGCCCTCGGGTGTAGCAGATGTCCATGGGCGGCGGTATTCACTTAACATCAGGTGAACCGTCGGCTCGCAACGTTTCACATAAAAAAAGTTATTAAGGGAAATGCTTTAATTAAATTTTAAGTTGAAATTAATCAAATATATCTTCTTTTAAATCCGTAAACTTTCGTAAATTTTTAGATACTTTCATAACGTTAAAATTATACCTGAGAATACGGACCAGTATTATATAGTACGAACATCTCTATTTATAGTCATATAAATATATACTTACGACCGACTTAGATTTCAAGGAACCTCTTTCTACTAACCTCAGTTATTTGTTAGTTTTTAATCGTATTTTGGTTACTATGGACCTGTACACTTATCAAATCTTCTAACAACGCAGGTTTTTAGACAAGTTTATAGCATCTCCAACTCCTTAGTGAAACCCCTAATATGATGGACTACAAATGAAATTTCTACACAAGATTAAGTTTTCGAATAGAAATAAGTTTTTTTTATCAATAAACAGATGGTTTTTATTGAAAATATTTTTTTGGGTTGAGAATTGAAGGATGCAGTTATGACTATTATGGAATAATATGCAAAAAGAAGACTAGAATATATAACTATGCATGTGTTAGTTACATTCTATGTGTATGTAATATGTATAGTTATAAATGCTAAGGTTATTAGCTCAATTTTAATTAATTAATGTTTAATAAAATTTGTAAAAAAAATTGTCTGTCTTAATAAGATTTTTACAATTGTTTCTATTGGATAAAGAGCCCAAACACTCTTCGGAATTAAATATTAGTCAATTATTATATTTAATTACTAATAAAAAAGAATCAACGGAAAATCGATCTAGGGTAACCAATAGATTGAATCGCTTTGGTATTTTTTTTTTATTTTCCTATTTGATATTACTCGATTAGGTAAGGAAGAAACACTCCTAAAAACACAAAAAGTTCAGCAAATATACATCAATTAACACAGAACACGTGAGTCCATTAAAACAATCGGCAAACCCAAACGGGTTAATGAAACTGTTAATGATTTATGACAGATAAACAATCACTCACTTAATATCGCGCATAGTATCTGATTGAATTTACTTCCTTCTGGAAGAAGGGAGTGGAACCTTTTCATCTTCTCTTCTATATTGCACTGCTACAACGTCATCACAACCCACGTCACATCCTCGTAATTATAATATATTAAAAATTTTGTAATAATTCTTTCTTTTCAACTTATGCACTCGATTTTCGTATACGGTTTTTCTACCCCCTGGAATTTTATTTAAGAACCACGAGAACATATACAGGATATTAAAAAAAATTGAGCACAATCGGAACTACGCAGTTGGCGCGGCCGCAGACTGTACTGAGCGCTTGCTACTATGGACGAGCCTTTTATTAAAGCTCGCATAGTTTAACGGCCATAACGAGATCTTAGCGGCAAGTCTCGCGTTCGATTTAAAAGCACGTAAACGAATGTTATTTTTGAACGCGTCGAAGGGACAAAAAATTTTCGTTATAAAATTTATGAACACCCTTTACAGTCAGAGTGTATAAGTGTTTCTTCTTCTTATGAATAATAGATGTTCTAAGTTCGAATCACTAATTTTTCTCATAAATTACCGAAAAATACATGTACGTATTTATGTTTTAAATATCCAATATTTACAAAATTAAATCTGTCTAAATTATAAATTATCTAATAAACCTACTCTATGCGATCTGATTTTAACGAATGTATAATGATTTAAGTTTTTAAATAAATATAAAAAATATATAATATGCACGGAAATACGGTGCTAACGCAGCAGCCTCGGCTGTTGCACGAATGGGCAGGCCCATCCGGGAAAGTACCACGATCTCACAGAAGACCGGCTTAAACTGGAAGTATGACAAATACTTTCGCGTTTCGTCTGGTGAGTGAGGTAGCCGGGGCCCAATTTTTAAAAGGTTGTCAACGTATCTGCAACCCTCGGGGGTAGCAGACCATGGGCGGTGGTATTCACTTAACATCAGGTGACCCGTCTGCTCGTTTGGCAACTTTTCGCATAAAAAAGAAATTTTTCAATTGAATGAAAGGAGTTTCTTGAAATTTTCTCTGATATTGCACTCCTTTCTTGTCAATTCCCCTAAGGCATTATGTAGTATCATCATCATCAGTTCAGCCTGTTTTATTCAACTGCAGAACATTGGTCTTCCCCACAGATAGCCAACCAATGGGAAGTAGTCATAGCCGCCCAAGGGTACTCGCAACACCTGAAAAGCTACAAATTTTCAAAAGGTCAACGCATCTGTAACCCTCGGGTGTGGCAGAGGTCCATGGGCGGCGGTATTCACTTAACATCAGGTGTACCGTCTGCTCGTTTGAAAACTTTTCACATAAAAAAATGCGTTTACGGTTGGAACAGACTCCCTTCTTGATGGTCTCTTAGTGGTATCAGTCACGAAATATCGCTTTGTATGTTCGACATACCAATTTTGTGCACACATTTTTGTGCAAGATAAGAAGTTGTGTGAACGTATAGTTGTGGACAGCCACCCATTAGGGTGGTATCGATTGGTTTTACGATTTGACGTGCCGTTCGCTGGAAATTCAAAAATAGGTATTAATCAAGACTCCTTGAGTGTTGTGATGTCTTTTCTTTTAATCCTTTTACTTTATTTAATATATTATAACTGTCTCTTGTATACTTCGTCAACAGCTGCCAAGATGTTTTCTTATGATACAAAGTGACAGAATCGCAAGCGTTACCAAGTTCCTAGTTAAGTTCCAACTGTTCCAGGCAGTGCTACTTCCACGGACCGGATCATAATAAATACGCGTCTGACAATTAAAAATACTACAGTAAAAATAACAACTTATACATAAGTGGAAAATTGTTGTTCATACCCTAACTGATACGTCACGTGACAACGAATAAGTGACATACGTTTGACATAACGTACGAAGTTATGTTGTTTGTTGAAACATCATTAGACATAATATAAACGGTGGTAGGGCCACGCAGCAGCCTCGGCTATTGCACGAATGGGCAGGCTCGTCCGGGTAAGTACCACGACCTCACAGAAGACCGGCGTAAAGTGGAAGTATAATACTTTCGTGTTTCGTCTGGTGAGTGAGGTGGCCGGAGCCCAATTTTCTAAAGGTTGTCCACGCATCTGCTATCCTCGGGTTTAGTAGATGTCTATTGGCGCCGGTATTCACTTAACATCAGGTGAACTGTCTGCTCGCTTAGCAACTTTTCACATTAAAAAAGAAATCTAATATAGACATCAAACGACCAAGTTTTTCAACTCATACAGATTCCCACCTCCGATTCTTCTGCCTTTTATAGTAGGGATTCCTAATGCCCCAAACAATTGTCAGAAAAAATACCTAGTTTTGACTCTTAAACCAGTAAGTTGTACACAAACCAAACTTATTAAACAAAAAAAAAAACCCAACTGCAAAATTACTGCCGTTGGCTAAAAACTCTATAACCTTTCTATTAATAAAACGATTTTTATTATAAATATTTACCAGTAAAATAATTGAGTTAATTAAATGCTTACGCAAATATGTAGAGCTGAACAAGTTTATCCGTCAAACAAAATAACTAGAGGACGTGATAGCGAATAATTTACAACACCGTTGATGTTATTAGATGTAATTGTTTGACAATCCGAAACGAACCGAGATATTATCGCGGCTGTATGCTGTCGGATATCATGGGGAAGACTAATGAATGCTTCCGTGCAAGTTAAATTTGTCGTAGTACTTTTCTTATTGCAACGTAATATTGCAGCAGTATAATTCCTAAATTACTAGTAGTTGAATCGAATAATGTAAAGGAAGCTGCTCCTATCATCCAGAGAAGATCGCTTCAAATGTAGTGTGATAGACCCATAAATTTAAATACAAGTAGCTTTATCAATATATGAACATTACACTTACTTATGGATTGCCAAAACCCTAAGACAAATGCACCCTGAGAAGAACCGGCGAAACATACTCACTCATATAATTTCTTTAATTTTTTCTCGATTATTCCAGGGACATTTAGTCGTTCAACAAAGTGATCTCACTTCTTATCAGCCTATGACAGTAGTTTCCGGAAACGACACTTAATTTTAAAAAACCTTGGTTTCACAGGAAGCCAATGCTAATTAGTTGTTTTTAACCTTTTTCGTTTCATCCCGTTGATGTTGAAACCGAAAACCTATATATATATATACAACGAATATATAAATACAGCGTGTCGTTACCATCGCGACAATAAATGAACACACGTCTAACGCTACTTGCCAATAATCATTAAAAAATGTTAAACAAAATCCATAATTAAAAAAAAAAATTTTTCAAACAAACTAATTAAGTAAAAAAGAAACAAAATTTGTAGCATCCTATACAACTCGCGCCACTGCGCCGTATTACAAGCTTCTCCTTCTAACAGTATGTTTTGTCTCTTTTAAATTCATTCAACCCATTCATATGCTTTGTGACCTTTACAAATGAACTTTACGTTACGCTTTTATAGGTAAGGGTGTTCTAAAATTCTTTGTTGTGGAAAATTTAATAACTCTGTAAATATTGATGTTTAAATAATTTAAATGTTTAATACAACTTTAAACTCCCGACTTCGAACATTTTACTTGGCAGTAAGTTTGTTTAAGTTCTATTTTACCTTTAGATTTAAATTTATAAATGTACATCTGGTCATAAATGTTTTCTATTTTATTATTATTCTACTTATAACATTTTAAAATTACTTAAAGAGCCGTGATAGCTCAGTGTCCGGGCGCCTTTAATTCAATATACTCGAGCAACCTGAGTTCGATCCCTGGTGCCGGCACCAATGAAGTTTTTAACTTTAAGTGCTGACTTATCACGTGCTCCGCCGTGAAGGAAAACATATTTTTCATGAAAAAATATATTTCGAAGATAGGTGAAGTCCGCCAAGCCGCAGTGGTGCCGCGTGGTGGACTATGCCCTGATACCCTCTGTATAGAGGAGGCCTTTGCCCAGCAGTGGGACATGTATAGGCTGTTACTTTACTTTACTTTTATCTATATTAATGGTATTTATGTAATTTCGGGCATACCCCGTCATTTATAGACAAATTTGCAATTTTTTTGTTTGAAACGTACTTGTACTCTAAGTTACTGAAATAAGTCGTAAAGTTACCGTCACTTTAAGATCTTTATGTCGCTTAAAAAATTTCCTTTCTTTTAATAAAAAAATTTTGCTTGTCCCAACGCTGATATTACCCATTATATATTATGTAGCTGTGTGCTACACGGTCTTGTCCAAAGATCTTTTAAACAAACTGGATCGTCTCCTTAATAATTGTCTCAAGTACATTGTCGGTCTACGAAAGTATGATCACATATCCCAGTATCGCTCTCAGCTTAATTGGCTCACAATTCGACAAAGACGGCATTCTAGGATTCTGCTCATGCTTTTCACCATCTTAAATTACTCTTCATCTCAAAACAGGGTACTTTGTTCAACTTATCTCTTATCCTTTAAACGAGCAATTCTTGTATATATGTATATAATCGGAATTTCGGAAATGGCTCCAGCGATTTTCATGAAATTTAGTATGTGCGTAGATTCGGGGGCGAAAAATCGATCTAGCTAGGTTTCATTTTTAGAAAATGTCCTTTTATCCCTGTTTTCAGGGAATGAAAAATATCATTCGAATATGACAGTACATTTCGTCGCAAAAAATGTTATAATAGCTCGGTCGGTAATCGGGTGGCCCCAAAACAGACGGCCGCGGTTCGTATCACGGTCATTTAAAAACTTATTTTTTTCCAGATCATTGCTTTCTTTATTTTTGATTACTTCCCTTTTTTTTTTAAAGTTCTTTCCTTTGTGAAAAATACTAGGTCATATTTTCTTATTATTACGTCGGTAAGATCGAAAAATATTATGCATATTTCATTACTCAGTAATTTGTATCTAAATGTAATTTCCAAAATACGCGATTTACCAAAAAAAAACAGGTCCTCCAGGTACTAACAATAAACTTTGCAACATACTTCACCGGTTTCTGTGGAAACTCCTTCACTGTCAAAGATTCACATCTCTGGAACTACTTACGCCATAATATATGAAATGCAACAAATAAGGCCCCTTTCAAAACACTGGTTCCTGAACATCTGTTGAAGACTGCCATTAATTAGGTCTTAGCCAATATTATGTATGTTTTCCTTTTTTCTGTCTACCCATGTAATTATATATAAACATACATTTTTATCTATACTTTAGTATAATCTAAAATGTTAGTTTTTACATATTCCTTATATTTATAATTATGTATCATTATTTATTTTCTTTTATTTATTAATATTTTTTAATTTTTAAATCCCTTGCTGCACCTACCATAAACTTTCACTACATTCTGGGTTGATTGGTAGAGAATTTTGGGCGTTAACTCCGCCCCTTTGTTACAATTTTTCTTAAGGTTAGCAATTAAGCATAAATAAATAAATAAACCCTTCGTGCACCAGTCCGACTCGCTCTTGGCCCGATATTGTTAAAAATATTTTTTTTTACAATTCAATAAACTCGTACAAACTGTGTTCAAATGTCCGTGCTGGCAGTTAATTTGTAATTTACACTTTGTAGTGTTCCGTACCCAAAGGATAAAACGGAATCCTATTACTAAGACTCCACTGTCTGTCTGTCTGTCCAAAAATACTAAAAAAAAACAAAATATAAAAATATTTAAGTGGGGCTTCCATACGACAGAATTTTTTTTTGCCGTTTTTATATATAATGGTACGGAGTCCTTCGTGCGCGACCACTTGGTCGGTTTTTATGTTTTTGGTATACATTAAATTATAAAAAAATAAACTTCTTGTATAGTAAAAAAATGTGTCAACAATTTATTGTTAAATTTATTTTTGTTGTTTAAAATTAGTGTTGTGTACGTCAGTCGGTTTTGTTTCAAATAAATCACTTTCTTTTAACCACTTTCTTTCTCTCCGCACCTTCCCAGCAACCCTCACAGGCAATGTAAGTCCCTCTTAGCCTCACTGACTAATAATAACTAAATTGCAACATTTGTACAAGCAAGCACTAAGTCTTTCCAAATACAAAATATGGCCAAATCCTTAGAAAAATGGAATTAAACAAATCGAAAGTTATAAAAAACTTATTTGCACTATTTTAAAATAAAATTGGGTTTATGAAAAATACATACATTTATCCAAGTACTCTATGGTATAACAACGAACTTACTACGAATCGTGTACCTACCGAAAATAAATGTCAAATAGTAACGTGTCAGAATGACAATAGAGTTATGTTTCTGTAATACCATAACTCTTTGCTATATGTTAAATAATCTCGTGACACAATGTAAATAAAATTTACAGTGTTAGATAAAAATATAATAAAGCTATAATTTTAATAGGATTTGCCAACTTTGTGATAAAGTGAGTACCTAGTCTAAACGTGACATTTCATGATTGTAAAGTTACGAGTAATAAATGTTATATAACCTACTGGAAGATTTTATACAGTCACACTTGTCTTTTGGCAACCAAGAAGTTGTCATAAAAATCACTATTAGCGAGTTCTTAAATCTAACATTGGTATAAATTTAATGATTTCGTGGTATTAATGCCCATACCCTGTGTATAGAGGAGGATTTTGCCCAGCAGTGGGACATGTATAGGCTGTTACTTTATGGTATTATTAATGTATTATTTACAAGGCGTTTTATTGCACTGTTTGAAATACTGTACTGTCCGCCATTGTGCTTGGGTTTACTTTTATTAACTGTAAATATCTTAAAATCGATATTTGAAATTTCAATAATATTAGTACAAGAACAAGTCTCAATTCCGATGGTAGCTCGAAGAACCAATAACCAATGAGGAAAAAAGGTTCTCAAGAGCCTCTTATTGGCCATAGTAGTGGGGGCGACCCCCACTAGATGGTGTGCAAGTGTGCGGTAAGTCGAAGGATGCGGGTGGCTCAGTGTCGTGCTTCGTAGCAGTCTATGGAAGAGACCTATGTTCAGCACTGGACTCAAAAAGGCTAGAACAATGATGACGGTGATGATGAATAACTAGGATTAAAAGCACAAGCGTCATTTCTGGGGCTACTGCGACTGTTCAAATAATGTTTTGAAAAAGTTTCAGATTATTCAATTTATTTTCGACGTAATACGAGAAGTTCATTCGCAATGATTTGGATCCTAATATTTATTATTCAAGTCGGTATGTAAGTTTTTGTGGATAAAATTAACTACACCAACTTAAAAAATTAACTAGTAGTTCGCTTTTCACCTTAAAATATTTAATTGTTTCACACCGTTGAAATGTTCATTGAAAGAAGATCTTCGGAAACAATATTTGTAAGTGAAAAACGAATTTAGGATTCTATCAAACTTACGTCTGGGATATCTAGTTTTGCATTGGCCCATATATTTTTCATAATATAGGCAGTTATTCCATTCCTTAGCTGTACGGGTGGTGAATTGTGAAGCGAATTGCTTCGATCTTGTGTGTGGAACGTCGACGGCATTAGGGTGGAACCCAGCCGAATGCCTAGTTGTCCGATGATGGAAAGGGGCGGGAGAAATCGGAAGTGAAAACATAAAACAATATCAAAATTAAAATTGTATAATATTTAATTCTACATATTTTACAGGCACTTTAAAAGATAATAACAGTATTTATATCATATCCATAACTACAAATAGATTTTTGCGTATTCCTTTTTACGGTTCGGTACCCAAAAGGTAATACGGGACCCTAATATTACTAAAACTACACTGCCTATGTCTATCTGTCTATCTGTCTGTCGGTCCGTCGCACAGTTGAAATTTTCTCAGATGATGTATTTCTACTGCCACTATAACAACAAATACTACAAAACAGAATAAAAAAAATGTTCAAATGGGGCTCCCACACAGCAGAAATGATTGTTTCGCCGTTTTTATAGACAATGGTACGGAACCCTGCGTGCGCGGGTCCGACTCGCACTTGGCCGTTTTTTAAAAATAGATCATGGAAGCGTTCGCTGACGATGACGCGAGTTTCCTGATTTTTTTCACCCATAAAGTGCTCAACGCTCCTAACGAAGTTTTCATTTCAATATTCTGATCGATGTTAGCCAATTTTTTTTTCCCACGTCACACATCATTCTGTCATCCTTCCTAGCCACAAGATACGAGCACCGCTGTTACAATGTAAGAAACATGTTTCGCACGCACGCACGCACGCACGCGCAAGTAAACATAAACAGCAATTATTCCTCCTTAAAACTTACCAAAGAATGTAAATTGTTGTGACTTCTTAAATGGCTAAATGTTTTTGTGAATCTATATTTTGTAATGTGATTATCGTATGCTGTGAAGTTTCCGAATAAAACAAAATCAAACTGACCTACAATTGATTGCGACATTCTATATTGTTCCAGTTTTAATACTAAAATATAACGAGGCTTTAAACAGGAACACACTGTCAACGTTCACCAAAAACCTGGAGAGCTTGGTGCAGGAGATGTCAATTTACTTCCAACCTTGCAGCTATCCAATAGAATTGATAGCCGGAATGTGTATGGATAAAACATTGAGAAAATAGGTCGATTTTATTACCGAGTAATAAAATTTGAAGGTGACGATAATAAATGAAATGTTAGTCCAAACTGTAAAACGGAAACGTTTATTTTTAGACTTTCTTTTGTTTAAATAATCTTTCATTAAACTGACTTGTAAACTAAACGTTTTATGTTGGTGATTGAAAAATATATATCAGCTCCTGTGTATTATTAGAATCTTTTCCGTTACATTAGAAAAAAATGTATCGAGTAGTTTTCCGATAGTATGCTGGATGCAAATGCGTTCTATTGCATACCTGTTCAATTATATTGTAAACTAATCGTTTTAAAAAAGAACCAACTGTTAAGTTTCTTGCCGGTTTCTTCTACACAGAAACTGCTTTCCGAACCGGTGGTAACTTACGAACGTATTAATTTTTATGTAAAATTTTGACATTTCGTAAGAACGCGCAAGCATCTATGTGAATAATAATTTCTTGTATTTACGCGATTACACATTATGAAACTTATTTTAGATTTTGATGAACGCTGTAAAGGGTTCGAAACGTCGGGAACTAAAATTAAAAATAAACGCGATAAATCCGTAAAATTAGTTTCATTTAGATTTTGATTTTTTGACCCCTAGATGTATAATACCGGTAGTACCCCTACCGGTATTATATATAACGCTAAGGCGTTTTCTTAAAGAGTGTTCCCGTATAATTCTCTCGCAATACGAAACGCTAAACCAATATTTACAACTTACTGCGGCGTTATTCAAGATCACAGTAGATCCCAGACTACTGCTGAGCAACGGCCTAACTGAACTACTCGAAATCAAAATTAAAATCAAATGTCTTTATTCAACATAGGTGCATTACACTCGCTTATTAATAGTCACGCACACATACTGCACGAAGGGTCCTGCGATTTGAACCCATGATCTGAATCGTCTACACCAAAAGGCCACCAGATTCGATCAGCATTTCGAATTATGTAAATTAGCCAAAGGAAATAAAAGACGGCGTTTATAAATTATTATTTTATTAGATCACTATGATAACTTCTGTCAGTACACAAGGAATTGTTATAATACGGGCGTCCTCTTTATCGGGTCATTAATAGTATAAAGTTATCTAAATAGTTGATTTATTTGATAAGTAAATGCACAGTTAAGCGATACTTTATTTTAAACTCTTAAGAAATGTAAACATCGAGCATAAACGATGAATAGAAGTAGCATCAATTAATTTTATGCAAAACTTTTATTCAAAACGTTTTTTTTTTAATCTCATACATTCTAAATTGTCTTCAAAAATCGGCGACAATTTCTTAGTAATTTCAGCTATAGCTTTAGTAACAGCTTACGTTGTTCTCTTCAAAAAGTTATAGCGGAAATTAATAGATAAAGAGTGGAAAGACATAATTATTTACATTCAACTTAACTATTATTATGAAATAAATAGAGCAATAAATAAACAGTCTAGACTTACATTCCACTATAATCTAAATCACTTAAAATTTACATCAGTAAGCTAAGCAAAACATGTTACGAAAACGTCACGTTCCATTTATTATCTGTTATAAATATCAGAAATAGCATGATTGCTTAGCTTAAATGACTCGGTAATCATTCAACAACCATCGACCACTCTTCCTAACCTCATTACTTTAGTATCGGGTTCTAAATTCAAAGCGTTCCCGCCACTGACAAGACGCTATCTTGTTTCGCAATTTACTGACTAAAACTATTTGAGGAAGACGAATAAGTTGAAACACCGAATCTGTTGAACGGTTAACATTAACTAGTTAAGGTTGGCACTAAATGTATTAATGAGCGATCGTTCTTAGACAACGATATAATCAAAGCGGAATATTTTCATATGACTGACGCATCTGATTTAACTGCCGCGTTGCTCTATCGACTTATCGATAAAGGTAATTCTTCGGCTCTTCGGCAATGGGTTCCGTGCATGTGCCCAAGTATTTCAGTTGCACCACGCTTCTGTAAATATAGTATTCAGGTTGTTGATAATAATAACAATGATTCAGTTGCGAAATATAGGTACGTGGTAGAAGGCTAGAACGTTATCAAGAAGTAACAAAAATAATAAATACAAATTAAATGAAAAATGAAATTCAAATAAGAAAAATCATTTAAATAATTTTTATTATTTGAATAAAATACATACTATAGTAACCTTCATCTATCAACATATGGTGTAGTTCGTTCTTAAATATTTATATTTAGTTTCTTTAAGTCATTCGAAAATTAGTCATATATTTCGGGTGCCATGCATAAAGTATCCTTATTCATAAGTGCTGTGTTTCTAGTACGTACGTACAGCTTATAAATATCATATTAGCTACATTCATGACTTGTTTGAAGAAAAAGAGATGTTATGTTATTTCTCATGAACATGGCAGTCTCATTGGTATACATAGATGGCCTAGTCAAAATTAAAATCATTAGCTCGAAGCTAAATGAAGCGATAAATTATAACAATGAAAAATTTAATAAAAAAATAATTCTATTAATTCTCAAATTTAAGTTCACGAAGCAGTTAAAAGGGTGTATTCTTAGTTTGTACCCACGTGAAAAAACAGTGGTTCTATTTACATAATTCTCCCTTTATTATTGGGACATGCTTTAGCGGATTTACGTAGAGTTACGTATGACAGAAAATGACTATAACTCAAGCGTTTGGCGGCTAATAAAATAAACATTCGACGATACCTCGATCTGCAGTTCTCCATTTCCAGGAAGCACTTGTTGGAGTATGTCTTGTCGTCAGTGCCGCAAACGGGGTCGTACTCTGGCGGGCAGACCCTGGCGCAGCCGGAGTATTGGAACCGGGAGAGACACCTCTTCAGCGGCACCACATAAACGTGCTTACTGCAACAAAAGGGGAAAATCAAGAAATCAATACATCCTTGATGACAAAATTTAGAGAGATAACCAGATACCAAAAATTAGACATACTACGTGACAAGAAGGGAGTGTTTAGTGAAGACACGAATGGCCTGGCGCGTCCAGGGAAGTACCCCAACCTCACAGAAGACCGGCGTGAAGTGGAAGTATAATACTTTCGCGTTTCGTCTGGAGAGTGAGGTAGCTGGAGCCTTTTTACTAGCAACGCATCTGCTATCCTTTGGAGATCTAGATGTCCATGGGCGGCTGTAATCATTTATCATCAAGTGGACCGCCTGCTCGCTTGCCAACTTTTCACTAAAACACGTTCCCAGAGGTGAAACTTCACCGTTCAGACTCGAAATACACTCACCCGCAGTTCTCCTTCTTCATGATGCACTCATTCTTGTAGAAACGATTGTCCGAGCCGCAGACGAAGGCGGGCGTGTCGGGGCACGGCTCGTGGCAGAGCGCCGTGGTGCGGCAGTGGGACGCCGCCACCGCCACCACGTGTTGGCCGCAAGTCAGCCGACGCAGTTCACATTCAGACCTATAGGGGAACAGTGACAGTGGGTTAAACGGGATCACTTCGAGTGGGTCAGCGAGTAGCGTGCACCGAGATCACAGACAGGGTATGCGCACAAAAATTAAGTCTGTTTCAAATTAAAATATGTAGAAAAAGTACGAAAAGATTGTCGCCGAGGTGGAATCGAACCCACGACTTCGGCATTCGCGGCCTGACGCTTTAATCACTAAGCTAAACGGCTGATTGCCACACCGACGAAAATCTTAACATCTTTTATCTACATTGTTTTTTTTTTAGCATTTGAAGCAATGCTTGACATCCATTGTTATATCCATTCCCATGCTGCGATGCTGATAACAATGGACGGTAGCAATAGGTTAGCTGGTGGTAGATGTGAAACTTTGTCAAGCCGGCAAGCGACTCACGTTATATTAAATGAATACCGCCGCCCATGGCCATACGCTGGTTTTCTGTGAAGCCGCAGTACCTCCCCGGACGAGCCTGCCGATTCGTGCAACAGGAGAAGCCGTTGTGGGCCCTACCACAGTATGGACTATGATGGACTACGGATGGACTACAGACTAAGGAGATCGGCATAAAATGGAAGTAATTGTACCACGGATGTTCTTAAATGCCGGAGACGTATCAGAAATACCCTTTTTGATGCTGATAACAATGGACGATAGCAATCACTTAACATCTTTTGTATTGCACCAATCGCACCCTTAAATAGTTAGCTCATAGAAATATCCAAATTTTATTTACAAGATTAAATCTAAAATTACATATTATCTAATAAACTTAATCCACGCAGCATGGTGCCAATGACGCTAGCTGCATTTCCTCGCTAATATATCATGATATGACACATCCAAATAAAATACCAACTTGTACACATTTCCATCGGATCCGCAAACAGGTTGTTCGAGCGCGTTGTCGCAGTTGTCCGGACAGTCAGTCTCGAGCCGGGGTAAAAGTGTGCAGTTGCCGAAATGCGCCAACTGTACTCCTTTGCTGAAATATTTTAAGAGCACAGTTAATTTCAATGAATGCGCCCTCGAGTAGCTCGTGAGAGCTCATTATCGTAAAACTAATTATGAGTTTCATTTTAAAATTGCTAAATATGGGTCACGTTATCTGTCAATGTGGACTAGTAAATTGTATGGTTGAAACGTTGGAGTAAACCATTCAAGCATTTACGAACAGAGGTAGTGGTTAGTATGAATAATTAGTATCGAGTACTGTTATTATATATGGCGTAAATTGCGACTGATACTACGTAGTCACCAGATACTATGATTGGGTTTTACTAATGTCAATTCAGGAAGACCGTTAACTAAAGGACGTCCGTCGTCGCTAAATTGTAAAAACTGTAAAAAAGTGAAGCTGACGACAATGACAATTAAAAAAACCAAGGTGACATCGGTTTTTACTCAACTTGTGCTCTTATCGGTGTGTTATTACTAAATGCGTGATGTGTGTTATTACTGAATGTGTGATGTGTTTTATTACTAAATGCGTGATGTGTGTTATTACTGAATGTGTGATGTGTGTTATTACTAAATGTGTGATGTGCGTTATTACTAAATGTGTGATGTGCGTTATTACTAAATGCGTGATGTGTGTTATTACCGAATGCGTGAGCGACTGCTTTAGAAACATTTCAATAACACTTACAGGCAATTAGCAACCTTAAGGGCACAGGAGTTGGGGTAAACGTTGGCATCAGTTCCACAAACTGGGTCAAAGTCACCACGGCATTTGACTTTGAGACACTTGTTCATCTTAGATTTGCACTTCTCCATGTCGACCTTCTTCACAACCTTCCTGTTGTTGACACTGAAATAAAAGATTATAATGGATAAATTAAAAAAAAAACTACTTCATATTACACAATTTAGCAGCATTGACTCTAGACAATATTGCAAATGACTCTAGACAGCGTCAATTCAATTATACTAGGCCTGAAATTTTTAGAAGTTTGTAACAGCCACCACATGAGTTGCAGAAGGGAACTATTTTGATTATTTAAGCTTAAGTTATCTAATGTGTCTTCTGTAACGATTAAATCAGTAATGATGGACTTGCCATGCCAGTGAAAGGAGATAAAAGTAAACCGAAATCAACATAGAATTTCCTGCCAGTCATGAAAGGCTCCTAAAAATGATATTAGGTTCCATAGCGACCAAGCAGAAGCCTAGAGCTACTACGAGTACGAATTTAGTGGTGGATCTAAACCCCCAAATAAGGACGGCTAAACAAAATGTTCTCTCGTCGCTTGAAAGCAGTACAGAAAATGTTCAGTACTTTCTTCTGTAATCTTACGACTTAGCCATATACTTTCTTCCAGGGATGGTGTTTCTTAAAGCCTTCTCCATCTAACATCTACCTTCAGTACATACAAAATAATATATACAAAAGTCTTTAAGTACAACTTTCGTAACTCACCCACAGTTAAGCATCTTCATCTCACACTCGTTCCTATAAATATTCTCATCGGACCCACAGACGAGTTTCTCTTTCTGTCCGGAGCAATCTGTCGGGCAATATTCACCACCGGAGGTTCTCTCTTGTGATACGCAAAAGGCCATCGGTACTTCGAACACGTGTTTCCTGGAAAGTATCGATGAACAAGTTCAGCAAGCAATTAAGAGCGAGCTATTTGTTTATTTTTTTATTTCAAATATCGTGTTGATAGGATATTTTTTTTATTTCGCAATAAAAGTATCGCAATAAAGGGAAGTCGAGTCTGATTTTTTCATTATAACTTTTTCATGTGTTAAAAATTCTAGTAGAGTGATGATTGATAAATTTGCTGCGATATTTGGAAGTATATTATACATAAGGTACAATTACTTATCATTTCGACAAAGAACAGTTACGGCAAGGAGGAATACATAACATTATATGATGGAAATGGGTTATTCTTTTTTTATACAATTACCCTTTATCAAATTTACCGTACACAACAATTATTAAGTTTAAGTGAAGTCTTTGTACAAGATTACCAATAAACAATATTCCTTTTATTTTTATTCGTTCTTTTACTTTCTCTTATTTTTTTTAAATTACTCATACGTTGTCTATGTCGGTTCTGTGACTCATTAAATTAAAAAAAATCGAACTATCGATACGAGTATGACGTCACCCGTTTCCTATATTTATCATGTTGGCAGAACTGTGTATTGAAATTTGAAATCAAATTAATAAAATAGCGAACTTTTTTAGTAACAATAACAGAAAAAAAAACGGAGAATTCTGCTTGTGGGTTAATTCGTTAGTGATTTTTCTCTATCGTTTTAAATTTGTTTTAATTGAATGACGCCAACGTCAGTGACCTTTACATTTGCCTTTTAACTTACTGATATGTTATTTTGTTTATATTTTTAGTTTATTATTTTGTTCTTGTTCTTTTGTTATTATAAACATTATAACTAAATCTAATACGTGTACAGATAAAGTGACGGATTAAATGTCTTGTGTCTTAAGTCAATGTCAACAACCATCCACCATGAACCAAGAAAGTTTTTACAAATTACCCGCAGTTGGTGGCTTTCATTCTGCACGCGTTGGCGTATAGCTTTCCGTCAGAGCCGCAGGTGGGTCTGGCAACCCTCCAGCACGACTCCCTGCAATGGCGGGTCGTCTGGCAATGCTTCTTGTTTGTCCTCACCACACCTTGCCTGGAAAAGTAATCAGTCCTTAGAGCTAACAGTACGAATGATATAAAAATAAGATTAAACCTAATGTCTTGAAAAAATATTCATAAATTCGTCATTATTTCTTCATTAAACACTGGAGTCATGAACTAACCGGCGCGAAGTGGAAGTGTTCGTCGTTTGTACTTCTGCTTTTCGTCTAGTGAGTGAGGTAACTGGGGCCCACTTTATTAGAAGGTGGCGATGCGACTGCAACCCTACGGGTGTTGCGAATGTCAATAGGCGGCGGCTATCACCTAAGATCAGGTGAACCGCCTGTTCACTTAAAATAAGGCCAGAGTATCAATTTATTATTAAAGCATGCCGGTCGTTCAGGTACCGAGATTGAGACATGTGCAAGAAATAAGTGTGCTTATCTCACCCGCACGTCAGCAGCTTCATCTGGCACGTGCTCTTGTAAACGTTTCCGTCGGAACCGCAAACCGGCCCATCCAAAGGCGCCTGGGAGCAGTCCACAGGGCAGTTTTCTCGGTGGGCACTGATGTTGTTGCAAGCACCAAGGTGGGACAGACCGATGCCCACTCTGTTATATAAACAAAAAAAAATATTAAAACCAGGTAGGAACGAAGTTCCTTCGGCTAATGTAAAATCGACACAAATTTCAAAAAAAAATCGTGCTCAATTTTATGTAGGTTTTCTTGATTTTTCTCTTAAATTTTGCCGATTAGTTTTTATTTAAGTACAAGAAAGTATTTAGGAAATGCAGTATTTTAGGAAATAATAAATTACTTAAAATAAAAAAACATCGTAATTCAAATTATCAACTAAAATAACAAAATATGTCTCTTTATTTTTGTTTGACAACATAAAATTATGCGACTGTCGCGCCTGCGCACGTCTCATTTAACGGTTTTATTCCACGGATTTTTCTTACGGTTTTACTATCACATTTTTTTCAGTTCGGCCGCGCAGCAAAATCCCTATCCCCTCCAAGCCTGCCGTAAGGAACTTCGTTCCAAAAATATTTTAACTAATCTCTTTTTATTTAAAAACTTTTTGCAAAATAGCATACAATGGCAGACCTTACAGCAGGTTAAGTCCATTAGGGTGTTCTCTACCAGTCAATCAACAAATAAATAGAGAAAATGAGGACGAAGGAATGGAGAGAATACATGAGTCTTTTATTTTATGATGAGAGATAATTGTATCGTTGAGTCCGTCTTTATTTCACAAACGTCATTGGTTATATCGAAATTGTATTTTTTTCACCTCAGAACGCCGTTATTTTTGAACCGATTGTAAAAAAATATTTTTGAATTGGACCTTGTTTTTCGGAGATAGCTCAGAAGAAAATTTATGTATGTATGTTTGATAGTTGAAGTGTTCTTTGTTAATAAAAATGTACTTGTGTATTCTCCATTATTTTAACCTTTATCTGTATGTCCTCTAGGTGAAAGCACAACAACAAAACTATCCTATATATATATATATATATATATATGTAAGTACCTAGTTAACGAGGTGGAATATCTACCAACCTGCATATTTCAACCTGCAGCATGCATCTGTTCAGATAGGTCCTGCCGTTTGTTCCGCACACTGGGTCACGTTCGGCCGTGCACCGGTGCTCGCATTTGGACCCCTGCGCCCTGGAGCAGGAACCTTGATCCTGAGCTAGTTTGACTCCTGAAATGGAACAAGCCACGTGAAAAATTAGCATGCTGCTACTGGCATTGTTAGCACTAGTCTATCATACCTTTTTTACAATTCATTTTATTATTACCTACGGCACATAAGGAACTCTCGCACAAAACTTCTCCGTTGTCTACAATCAGTGTCTATTATTCTCCCGGGGTTAATAATAGGATTTTAAGAAGACCCAGCTGTCGCCAGTGGTCATTTCGAATCGTTACGAACTTCCTTTCAAAACGGGAGCCTTTCAAAAGAGAGAATATTCTTTCCTGAAAGGCCGGCAACGCATTTGCAAGCCCTCCGTTGTTGCAGATGTTCTCTTTCTTAATCTTTCTGTGATCTTTTTCCATGCCTCCCTCCTGTAAGCCTCTTGCCTGTTTTTCCCCTTTTTCCGTAAAAAAAGAACAGAAAAGAAGCAGAAACGAGATGCATCGATAAGAACCAATTCAAGAATGCATTCATCAATTTCATCGAAATGTGCGAGAAGTAAATTTAAATCTTGTACAGCATTTTACCTTCCGTGCAGCATGCAAACATTTCTCTTGTTCAAAATTCGTATTTGGAGCAAACTGAAACTTTCCTTGCGCTTTGTTTTATTTCTATAACAAACTTTGACGTGGTTCAATTTTTAACAGAAATTCGGCCATTTGTTATGGCTCTATATTCTCTATAATTATGATCTTCGAGTGTTGTGTAAAAAAACCAGATAACCCAATAGATGCAGTTAAGCTTTGATGTCGTGGATCAGGCGTTAATACCGTTGTGGGGTTAATATAATTTTACAATTAATATACAATTCTTGTATACAACTTTGTTAAATCTTAATCGGAATGAAGTTTTAAATGTTAATGATCTGTGGCAGCACTAGCTTTCATTTTTACCATCAACAAAATGGTCACAGTTCTTTTATCACGACCTTATGTTTATAGTGAAAGTATTATTATTATTCTTTGTCCAATTCCTTCTGATTTTTAAGACGTGTACAATATTCATAATTGTTCAAATACCCGTTAGCGAGTGATAATGAATTATAATAACATTCATACCTACAAACATGAACGCATATATTTATGATACTTCATTATTTCTATGCTTACTAGTACAAATTATTCGGAGGTCGTGAAATGGAGGTTGATTATAATAAAGTAGAAAGTTTCAGTATATACCTATACAGGGAGATTTTTTGAAAACTGCCCAAATTTACACAGGAGGTTCGGACTCGGTAGTATAATCGTTTATTGAAATAAAAAACAAAGTATTTTTTCCAAAAAAAAAATGCCATTCTAGTCATTCATAAATACCTAAATTTTACTGTGCACAAACTTGTGTGCGTGTTAATTAAGAATGATCGCGCGTAAAATAAATGAGCTGCGTATAAATCACGCACTTTTTGAGATAAGTTCAAATGAGTGTAATTAATAACTTACGAGTGATTTTAAATATTTATTATTTTTATATAACATTATTCATGTCTAGAATTAAATAAAAAAAATGGATACACTTAGAAAAGCCACCCTGTATACAAGCTAATGAAAGCGTTCAAAAAATAGTACCCTTTCCACAAGTCTTCTTCCGCATCTCGCACAGAGAGGGATAGATGTATCCGTCCGTCGCGCAGACCGGCTCACCCTGCAGTGCGGGACCGCAAATTCGCGGACATGTAGCGTCGCGTGCGCCATCGCATAAAGATGCCACTGGAACATACAAAAGATGAGTAAAATCTCTATCATAAGACACTGGTCCCGTTTCGGTTTTTTTTTTATGTGTAAAGTTGCCAAACGAGCAGACGGTTCACTGATGTTAAGTGAATACCGCCGCCCATAGACATCTGCTATACCCGAGGGTTTGCAGATGCGTTGACAACCTTTTTGGAAATTGTTACTCTCTGTCGTAAGGGGTTGACACTGCTTCCGTTTCGATTGGTTTTTCTAGCATAGTGAATGCTCATCTTTTTAGGGTTCCGAACCCGAAGGGTAAAAAACTGTCTGTCTAGCTGTCCGTCGGTCTGTCACCAGTCTGTGATCATGGACCGTGACAGTTAGACAGTTGAAATTTTCACAGATGATGTATTTCTATTGCCGCTATAACAACAAATCAGAACAAACTACTAAGTATGAAACAAAATAAAAAAAATGGTGTGGCTCCCATACAACAGACATGATTTTTTTGCTGTTTTGTAGATAATGCAACGGAACCCTTCGTGCGCGAGTCCGACTTGAACTTGGCCGGTAAAAAAAAGTTGTCTAGTGAGCAGGCGGTTCACCTGATGTTAAATGGATACCGCCGCCTTGCTGATGCGTCGACAATGCTTAAAAATCTGGGCCCCATTTATGTCACTCCCGCTAACAAGTCTCCAATTCATGGCGGTCTTCTGTGAGGTATACTTCTCCGGAAGAGCCTGCCCATTCGTGCAACAGCAAAATCTGTAGCGTCCTTACTACAGAAAATCTTAATCTTATTAATTTCAATTAATTAACATTGTTGTGGCGTTTACATTTCAACACAGCCCACGCTGTAGATAATTAATTATAAAACTTAATCTAAAAACTGTACTCCAAATATGCTTTATAACAAACTATATTTATAGAATAAAGGTGAGGACAAGTAGACAGAGTACGGCCTAAATAACGTTCCGGAGAGGCAAATAGTTTAGCATATTTGTGCAACTAATAAATTAATGTGTTTGAAAATTTAAAGGTATTTAAGGGAAACGAGATAGAAGATAATTGAGAAGTGTTTTGTTTCTGCTATTTCAGTAAAAAAAAGTTGAGTGTTGTGATGAAGAATCTTTCTCATGGTCTGTTGTCACAATTATAAACGGGATAGATAATGGAGGGTTTGGCAATGGATACATCTCCAGTATTTCCATACATTGAGACAAATATTTTTTGCTGAGTACTTAATGAAAGAAATATATTATTGATAACGAGCATAACAGTGTTTTAACATCCTATTGATTACATTGTCATGGACGTTTACATATTCTTTTTTATAATCATACATAAATTTCTCACTACAAAGAGAATAGACAAAACAGAAACAAAATGACAGGTGTTTTATTTCTGTTTTGTCTATTCCTTTTTTTACTTTCTGTAGGTTGGATGATCAATATAAATAAATAAAAACATTATCTTTACTTTAAAATTACCTAAGTCATTATTTTTTGCAAACAGTGAGACATATATCCAAAAATCTTACCTTTAATAAATATTTAACAGCCAGCAAATCTGATCATTAATTCCTTTTAATGGTTTAAGAAAGCGATCATTAAATATTTTATGCGGAGTGCGAATACACACCGTGTTACTTACTGTATAGATAAGAATCATTTTTGAGCCGCAAAACGTAAATTGCTTTCAAATAATCGCGTGGAAACACCTGAAAGGCTTTGGATATCTTTTCTAAGCTGTGAAATTCCTGGCTAAATATAGACAAAGATAAGGATCTTTTTACTTGCCACGCATTGTCCCTTTGGTTGGGGCCATGAAGTACGTTTTTGAAGCGTAGAAAAATCATTACAAATAGGTACTGCTTTCATGTAATCTTTCTCATCTTTTTCAATAAGTATGTCTTATTGAAAAAATGAGAAAGATTACATTTACATTTCTAATTGGATCCCCTTGAAGAATATTGGACGCACGGAGGGTGAATAAATATATTTATATGTATTTTAATACTTCATATTGTTTCTGAGAAAAATAATATTTGTCCAAATAAAAAAATAAAAAATACCTAGTTACAATGTTACAACGAATGCGCGACAAATAAGTAGTTTATATATCATTATGTAAAGAAAATTTTGAATTTAAATGAATTGAACATAAAAAAATCACGTAAGAGCGAAAATTTCTCATGTTTACGATGCAATATTTCAATAATATTACTAAAATGCTGCAACCCTATAATTTTTTTGTTCTAGTTAAGTTTTTCTGGTTCTCCTTACTAGGATAATACTTAAGCACATTTAACATACACAAATCACATAGGGAAACCCCCAAATGAGAAATCAATTACCTGTTGCAGACAATTGGCCTACAATCAATTAATTTAAATAAAAATATACCCGCGATTTCACGAAAATAGCTCGCAAATTTCGTGGCCACGTCGTAAGTTAAAGGATACACGCCTAGAGGCGAGGATGCAAACTCGAAAACTCCATTAGGAACAACAGAGAGCAGCTCCTTGCCCTTATATATATTTAACTGATAAACTAAACATCACCCCGCCTCATTATATACTAAAAGATAAGCAGCATTCTTGAATAATTCAATTCACTTACAATCGCTTTTCATTTGGTAAAAGGAGAGACAATTAAATAATTGTTATATACAGCTTGTCTTTACCATCGCTACAATAAATGAACACAGATATAGAGGATAACTTTTTAAAATTGTGTTAAAGATTTACATTCTTTAGACATCAATATTTACCGAGTTATCAAACTTTCCAAAACAAAGAACTTTAGACCACCCTTACGTATAAAACTGTAACGTAAAGTTCATTTGTAACGGCCACAAAGCATATGAATGGGTTGAATGAATTTAAAAGAGTCAAAACATTCTCTTAGAAGGAGAGGCTTGTAATGCGGCGCTGTGGCAACGAATGAAAAAGTCTCTGAATGTATGAATTAGTCAGTTGTAGTGTATATCATTTATATAGGATGTTACAAATTTTTTATTTGTATGTATGTTACAAGTTTGCTGTGTTATCAAATGTACACACGAATATTAGGGTTTTATGTGAGAAGGTGGCTATTCACCGGAGCCGGCGGTTCACCTGATGATAACTGAAAACCGCCGCCCGTGGACATTTGCAACGCCCGTAGGGTTGCAAATGCGTTGTCACATTTTAATAACGTGAGCCCGGCTAACTCACTCACCAGACGAAACGCAGACGTATAACTCTTCCACACTATATAACACGTCCACTTCACGCCGGTCTTCTGCGAGGTCGTGGTACTTCCCCGGACGGACCTGCCCATTCGTGCAACAGTGATCATGGTACATCATATAGGATAACGTAAACTTAGAGTCACGCGTTATTTCCATACTGTTCGCGTCCGATATTAGGAGCCATTAACCGGGGGGACGGTGCGCCCCTTGAGACAATGCCCGGGTTATGGGGTTCGATTCCCCGATGCCCGTACCTGCACCTGCCCGACTGCTAGGGCAGTGTGTGGACGACCCGTGTGTGTGTGTGTGTGCAACAGTGAACTATTGCGTGGCCCTACCACATGAGGGCCTGTATTCATTATTGGCCAATCCACTACCACATTGACAACCCACTGGATTTAAGGTGGCAATGGAATCGGGTCACTTCCCTCTTAAGTGGTGTAACGTCCTATTGTTGAATGTGCAATCGATATTGACCTATTGTGTGATCTACTTGAGCATTGTTACGGACTTTATCGGGATCAAGGTTGAAAGTTGCGAGTGAAACTGACCCTTATGTGTATAACACTAGTGCTATAAATAATTTATTTATTTAATTTATTTATACATCATTGTTACATCTTACGCTAAAGGCTACAATGGGCGGATTAAGTCCGCCCATTGTAGTATTTAGCCTTATTGCATTCTCTACCAGTCAACCCATTTTAAAAAAAAATCTGTCAGTTATAAGTTACATTAACAGCGATTTGGTTAGCTGTATTCAATAAGTACTCAATGGAAACAATTTTAATGGAATCAAGCGTAGCTTCATTTTGGCATTTTCCCAAAGGTTTGCAAGTTATACATTTCATAATCTGTAGAATAATATTGTAGTAAAGTTCAATTTGGTATTGTGGTTTCGGATTTAATGGTTATCAATGACCTCATACTTTACTTCTAACTCCGCTGTGGAGAAAATTATTCAAAAACTAAAACTGACTAAAATTACTGCTCGGTGTAGATAGAAAGATTTTGTCCGAGTTTTCCAGCCAGATAGCATGTGAGCTATAATTTGTCAATCTTTAATTTACCGGGAAGCCAGTTAAAGCGATTGCATATTTTTAGCAAATATACGGAAATTAATGTTGGATAAAAATTATTATTATGGCCGTTATTTAGTTCGCCAAATCTGTTAAACATCTAGGCGAGGGTGAATAGACCTTTACCGAGCCTATGCATTTAGACAAGTCAATCGTCAAGAACTGGTTAGTTCACGACAAATATATTGATTATACTTCTGTTAGCTATACTTTGTTTTATCGGGCTAAGAAGGTAGAAATATAAATACTTTTACCAAATCACCGTAGTTTTACTTTGCACAACAATAACACTGGTATAATTACTTTTTTAATCACTTTAATATCACTAATGAAACACCACACTAGATACCGATTACGCAGCACTATCGCGTATACTTCTTGATGACAGCCAGAGAAAGACGAAGACGACGAAGACGAACATGAAATGCTTCATGCAGCTACATTTACCTCATAGAATGACACTTCTTTTAGTGTTGCCAACAACTTCAAGGAACGACTTCCTTTAGAGTTGCCAACACTTCCTTCAAGGAGTTTTGAAATTACGTGATCCTATAAACTAGGTTACGAATCGTCTGGTATTAGCTGCAGTGTAACATAGCAGCGCCGTTGCCGTCAAAAACTTTAACCACTCACGTTATCGAGTGTACTGCAGACAATCAACTTTAATTGCAGCGTTGAAACTAAGGCATCGGATAATGAATTTTCTCGATTTACGCTAATGTTTGATATTTAAATCAAAACTACCGTCAGGTTTGGTTTCAGTAAATAACAGAAATAAATCTAGATTCCAACCCCGAGATTACTGCCATGTTAAACACCTCATTACTTTTTATGCTCATATGATTCGACGCGATTTAATGGAGGGACTTATATTTCACTTTAGTGAGGTAATAGTGGTCAAATTACTGCATACGATTGGCGTTCTTACGTCATGGGTGCAAATTTCAGAGGCCGAAGTATAAAATATATGAAAAAGTAAAACTGTAAGGATAGACGAATTAACATGATTATTCTGTATATTTTTAATATTTTGCAGCGATTTCTATTTTATGGCTGAAGCCATAGACGGATCGGGATGCAACCTCATCACTTCTCGTAAACAAATATTTAGAACACATTTTTACAGAACGTTCTAGACCCAAACTAAGCAACGCTTGTACTATGGATAGGTACTAGATAACTGATAAACATACTTAAACATACTTTTATTTTGTAGTTAAATACATATTATACGTATATAAACACTAGAAAAACACTATGTTTATCACACAATATTTTTCCAGTAGTGTCCCTCTCTCTCCTATTTTTCTCTCTCTGTCTCAACTTCGTCCTCTTCAGTTTTTCCTTACGCGTTTAATCCTCCTCAGAACATAACATTCAATAGCGGAAATCATCATCTCACATTTGTTCCACACGAAACATTCCGTTCCAGTTGTTTGCGTAACTTTTATGGAGTTACAATAGCTACCGGAACAGAATCTTGACTTTGAAGCAGACTAGAAGCTCGACAAATCTATACCCCACTACCACGTCAGGTATGTCAGTAGCCAATACATAATCATGACTATAATCATCTTTACAGCCTTGCCGTACACAGATTGCCGTAAAGCATCCTAATCCATCTGCGTCCATCGACTTACAGTAAATTTCCACAACCAATGTATAATACACAAAGAAACAAAACAATAACTATTAATGCTTAAAAACAATTATCTTCCTTAACAATGAAGCTTTAGGGACTATCGAAATCGCCTGTGTTATAAATAATATTATATATATTATAATATAAACCTACTCATTGCATAGTTAAAACGAAGTATTCGAGGCACAATGTTTTTATTTCTTTTTCTTACTTTTTATTTAGTCACTTTCGATACCTTTGTCTTTTGGTTTTTTAAATTTATAACTTAATAGTGTTTAATTATATCGAAGCATATAGTGTACATATATTTTTGGCGGACAGTGTGTATAAGTTGCCATTATTAAGATTATTCTACTGTTTGCTGTTCTATGTACCAAAGAAAATAAAAAAATAGTAAAAATACTAGCCGCTACCGCTAGTCTGCTTAGCGCCTTTACGCTAGTAGCTACTGTAAAGATGCTAAGGCTTTTTTACTCGTCCTGACAGTGTCAAATACTAAGTCCAAATCGACCGCTTGTAATAGTCTTTTACAGGTTTTAATGGGTAGTATGAAATGAAAGTAGTATGGAACATCGCAAGACGTGCGGCTACCCTGGAAGCGAACAGCGACGACGAGACGCAATCCTGTCCATCGACAGCCACGACCACTCTGCCATGAGTGTCCGATTAAGAAGATTAAGAAGAAGAAGATGAAATGAAAGTTTTAAACATGTAACTTATAGCGTGTACAATCTACCTTTTTGGAGACCACGTCTCGGAAAACGTAGTGTCGGACGTCCCCCTGCCAGGTGGACCGATGACCTGAGAAAGGTCGCTGGTAGTGGCTGGATGAGGAAAGCGGAAGATCGTACTCTGTGGCGTAATCTTGGGGAGGCCTATGTCCAGCAGTGGACTGCAAAAGGCTGATTGGATTGGATTGGAATCTACCTCTTTCACAAATTTCATTAAAATTCCAATTCTTCCCAAGAATGGTGATAGCGATGCTTCTTTATAATATAATTTATTATTTACAATTTACTAGTTCCCAAGTTTATCACAGCAATTTAATTTTCAATGTTAAGTGCAGAGATTAGCACTATAAAAAAATTAAATTTCTATGAAGCAATGGAATCTATTGTTCGAATTATTGTTGTAAAACGATATTCGAAATTGCCTGTATGCTGGAAAGGATATAACAATAGATGCAAAATAGAAAAAACAAAAAACAATAGAAGCAATGCCAAGCATTGCTTCAAATGCTAAAATAATAATGTAGATAAAAGGCGTTAAGATTTTTGTCGGTGTGCCAATCAGCCGTTTAGCTTAGTGGCTAGAGCGTCAGGCCGCGAATGCCGAAGACTTGGGTTCGTTTCCCACAGCGGCGACAATCTTTTCGTACTTTTTCTACAAATTTAATAGTTAGCAAGTAATATAATGCACTTAAAACGACCGTTACGGGCATACATACAGCTGGCTCCACTCACTATGTTGACCCATTTAGTGTTCAGATTTGTAATCACTCTCGCGCGTGCGAAAGTGAGTGATCCATCCGTATTCAGTAGGCAATTTGGATTAAGCGCACGAGTTTCATCGTTTCGATGGGTAAGAAGCTCGCTACAGATTTCACCACTATTGAAGGATCACTAAACACATCATGATCATCGTCTAAGCACATCGTCATTTCGGCCAGATTAATTTCA